AGAGGCCTTTGAGACTTAAGGGTGACCGCGACCGCTGAATAGAGGTGAAAATTCCAGTGATAAAGGGGACACCAATTTGGGACTTTGGCAACCGACCGCTTAATTCATTCGGACGACTTAAGACTGTGCCGCTTCATAGAGGTTCGACTGTGTTCTATTCCTTTTCACAGACACCGCGGAAGTGACCAAAAAGTTAATTTTAGTCTAAGGATCTTTTCATGTAATTCAACGTGCTGTGCATGCAATGTTGCATGTTGTCACAGAACAACAAGGGGTTCTGAACAAACCGACTTCTTTTCAAATGCAAAATTGTGAACTGGTTATTAACTTTAAGTTACCTGATTATTTTCTTGGACCTGAAATTTGACCAATCGAATGGCACACGCTCCTTGTTAGGTGTTGCAAATCAAAGATTTTAAGCATTTAGGTTTTATAAAGGTATTCAGGTATAAACTATTAAGTTTTATATACCTAAAAAGGTGGCTAAGACTTGGCCAACGCCTTCGTATGTAAGGAAAGACCTTCGGTTTGGTAACATGATCACAGTAACGCGTGCGCAACTGCTCTCCTTTTCACTCACATAAATCAATCTATCCCTCATCCCCTCCTCTTATTTCTGCCATCAACTACGTGATGAAATAACAGCTGGCTATTGTAATTGTCACTTCTTTAGAGCTCGAAAATGAAGCCTGTTACAGCTATGACCTAAATACGTGCCTGGGCGGCAGACAGTGTTCTCATTTGTTGTCGTTTCGTTTGCTATACACAAACAAAAGAGGCTAATATTGCATTCTGAGTGAAATGTTTCATTACCATTTAAATTGGATGAACTTTGAATAGTATTCATTTGAGAAAAAGTGAGGCGGAATTGAAAAAAGAAGTTGGAACTCATTTGTATTTACACTACAGAACATTTCTCGACATCAGCGCCTCAAGGGATACACCATATCCCCAAGCCATTTTTATTCTCTATTTACGGTCTTCAAGATAAAAATTACATCAAATCTCAGTTCGGTTATATTCAAATGATTTCTTAAACCAGAAGGAATCTATTGGAAAAGGTAAAGTAGATTTTTTTAGCAAAGTTATACCGAAATAATTTAGCGGGAACGCTTTTTGTTAACTATTTATTTTTGTCAGCTTTTATTACTTAAACCCCAAAATATTTATTGCTGAAGATTTTTGTGGTTTACCAAACGAAGATGTTTACTTTTTTAAGTGACTTGAAGCTTGCCTATAAAATGTTAAAATACGAGTATCTCGAATAAATTCTCTAATTTTCGGTAAGAAAATCGAGGCTTAATGACTCAACGAAATTAAAAAATTAATGATAAAACGATCGCATTAGTATCTGCTTAATTTGACTTTGCCCGAATTCCTCATCATTCAAGTCGATGTTGCTGATTTAGTTATACCTTTCAGATATAACAGGTAGGAATAATTTGCGGTGTAATGAACTCAGCTGAAAAAAATCGCCGTACAATTTTGACGATTTTGCAGTACAAAGGAAAATATCACTGATAAAGACAGGATTTGCTTTTTCTGAATATAATTCATGTTCGTCTGATACTTATCTGTTCATTTTAAGAAAAAGGCCCGCAAGGGCGACAGGAAGATTCTAATTGGGCGGAATATTGCTTCACATATTGAACGAAGAAGAAATAAGTAAATTTAGACAATTTCAAGTTTTCGTAGGTCAGGGAAACCTTGTTATACATTGAGGGCATCTGCAAAATTAGACCTAATATCATAAACAGCTGCCTCCATTTGGAAAATTATGTTAGGATATTTTCTCGCAGACACCGCCTGTTTATAGCATCGAATTTGGACGATTCAAGTACTTTTACATGCGCGGGATCAAACGGCTAGAGACAGCTGCTAAATGTGGGATGTTGTCTTTTTTTCGACTTAATGAGCAAAAAGAATTGTCTGTTCTTCTTTAAACAAAAACAGAACGCGTTAACATTTTTTATTGAACGTCAAACCAGGATTTACATCGAATCGAATGTAAGGTTGAAATTGGGTAATATCTTTGGAGAAATATTACCGGATGATCCTCCAATTTAAAAGGGCATTTTGAGTTACGCGAAGCCCTAGTCCTATTAGTCTGTAAACGAAGGAATACAGTCTGAAAGAAATCTTGGTTTGTGATCAGGCTTTTATTTAATATTTTCCAAACTTTATTAGCATAGCTCTAAAATCAAATTCATCATTAGATTGTGAGTTTCCACGCGCACGTTTTATTCCAAGCTCTCGACGCACCCTAACGCATGCATGATTGTTAGCACTTTTTAGTTCTTTTCATTTCTCTTTCAACAACGTCATAGTAAACAATACTTTCCAAATTTTCCGTGGATAAAATGACACCTTTATCTCTGTCAATAATAGTTGCTTGTTAAAAAATCACCTGTCACTCAGTGGTGATCTTCAATTTGTAATTGTTTTGCGGTGAACGCCGCTGATAGCCATAATCAAAAATGACGAATGCACGAACAAACTGTTGGTTCGGATTACGAAATAAACGGCTATTGCGATCCACATTTGCACTCCTCGTAGGTTTCAAATTCAAACTCTATGTTTGTGGCGTTGAGGACATAGAGATTTAAATTATGTTCTAGCTCCCAACATAAGTGAAGATCTAGCTTTTATAACTGCTGTTTTATAATTTTTTCCGTAGTACTTACGATTGAATAAAGACTTCTCCTCCTTAAGATTAATTAAGGATATCCTTTCGATCATCTACATTGTTCCAGTAAACAGTTTTCTAATAACATGTTCAGTGTTCGTTGGAGAGAATATCCACGCTCTTCACAATTATCAGACTGATTGTTGACCTTAATAAGTTTGTTATAGGCAAGCAGTGTAGTTCTGTACCATTACTTAAAATTTAGTCTTGTGTTAAAATAAGTGGTGCAACCTATGATAACTGCTCAGTGTGTAGTAGTATTTTTTTTTATAGTCTCAGTCCTACGAGTGGGTATGCCATATCATCAGATGTTTCATCTTTACCCCAAGGTCATCAAACAGCTATCAGGCTTCCTACATGTAGAATTTTTATTCAGTGAGAAGAGTCAGGATTTAAAAAGGCTTAAAAATCCTCATTTATTGAAGTAAAATTATATTAACATTTTTTTTATCAGTTATGGTACCAAACTTTCGAGAAAGGAAATTCACTAAAGTATTCTTACAGCTAACCTTCTTAAGTTAAATTACCTATTGATCATGCAAAGACAATTTTCCTTTTCCGTAATAGATTACCAAAAGTGAGATGATATGATCTTAATAACGATCAATAACAGGCTCATCTGACATAACAATGAATGTTTTAATGCAATTGCGTTCGTCTACCCACAGTGTGTAGAGTTGAGATCCTCAGAAAGCGATTGCGATCTTATTACCGTGTGACGCATATCTAGCTGAGCGGAACAAAGACCTTCCGCCCAACCATGAAAAACTATCTCCTTGATCTTGAAATGTTGTTTACAGGGGGTCCAGGGAGATTCTAGTCCAGTGAGTTTTCCTTGGAAAGTTTTTTCGAAAAGCTACCCATAAGATAAAGGGAAAGATGTTAATTTTATCTCCTAACTTTATTTTTAACCACGCAACTAAAACTGTCGCATAAAATATTCAGTCGATTAACATTAATTTATATCGAAAAGTGACTTAAATCAAATTTGTCCTACGGACGCTTTATGGTAACGTCATTTCACTGTTCATTGTGAAGATCACTGGTTCCTTGATTATTTCAATTTAATAACGCGACTGAGCACTGAGACCAGGAGTTGTATTTTATTGAAAACAACAAATTGTGACGTTTTCTTCATCGTTCCTGTATGTCTTTCAGTGTAGTCAAAGAATATATAACTAATTTCATTTACAGTCACAGCGTGACATTTACGCATCGGAAACATGGTCAATTCTCTGTAATTAGCAATTTAATTTCATCTTTGCAACTCGAGTTTTCAGAGAATTAGACTCATTTTCAACACACATAACTCTTCGTGTCATAGGGATTGTAAAAAGTAGTCACGTTTACAGTAGGTCTCGTGGGTGTTGAGAACTTAATATTGTAATATAGATATAGGAAAGTCCTCTACAATAGCATAACACCTGCAGTTATTACTTCAAGGAGCTACTACGCTCTTACACAACAGAGGAAACGTAGGGATTCGTTTTAGGGAAAAGGGTTGCACAACTTAGTGAGAAGAGGTAAGCTGATTTTTGCCGGTGTAATCCAGGACATGTTGACGGTGTTACGATCCATCCGCTTTTCTCATACAAATCCTGTTCCATAATACCTTGTATACTGCAGTTAGTACATTGAGCCTGTACTGTCTGTGTTATTACGTAATCGAACAGGAAAAATAATTCAGTAGTTTTTATCCTCTCTAACTCAGTCTTACGGTTATCATTTAATGCTCTATTTTGACTCATGATGTATCTCAATTTAGTCTTTACCACGCAAGTAAATAGTGCTTTTCGCGCGCGCTGTTTGGCTCGTTCGGAAGTGAATAGCAAGTACAATTCTCCCTCTGAGCAGCCGATGAGACAAAATCGCGCGTCAACGGTTTAATTTCCGACCATTTTTCGGTATATTGAAAGAAATGAACTATTTTTTTTTGTATCTGTGCGGTATATACTAAAACAATTATTTTACTTCCACCTCGGTGAATAATTGTTAATTAATAATAAGCTGCTCCTTGAGTTTATCCTTCCCTTATTGAAAGGCCAACTAAATTACAACTTCCACCTAGTAATACTGAACTGCAACTTCAACACAGTAATAATGGTCGAAACGAAATTAATTCTTACTTACTGATCATGATACCACTGCTTTTGCTTTTTGGCAGTCTGACTACTGAGCCCTTTGACAAGAAAACAAGACCAACATGTCGGCAAACGAACCGTATTTTTTGAACGTAACCGTGGAGAGTCCTGCAAGTCCCACAAGTCAATTCACTTCTCTTGAAGAACGAAATACTCTTGAACTAACACAAGCTGTGATTCTGTGCACCGTGTTGGGCGTCGCCAGTGTTCTTGGAACACTTGGGAACTTATTAGTCTTAACTTCCATCATCAAGTTTGATTATTTGAGAGAAATTCCTGACTTTTTTATTTTTAGCTTGTCGTTATCTGACTTTCTTGTCACAGCAATCTTTCAGCCCTTGCAAGCTTACAAAGTCACACATTTGATTCAAGTCTCCGGGATTGTAGCATTTTCGGAAATAACGAGTCTTCTCGGGCATATCTCACTGATTGCATCCATTTCAAACATGTTTGGAGTAACTGTGGAACGCCTGATTTCCATTCGCTTCCCTTTGAAGTATGATTTCCTAGTGACTAAATTTCGAGCCAAAGTCACCATAATCTGCATCTGGATTTTTTCGTTATCCTATGGAACAGTCTGGACACAGGACCTTGCTCCAATAGAATACATGGCCATTTATTTCGTCCTGGTCCTTGTTGGAACAGCATCGATCTATTTTTACATATTTCTCATCGCCAGACGACTCGAAGGCAGAATGGTTCAGACACGAAGAGAATCAACAGACGCTGGAATTCCTAACAGACGCCGAGAGAGAAAAGCTGCAAAAACCATTGCAACCATTTTAGGGGTTGCAGCTCTATGCTGGCTTCCTCTTTTGATCGTTCCAAACGTTCTCCCCAAGAATTTGGATCATGCAACATTCATGAAAATTTTCTTTCCTCTTCAGACTTTGTCGGTTTGTAATTCCTCGATCAATCCTTACATTTATTGTGTGAGAAGTTCCAGGTATTCCGTAGCGTTTACCAAGCTGCTTGGGTTACAAAAAATTTTTAACTACAAAGTACAAGCTAAGGACACCAAAGGTTTGTCCGTTTGTCGTACTCAAGGCGATGCTCCAAAACCAGATACTCAGGCCCCTCAGAAAGACATCAAAGATGTCGCCTTGTAATGAAACAAAGCAGAGAGAAACCAAAAGTTTTACGAATTTTAAATAATTTCGGCCTCTACCTGTGATTCGATGGACTTTTCGCAACTCTGGGAGTAATTGCATACATATCAAATTGAAAGCACTTTACCACAAGATTATCAAGTTCAGTCGAATCAGAAGACACGACAGATCGCAAGAAGGCAGGAGGGCAAACTTTGAATTTTCTTTATAACCATACAGCTGTGCATTAGTAGCATGATTTTCACCAAACGCAGGTAGCGTCCGGTTGTTCACAAGAGTGCAGAAAAACAAAAGGTCAACAGAACTAATGCAACTGGGAAGCGAAGACAGGCCATGAAGTCAAGGGTAAGCAAGCCACTGTCTGCTGACACCATCCTTTGCCCTCACTGCCGTCTTTTCTTCAGGGCTAGGATTGGAATGCGCTCGTACGTTAGAAGATCTCCTTGACCTCTAGATGACTATATCGTCTTCGTCAGAAAGGCTAACATCCTGCGTCTGGTTGTCATCTTTACAGCTTGTCTCACTTCCTTGATAAGGATCACTTCCTTAAGAAAAAACCAAAAATACCGTGATGCATTCTACAAGAACTACATATGAACTGTCTTGTGAATCAATCGTAAAACTACGACAGCGATGAGAATTAGATAAAAGAGTTATCGGCTGTAAAGAATCCTCTAATTAAAATTTTAATTGTCAGTAGAGTATCTGCAGACCTTCCTGTCTAAAACTGTCGTTTACTTTGCTGGAAAATCTGAGTTTGACGACGACGCAGCTGAATAACTGTTTTCATATCACCAAAGCCTGACATGGCCTGACAATACATAAGGGCGTGATTATGAACGAAAAAATCCGGAAAATATCTTTCTGCAGGAAGTTCAGCATACCAAGTGAAATTTATGGCACCCAAAAGAGCACGACTATTGCGCGGAATTGGAATGAGTTGCGACACTAAAAAACATTACATCATTTTTCGAAAGGAGCGTAGCAATGCACCAATCACTTTTCTACTGTGGTTAATACAAGGATCATTAGCACTGAGGCGCATTTCTGTAATACCGCACATTTAGCGGTCTTTAGGATTTACAACCTCTATAATGTTACAGCGAGCGTTTAGCTGCGCTGTGACGCGCACCTGCATCGAAACGCGGACAAAATTAATTTTGAGACGCGAAATTCATCTCAAAATCAGGTTTTCTCTGTGTTAGACTTTGATGCACTACAAAAAAGTTGATTGTTAAATTAGAAAAATAGTTAAATAATACTAGTTTTTTAAAGAACTCTATCTTTAGCAGTCAACTATGTGAAAAAAAAATAAATAAGAGATTAAATAAAAATAAATAACGCCTTAACTTAGCCCTTTGGTGGCCGGTCGCCTCGCCAAATCGTCTCAGTTTGAATAAGAGGTTCTCCACTGTAGACGCGGCCGCTTGGATTTTGATCAGCATTGGGGTAAGAGCCTGAGTTTCGTTTGGTTGATTGGTAAGAAAACCTTGAAACCGCCACAACCGAGCAATGAATGATAATATGACCCAGAGATCTCAGAATATTTCACCAGCTTGAGAAGTATTGAATTAAAAAATAATGACAAACTGAAACAAGGAGGCTCCCATGATATGAGGTTCACCAATCATGGCTGTGAATGTTTTGTCGTCATGACATTTACTTTTGAATGGAACAGGATGATCCTGAATGATTCTCGTGGGAGCGTAGATTTTAGTTAACCGATGGAACCGATTGAGCCAGTGAGCTCAATGATTTAGTTGATACACGAAACTTTCAAGTCGAACATTTGCTTTTCATGGTAAAGCAAAGCTCTTAAATCGATTTAGGTAGGACTACATTTTTTTTCCGTTTCGCCTGGTGATGGAGAAGGGGAGGATAACAAATCGAGTATTTGTCTTCGATTACTGAACGACTCTTTGTCACGACTAGAATCACCATAAAAATGTCTAAAAATGGATCGGTCGTTAGACCTTTGTAAAAAAGTCCACGTTTGATCAATCAACTCTTTGCAACTTTCCGTCAGTCTGTATGATTAGTAGTGAGAACATTTGAGATAATCGACGCTAGTAACTCTTGGCGGTAAAAAGGTTAAGAAAATACATTACTTCTCTCTCCAAGGAAAACAATCTAACTGGGGTGCCCCTTCCCCCCTTACCTTCCCCTACCCTGACGGGTAAGAAAATACTGTGTTGACTTGGTGTAAAACATAGGCGAATAACTGAAAAAATATTCGGTGTTTGGATTAAAACTTGAAGCATTCATCAAACTTTTTTTCTTCATAGTCAATTTTTTTTTAGGTTTTTAATTATTGTATAGTGCGAAAATGCCGTTGACAAAGTGAAATACGTATTAGGAATCACAATAGCAATGACTAAATTACATTTTATTTCTTATTGGAAAAAATATATTGGGAAAGTGTAAAAAGTCTTCATATTTCCCTTCCTTCTGTTTTCGTCAAAGAAAAACTAAACACACAATGACTAGAAATTTTCATGAAAGGGGCTGAAGATATATAATAAAAACTTTGAAATTATTGAGCTATATTTATACCCTACCAGGTTCTTAAATTTCCGTTAACCTGAATAGAACAACCATCATTACAACACTACTAGTTTCATCTAGATTTCAACCGTCTAACTTCTCGTATATGTCGTGACAAACGATCCTCGATTGTTCAAAAATTGATTTACAAATTTAGCAAAAAACAACCAATGGTGTCACCTACTGATTAAAAGAGGTTTGCTTCTTCATCCTTTCATAGTCTCTCTAAACGACGAGGAAACGTAATTGTTAAAAAAAAAGTCAACAAGACATAATACAAAAAAAAAAAAATTAGGCCTGGCATGTTATTAAATTCTGATTAAAACTTTGAAGTTATACTCAGTCAACCAATTTTCTATCTAAGCACTTCCCTTTTCTCAATGGTGATTCACTTTTTTTGGTTGTGCTGAACAGCAAGGATTCTCTCGATGAAACTTTACTAGGCTGAAGGAAACATTTCAAATGGTTTGTAAATCTGCCGACAAGTCAAAAGGAAGGTAAAATGATTCACTTTTCATTATACGGAGAAGAGGAAAATGAAATAACTGCGTGTTCTGCTGTCAAGAACGATGAAGGCGACACTTCCTGTTGCATGGCCAATGTAGATATGTTTATTTTGGATCCATAAATGCAATTTTATCAATCACTTCCCTGTTAGGGAACATTCTGATTGTCACCGCTCTTCGTAAAGATTCTTCTCTTCATCCGCCATCAAAGCTTTCATTTCGTTGTTTGTCGTGTACGGACCTCTTGGTTGGACTTATTTCACGGCCGATGTATATCATTTATCTTGCTTCCTCGATCAGAAAGAATCAGATATTGTGTCGGATAAATGAACATTTGGCCAACATTTTCAGTGGCATACTGCGCGGCGAATCTATCCTCATTTTAACCGCAATAAGTGTGGACAGACTCCTCGCTCTATTACTGAGATTAAGGTACAGACAAACTGTGACGTTAACACGGGTTTGTCTTCTCGTGATATTTTCTTGGATGATGAGCTCTGTAATTGCTTTCTTTATCTCGTTTCATGAGCGCTTTTTCTTCGTTGCTTGTTGTATGTGGATAGGAGTATGTTTAGCCGTCTCGTCATTTTGTTACCTTAAAATTTACGCTGCCCTTCGCCGTCAACAAGCTGAAATTCAAAGTCACCAACAACATTCAGGGGCGACTTTGAATATAGCGTGGTACAGAAAAACTGTGGCTAGTGCAAAGTGGATGTATTTAACACTCATAGTTTGTTATCTGCCATACACAGTTGTTACTGCTATCAATACATCAAGAAGGGAACCTCTACAGTGTGGTTTGGCGGCTTGGAACATAACTGGATCGTTGGTTTTTCTTAACTCAACGCTAAACCCATTTTTGTACTGCTGGAATATGCGCGTGGTGAGACAAGCAGTGGAGGACATGCTAAGACAACGGTTTTGCGTATCCCGAAACTTTGTATTGAGTTTTTACCGCTGAGAGAGTTTTTCATTTCGTGCTTTTTGAAAAACTTGAGATAGACTACAAACCAAGGATACTAAAAAGTTTGAATTCGCTTGACATTAAAACGAAAGAGGAAAATGTTTGTGAATAAGTGATAAATTTGTGGAAGTCATAGTCATTTCCATTTAAAATCAATTACGGCAAAGTTTTTGGCTCTGCTTAGGAGGGGTGGGGCTTGAATTAATATAAGAATATTCGTGCACCATGGTGACCGCACGTTTTCTTGCTGGTTTTTTGCTGGGTTCATTTAAGAACCTAAAGAAAAGTGAGCAAAAGCATAGCTCGTATTTGCCGTTTGCCGCAGCCTGGAGCGTTAGTCTTAAATTCATTACTGAGTGACAATAAATCTAACTGGCATGGAGTCCAATTTGATCTGTAATTACGAGAAAGATAAAAAAAATCCGATTTGTTTAAGAACCACGAATATTGTTCAAAACTGAATTTGGCAACACAAAGTCGTGTTACAAATTTATCAAGACAAAGTCAACTATTCCATGCCTTGGCCTATAGGTAGACTTTTTTCCACCGTAAAATGAACAGCGCACCTCACAGTTTACTAAATGAACCATGGTATCTAATTACATAGGCATGACACGTACACTGTCCTATGAGCGCGTAAATCGAATTGCCGATAACCAATCATCTTCAAGGTTTTTGTTATAAATTTGATCAGAGAAGATGAACATGACGTTCACGCCAAATATTAAAGGGTAAATATTGAATCTCCCCGCTGTTTGCGTTTTAGTGAATAAATTTGCGTTAGCTTTGAACAAGAGAGTTTTGTCAAATTGCTGAAAGGTTGATTTAAGAATTAAAAGTAAAGTTGTAACATCATTGTTCTTTTTTCCTGTCTTCTGTTTCCCTCATTCCCAATTTAAAAGCAAAATGGTCTCTTCCAATTACCAGCTAAAGTAAAATAACTACTTTTCGTCGAAACGTTTTATGCCGGCAGCTGCCTGATAAATTGAAGGCATGTCTATCAAGGTCTGGAACCGCTGGCTGGCTTTGTTGACAATGATAATGGAAAATCTGCGACTGAGTCAATAATATTTCCAAGAAAAGCGATGTTTACCTCCGAACTCGGGTAATAACAACTGAATGAACTTCAGAATTATATACATAGAAGACCTTGAGGCATACTCCATATGTATATCTTGTTTTTTCATTCATAGCAGCTCTCACGATGTACTGCCCACAAACCCTTTTCCAGAGGACCTAACGTGAGTCTATTACAACGACTGAAGTATTTGATTTTACTAAAGTGAACTTGAGTATTGCATCAGATCGTATAGAAGATAAATAGATTTAAAAATTATTGTATTGTGAAATTTCTTCTCGAGATAGTGTCATAGTTGTGTCATTTCCGCGTTTCTGAGATGAAAGTAGTTAAAATTTTTTTTCCAGTTTTGACTGGACGAAATATCCTTCAGGGTATTTACTTATTCCATACTGCATAGGCCCACCATAGGAAAATTTATATCTACAAATTCACAGTTTGATCTCAATGGATCAATATTTCCTCGAGAAGGAAAAAAATTCATTATTACTAAAGCGATAATCAAACATGCTTATCGTTGGCGATAGCGGGTGTTTTGTCGGGACGGGAAGTAAAGATAATAAGGAATTCATATAATTTTGAAAGGGAACTTAACAGACGGTAATCGATTTGCCCTAAATCATTTGAATAATGTAACTAGATTCTAATTCCCTATTGATTGAAGTTAACTTATCTACATATCTACCGCATTTTTCTCACAAATTTACAGGAACATGGCTCAATCTCTTCTTTCGTGAAAACGAAATGCTCATATGTAATCTTTCTCTCCTTAGTGTAATTAAAGAGGCCTTCTTGGTGTGTAAAATCCACACAATTAATGGAGAATGCAACCTTTTGCTCCAAAGTTCTTCAGGATCTTCGGCCCATGTGGATGATATATTTTGCAATTTCTTTAAATGCAATTTTGAGTGCCACAGCCACTTTGGGAAACATCGTGATTTTCGTGGCTCTCGGTCGGGATAATCAGCTTCATATGTCAACAAGGCTTCTCTTTCGTTCTCTGGCACTAACGGATCTCGGTGTTGGACTTATTTCGCAGCCTTGTTTTGTGATCTACCTTCTTTTGGTCGTTACAAAAAGGTTAAATGATTGTGAAAGAACTGAAAGTGTAATGCAGGTATCTACAGCTCTCCTTTGTAGCATTTCACTTTTCACATTAACCGCAGTCAGTATAGACAGACTTCTTCTTCTTAAGCTGGGGCTAAGACACAGATGTGTTGTAACCGTAAAGCGAGTGAAAGAAGTCGTTTTTCTTTCGTGGACGGTGTTTCTTTCGATTGGAGTGTTATACTTTTTGAACACAACTATCTTCACTATGACTGTTTGCGCGAGTGTTCTGCTATGCCTTCTAGCGTCGGCGTACTCCTACATTTCAATATATTTCTCCTTACGATGTCGAATTGCTCGAATTTTGCAACAGAATGCTCACGATCAACGCAAGGTCTTCCGGCCACGAAATTTGTTAAGGTATAAAAGGACAGTCTCTACCTCATTATGGGTTTACTTTATACTGGTAGTGTCCTATCTGCCATTCGTTCTTGTACAGGTGACAAGGACTCGCCTTGGAGATAGCCGGTCCATTGTTATCGCAGAAGGATGCACTACATCTCTAGTTTATCTTAATTCCACACTGAATCCGTTCATTTACTGTTGGAGGATTAGAGAGGTGAGGAAAGCGGTTAAAACAATGGTTCAACGAATCGGTTTGTTCTTTCTCCGAATAGTTACCGCGGTGCTTTCCATAATTTATTGAAAATTGTTGGGCTTTTTAGGCTTGAAGAAAATAAGGGAGTGAGAAAAAAGATAGTTGATGTAAAGTATACTATTGCGAAAGATCCGCTGCTGAGGTTAGGAGAGGTGAGGAACAGGGATGGCTCCGCGGGTAGAATGCAAGATTGCTCGCCAGTCGATTTCGCGGTCGGTGTTTTGAAAGGAAGACTGGAATCTCCGAATGAAAAAAAAATTATGCTAACGAACATCTGCTCAATACACACTGAAAAGTGATCCACTGTCCATTAATCACAAATGTGCTTCAACGAGATAATACCAGAAAGACAATACAAGCTTATCTAAGTTAATCAATATCTTGCAATTTAAATTCGTATTTACAGAAATAGTTGGAATAAGTACGAAAACAACTGAGAGTCTTTTCATGGTGTCATTTAGGGGTGGGCATATTTAAACAGCTGATGTGAAAAAGGAATATTACATGGTAATTTGATTTAATCAGAGAGATGCCACTTTTTAAGCCCGGTTGTTGAATACAGAAACAAGATATTCGTTTTGTCTTCCGCGTAGGACGAGGAGGATATTTGAGAACCCAACGAAGATTCAAAGCTCAGATCTTGAATTTACGGTCCGTTTCTCTGACACTGTGGTAAATAGTGAACTTAGGCATATATTTGGCACGTACGTAGTAAGTGTCCTGAGTACTTCTGAAAACTGAGATTTAATTTCTCGTGGGTGAACCAAGATATTTTCTTTGTACTGCTCCCGCGACAAAAAAAAAAAAAAAAAAAACACTTACTGCATTATCTACCATAAGAAAATTTTTGGTCTTTCAACAGTCTGGACTGAAATAATTGTAGTTTTTTCTATGTTTTTTTTTTCATCTAACATTTATAGCTTTATGCAATCCCCTTCCTTCACATCTTAACTGACTTCCTTCGGGGCGTATCTCATATATCAGAGAGCTAGAGCACGGATGATTTTTTTGCGATGCAAGCGTCTCATGGAATTGAACTTGTTGTCTTTTCTTCTGTTCAGGTTTTTGCTTTTTTTTTTAAAGGAGTTAGATCGAAAGTTAAAGAATCAAAAGAGTCTTTTTGAAATCATCTGTCGAATAAAGCTTTTTAGTTTCATACGAAGCGCCCATGATATGATAAACTATAAATAAAATTCAGGGACATACTTCCGTCGTTAATCTTTCCATGTGCAAAAAATAAATCTAAATGAGCTACACATGCATTTTCCTATGAAACTGACAAAACATATTCCCGAGTTACATATAAATGCCTTTTTTCACTGAAAGCAGAGCCATTTTCTTAATTTTCCCTTCACCACTTGCCTCACTTCACGCAGCTTCCAGCAATAAAGAAATGGGTTGAGCAATGAGTTGATATAAACCACTGTGGCAGCAATATTCCAAGCGATTACATTTGCTGAGGTTTTTCCATAGACAGTACTTACAGCAACTGTAACAGTGTATGGTACATAACAGACTACCAAAGTTAGATTCACATACAATGCACCCGAAACTGTTCTCTTATATCGTTCCATGTTCATAAAGGAAACACCACCACGATTGGTGTTCTGCGTATTTTCGTGTATATGCGCTTGTTTTTGATGGAGAATGGTGTAGATTTTGGCATAACAACAAGTTGAGGTACACAGGCAAGATGCGTTACATATGCAGCATAACGAAAAGAAAAGGCGCTTGTTAAAAAAAATATGTCATAGCAAGTGCAAAATTTGAGATCCAAGATGTTATTACAAACGTAAGGACGCGCTTAAAACTGACAACGGTTCTGTACCTCAATCCCAATAGCAGAGCCAAAAGCCTGTCAACGCTCATAGCTGTCAACGTGGTGATAGATTCTCCGCACAAGAGAGCGCTTGAAATGTATGCTAAAGTCTCAGATAGTCCACAAAACCAGTTCCATTTCTTGTTAGCGATCGTGAAAAGATAAACAATGAACACCGGCTGTGAAATAAGGCCAACGCAGAGATCAGTGCTCGAAAGACAACGAAACAGAAGCTTCGACGGCGGATGTATCGTTAAAACATCCTGAAGGGCCACAAGGATTAAAATATTCCCAAACAGCACGGAGACCGACAGTATAAAATTGACCGGAACAAAAAAATAAGGATTGAATATGAGCTTAGTTCCTTCATTCCGGTCCACATTTATCGAACATGAAGATAGCTGTAAAGTCAAATTACTCATTTTGGTTTCAGAATCAGAAAAAAATTATCACAGTCGCTGAATGCTGTGCCATTGAATGCTAAGGGAGGGGGTACTTCTCCCAACAAAGTTCATTGAGGAGGTCATGCTGACTGACATCCAATAACAAATACTTTTGACAAATGAGTAATGGGACTGTCTTTTTTATGTAATAAACGTCAGTTATCGGGAGAAGTATCTTCAGTAATTTATTTTTGATGCAATATTCTTTGATCCTTCGTTTGGCGATAAAAGAATTGTAAAATTTAAATAACGCAAAATCAAAAATAACAGAAAAAAAGATAAATTAATTCCATCTTTTGGATTACTTTTTTGTTTCAATCCAAAATGATGAGTAATGAATCAATTAAAAAATCTAATATTCAGGACACAGAAAAGAGAAATTGATATTGGCGCAGTGAACGAAATTTTAAGTTATTGTTTGTTTAGGTGACTAAATAACCGACCTTATTGCTGACTAACGTAAATGAAAATACCTTAAAAAGCTGAGCTAATTGTGTTTGACAAATGCACTTTAAGGATCTATGTATAGACTTCTGATTTGAGTTAATCTTTATACAAGGTTCCCCACGGGGTGGAGAGAGATTTCAAATGGACACCCTTTTACAACATCATGTGTATTCTAAAAAAGATTTTGACTAGAAATATATAAAGTTAGCACACATGTGATTGTCAACCTCTTAAAACCAAATCTCTTCTAAAGATCCACAAAATAGCCGCTTTGACGAGCCAGGAAAACTGTTTGCCATGATAATTATTTCCCAAAAATATTTTCCTGTATTATCGTGGCACCGGCTCAAGGCTCACTGGGCTTGGTAGTTGTGTCCTGCAAGCAGAGGCCTCTTTTCCTCGTATTTAGCGCTGAATACAGAGGCCTCTACTGGTAGGAAAGCCTAGTTCTCATTTCAATCTATAAAGCAGGGTATTGAAGAAGAATCAGAATAGATGGCAAAAATTAAGGAGTAGGCGAAGGACGGTTTACTCTCACTAAAAGGTGAAGCCTTCTTGGTATACTATGCCTCTCATCGTCCTTCTGGTGCTATGGATGTATGATGTCAACAAAATTAACTATTTGAAAAACATTGTTTTTATTGTTGATCACAGTGACTTCGGCCCGAATACTTAATGAAGAAAAGAGAAGAAATAAAGCTGGAAATGTGATAAATCAGGACATTGTGATTCAAATATACCCCCTAGTTCTAGCAAAAGTAACTTAATCGAGCCATAGTATGTTTAGCTTGCATACGATATTGACACATAATATGAAAGTAATGAATAAAAGAACTTGCTTAGAGGGAAAAAAAGCTTACCAAAGAGGACCTGTGCGGAAGTCTTGGCGCGCTCACTTAGGATAATAAAAATAATGATGATAATAATTATAAACGCGGTTTGCGGAGGACTTTGGTCAGACTGCATTAAGAAGTTTAAAAATTTTGGAGGATATTTTTACAGATGCACACAATTTTAGAATTCAGTAGGTATTCTCTGTAAAACTACAACTGTCAGTGAGAGCGTTTAAGGCATCAGCTTAACGGTTTACAAACAACGTTGAGCGTCGAAAGCAATCTGGTATTGTGTTGGTTTACTTCATTAAGCTCTGTGGTTGGTCCACAAAAATCGCGTCACCGATTCGACCACTGAGGTTCAAAGCTGAAACCAATCACGACTTGATCGCCCGTGCTTTATCACGCTTCAGGGAGTTTGCTTGTTTCCATTTTGAGTTCTTACACGCTACTTGTAAAATTAACCTTTATTTTAACTTGATGTCCCAATTACTTTGGTTTTAGTCTTTCGTATATCAATCGAAAAACGCTTCCAAACCGCTTAACAAACTTTCAACTGTATCTTATTTTCACAAAGTCAATTAAAACTACTAACTTCCGCTCTAGTAGGAGGGCTTTGTATTTGATGTTACGATGAGGAAAAAAATTGTCTGAAAATGTCCATCACTGTTCGTCTTATTTCTCTTAGTGTCCAGAAGTACAAAACTGGGTTCAAAGACGAGTTTAGAAAAACCAACACTCCAGCAATGTTCCAAATGATAGCTTTACAGTTTGATATTCCTTCAAGTGAAATAATAGTAGTCGTGACAGTGTAAGGGAGATAACACACTGATAATGTTAAATGTATACAAAGTGCACTTAAAACAGTCTTCTTGTACCGCGCCAAGTTTAAAGAAGCTGTAGAATTGGAATCATGTTCCTGTATTTGCGCTTGTTGGCGGCGAATTTGGAAATAAATTTTCAAGTAACAACAAGAAGATATGCTTAAGAACAGCCATAGCCATATGCAGGAGCCCATAAAGAAAAATTGTTTGTTCCACAAATAAGTCAATGCAAAAGTGAAGTTTACAATCCATGAAGATATGATCAATGAACGGACACGTTTTAAAGTTACAATCTGCCTGTATCTCAGCCTGAACAGCAAAGCAAAGAGCCTGTCCGTACTTATAAGAGTCAATGTGTTAATAGATTGTCCGCACAATACTGCACTTGTAATGTAAGCTAAGCTTTCAGTTACTTCACAAACGTCACCCACTTTGTCAGCGATCATCTTGTGATAAACAATAAATATGGGCTGGGAAATCATTCCTACCAAGAGGTCTGTACACGAGAGCCAACGAAGTAAAAGTTTTGATGGTGGATGGAGAGAAGAATCTTTACAAAGGGCGACGAGGATGATGAAGTTTCCAGGCAGAGCAGTGATGGATAGAATTGCGTTCACGTAGATAAAAATGTGAGAATTGAATTTACATTTGACATCCTCGCTCTCTTCAGCGGAACTCAATAAGCATACGGATAATTTCACAGAGTCTTCCTTTTCTCTTGACGTGAAATTTAACATTTTATAAACCTTAATAGATCAATCCTTCTTGTGATCTCCGAACAACTCCAACCGGCAGCAAAAGTACTGCGATAGAAATGCCCCCAAAACCTCAAATGGATATTTTGAAACGAAATGGCACAAATTCAATACAGGGGATCGCTTCAGGAAATTTATGGTACTTATCAATAATTTAAACAGCCCTGAAGGGACTTGACCACCTGCCACCATTCTCAGTAAATCTTTACTTCCTTTTTAAATTAGTAAGTCACCAAGTAAGATTAACCAAATAAGATTAATCAATTGAAAAGCAGGAGAACAACAAATCCGTTGAGTCCCTGAAAAGGACTGAGCAATTTTGGATGCTGTTGGAAAGGCGAGCGACCTGCCAAACTAGCAAAAAATATGGGAGACAAGTTTACCAAGATGACAATTTTTTTAATTTTTGAAGCTTTGTGAAATAATTAATACACGTAAATAGTCAAGTTATTTTTAATCAATTATGTGGAAAATTTATTGATAGTTTTATGCAAATCATGGTCTTTCCTTAAATTAAAAATTTATGTCACTATGTGTATATTTCTGAAAGGTGTCTTTGATGTTGGGCATATAACCCATAAAGTTTTCCTGGCTATTTATTCACTAGCTTTGACTGTATAATTTAACAATACCTGTGGTGGTAATTCTGTCTGAACATTTTTAGCTAACTTGGTTTCCTGGCTATTTGTTCACTAGCTTTGACTGTATAATTTAACAATAATTGTTGTGGTAATTCTGTCTAAGTATTTTTAGCTAAATTAGTTTGAAAAATGGATGTTTTAGGCTATGGTGACCTATGAGCATACAAAAGTAACCAAAATGACTATTGTGTTTATTGCAAGGGATTCTGTAGATATTTTTTAAGTTTATGGAGAGACTGTTGCTAACTTTGGTTTTATTACTTCAGTCAAATAGAATCGCTTTAAGTTGCCTTAAGTCGCCTTAAGTCACCTTATGTCACCTTAAATCGCCTAAAGTCGCAATGTTTTTTCTGTCAATTTTGCTTAAGTCGCCTTAAATCGCCCAAAGTTACGGCGACTTAAGGTCCCAGAGTAGGCCTTTAAGTTACAGTAATTAAGATAACTTCAATTTCCGTACAGAGGAAACTGCGGAAACATTTGAAACGAGTGTAAATAATGCGAAGAGCACTTAGCAGGTCCATCATAAACCAACCATAAAATTGTATTTACAAAAACAAGAATATTAACGTGAGCGACGTTCTTGCTTTCTTTATCACTAAATGCGAAACACGCAGAGAGGTAACTCGTCTTCTCTGTGCTGTGAAGAGTTGATCACTTTTCCTTTGTTTTTTTTTAACCGGTCAGGAGGATTCCCAAACCAGTAAAAGTTTCCCTTCTGTTTGGGAAGGTTTGCTGTGTAGAATCCGTTGCATTTGGCTCAGTTATCAAAAGAACTTAAATTAAAAAAAAAAAAAAAAACTGCTTGTATATGAAATTGACAGTTTCATAGGAATAGACATTGAGTTTAGGTTATGATTACCTACCTCGGTCAGTTAAATAATACCGTTATCTCATTTTGAGTTTTCAAAATGAAAGAAACCGCGTTTTCTTTGTACTATGTAAGATTGAAATTGACAGAAATGCACTGCGGATTCAGTATCAGAAAATAGAGTAGGCCTTTGAGTTATTGTAATTAGGATAACTTCAATTTCCTCACAGAGGAAACTGCGGAAACATTTGAAACGAGTGTAAATAATGCGAAGAGCACTTAGCAGGTCCATCTTGTGCAAACTAATTTGTACCAACCTGAGAGAGACCAGTATAAAGATCTTTTATGTAACTCACAGATTGTAGAAATGCAAGATTGCTTATTTTTTTACACTCATGCAAGTCTTAAAAGAACTGGTCATATTTGTGTACGTTGATAAAGGAAATCAGTAAATATTGCGTTCAGTTGTGGAATAAAGTTATCACCTGTGTTTTCTACAGCTGGTGACAATAGTATCTTTTTTCCTCAGTGGGCGATTGCGGTCAAAATTTTCCGTGTCTCTTTTTCCATCTACTCAAACGATGCTTTCGAAAGTGCTAATCCAGGCTTTATGCAGAAGGCGAACTCATCACCTTTGATCCATCAGAAAATGGTCCAGGCTATCATCAAGCTGTAAAAAGCTCAGTGTTTAAGGCTATGGGGGGGCAACTTCCCCTCTTAAAAGCATACCTAACTAAAAATTTGGTCGGTGCAGATGGCTAAAATAAAGACCTAAGGTTTAAAAGCGTAAGAATCTACGAGGACCAGAAAACTACCCGATGCAGTATTCAATTAAGGACTGTCAAGCTTGTGAGGTGCACGCAATTCATTAAGACTGGTACTCATAATACATGAAATACTTTTAACGGCAACGGGCCATTCTTACTGCCATTACCTATACTTGGTTACACCTAGAGATATGTTTCAGTTTAGTGGGAAAAAAGGCCAGTTGGCCGATTCCTCGGATCAGGCGATGCCATTTGATGTTCCTGATATGAAATTTATTTTCTCAGAACGCTCTTATGCTTCAGTTTTTTTTTACTTATTTTTATTTCATTTGAGATGAGTGAAAAATTCTCATCAATCTGAGCCATAATTTACTTATTACATGTAAGTTACATTTGACAGTGAGGTCAGATTGTCTGTATCCGTGTAAAAGGTGATTAAAACTGATATTTATATCTGCATAAACTGTTTACATTCCTGTTTACATTTCCCCGTTATGAAGCAATGAACTGCAAGCTATCTCTCATCATAACAGATGATAAGAGCTACGGATTAAAAAGGGCACATTACAGTAAACCCAGATTAAAAAAAGTCATTTTTCCCATGCCCTGACGCAGTCTTTCTCAGTAGCTAAAAGATAGTGACTTTAATTTTAGTTTTCCATAAGCGATCCACAGTCCCATGCTTTAGCATAATTCCTTCATTTCGTTGGGTATCAATATAGGATCAATTTGAGAATCACTTTCATTTTGTTATCATTTTGGGGGCTGTAGAAGTCGTCGTTTGGTGTCGTCTCATTTCCCGAACAGTTGTTGGTTGTCAAACCATCTTTGCATGTCACAAAATGAAAACTCGCACTTCCCGCGAGGTAAAATTACATACATGTATATATATATACGTTTATTATGACTACCAACTTGGGTTTTTCGGTTACAATGTCTAACAACAATATTTAAAATACATATAAGTTTAAAAGGAGAAAGAAAAACAGGCAATTACAAAAGACCTAAGAATACAATTAAATCAAAGTGCTCTGTGAGCAAACTCGTGAATTGACACATGATTTTTTAGACTATGTTTAATGTTATCTGGTTTAGGGAATTTTGTGGTTGATTGTCATATCTAGAGTACGAGCAGTAGTTCAGTGTTCGCTAATGTAGCAAAGAAACAAAGTAACGTTGGGATAAGAAGGCATTACAATTGAAATAATCATGCTAGTACATTTGACAAGGTGGATGATGTCATGTGTTTTAAACTTCTATCATTTTTGTTTCTGGTTCAAAAGAAAAGGTTGGAAGTAAATGTGGGTGAAAAGTGAAATTTACTGTCTTTCGTTGTAAATATTAGAAAATCAAGGCAATACGGTCTTAATAAAAACATTAACGATTCCCTCTTTATCAAATGAGACAAACGGGAACGAGTTTTGAGTGATATAACTGAGCAAAGCCTGCCACCGTCATTTTGGATCTCCGCCTGGGTAGATTTAAGTCACGTGCTAGGCAACGTATAATCAATAACAAGATAGAATTTCATTTCAGGCCTATTTATCTATTTTGTGGTGTGTAACTTTCGCATTTTAGTACGTTGTATGCATGTTGAATCTTCAAATTGTCTTGAAACTGAAAAGAAAATTGTTCTTTAAAAATTCACTGAAAATCGGTAGCTAAAATTGTTTGTTTAGGTGTTTTTGATTTTCGTGTTAACTTGTTATTTCGTCAGTCTCAGGCACTTTTGTTGCTTCACACAGGAAAAACACACGCGACGAAACGTAATGATCAATTTTGTCCTCAATCTCACGCCATAACAGAAAAAGCTTTTGAACATCTGTAAACTCCGAGCGCTTCGCAGTAAGTGATATTTTCAATGAATCTTCGGATTGTTTTCAAGTTCAAGGATTGTAAATTACAATGTTATGAAAAACGAAGGTTGTTCTGTTATTTCAGTGTGAATCCTTGGATGCCTGCCAGTCGCTGGCGCCGCTTGTTGAAACTAAAACGAAAAAAAAATTTTAATTAGCTTCTTTTTCACCCCACCACTATTCTTAGCAACAAAGGTCGCCATTATCATTGGCTTCTTTTTCACCCCACCACTATTCTTAGCAACAAAGGTCGCCATTTCGTCTGTTTATTGCTCGCCAAAAACTATCAAATGCACTCAAAAAGGACTAAAATCTGAAAAAAGTTTACAGGAATCGACCAATCGAGCGAGCGAGCGAGCGAGCGAATGGCATTCCCCACATCGTATCTATAACTCGCTCTTGCGCATGCGCGCAATTCACGAGTTAAAAATGAAGTTATACTTAACACAAATGTTCTCCGCTAAATAGCTACTGCGCTAAACGACGCCTGGGGCGATTCACATTGTCCGCAGCTTTCAAATTACTAGAAATACAGTTTCAAAGTTTGCATCCACGATATGTGAATGAACGTTGTCCATCCATGGTGTTGAGGGATAACACGCGTGATCAGTATGAATTGGATCACAGTTAGTTGTCATGGTGTTGAGGGCCCAATGACCTCTGGGTACTATTGCGCAATTTTTCCATTTTGTGGCGGAGGAAAAAAACAAACTAGACCCTGTGAGCAGGGTAACTGGGATACCTGGATGGTACTGGATCCTTGGAATCAAGTGTAGTGATACTACGGGCGTCGGACTAGTATACTGTTTATTTGTACCCAATTCATCGACAGAATGAACGTTGTCCAACGAGGGATGTGTAAAAGATTGAATGATCGCGTATTCCTAGTGTTTAGTGTTTCTAGTATTCCTAGAACAAGGTACAAATATATTGTATCAAAGCTCATGATAGGCAAAACCAATGTCTCAATGTGTTTTTAACGGCTTGTCTCACTTCTCTTATCTTCCAACAGTAAAGAAATGGGTTCAGCGTCGAATTCAAGAAAACAAACACTCCACTGATGCTCGAGCTAGTGGCACCACAGTATGGAGACACTCCTTTTGAAATATTTACAGCCGTTGTTATAGTATATGGTAGATAACAAACGACAAGCGTAAAGTGTATCCACATAGCGCTGGAAACAGTCTTTTTGTACCACGCTATGTTTAGGGTCGCCCCAGGGTGAGACTGAAAACGTTGCACTTGCGATTGTTGGCGACGAAGAGCGACATAAATTTTCAGATAACAAAATGAAGATATAGCTAAACACATTGCAATCCACGCACAAGAACCAAGAAAGAAATAAAGCTCGCGCCACAAGAAACTAAAAGCAAATACGGTGCTCGTTGTCCAAGAAATTATCGCCAGAAACCTAACTCTTTTTAAAGTGACAATTTGTCTGTATCTTAATCTCAGCAACAAGGCGAGAAGTCTGTCTATACTTATGGCGGTTAATACAGTGATAGATTCTCCACATAACATCGCACTTGAAATGTTGGCCAAACGTTCAGTTAGCAGACACAATGTCTGATTTTTTCTTGCAGTAAGATAAATGATATATATCGGCTGCGAAACAAGTCCAACCAGGAGGTCCGTGCAAGAAAGACAACGAAATAAAAGCTTCGATGGCGGATGAAGAGAAGATTCTTTTTGAAGAGCGATAAGAATCAAAATGTTTCCTAACAGCGAAGTGATGGATAAAATTGTATTTACAAAAACAAGAATATTAACGTGAGCCACGCAGTTAGCGCTCTCGCTTTCTTTATCACTAAATGCGAAACACGCAGAGAGGTAACTCGTCTCTTCTTCTCTGTGCTGTGAAGAGTTGATCATTTTTCCTTTGTTGGTTCTTTTTTTTAACCGATCAGGAGGATTCCCAAACCAGTGAAAGTTTCCCTTCTGTTTGGGAAGGTTTGCTGTGTAGAATCCGTTGCGTTTGGCTCAGTTATCAAAAGAGCTAAAAGTTAAAAAAAAAAAAAAAAAACTGCTTGGATATGAAATTGACAGTTTCATAGGAATAGACATTGAGTCTAGGTTATGATTACCTACCTCGGTCAGTTAAACAATACTGTCATCTCATTTTGAATTTTCAAAATGAAAGAAACCGCGTTTTCTTTTTACTATGTAAGACTGAAATTGATAGAAGTGCACTGCAGATTCACTATCAAAAAAATTACACAATGGTTGTTTTGTTAACTTTGCAATAAGATTATAAAACAATAAGAAGCTCAGTAGACACTTTGGAGGATGGACAGATCAGTGACACGAAACTTTAATCTATAGTAGCGCTAATGACCTATTTAACATGGTATTTATTCAATGTATTTGGCACCGGATAACAATATGTTAGATACATGCGACTCGGCGTGTTTAGCTTTTGTCATTTCACAAGTTTCATAGTGAGAGGGCTTTCATTGAAACGTTTTGTTTTCGTGTATTTACACTGTCCTTTATTGAAACAATGAGAAGAAAATAAATTTAATGAGAAGAGACCTTTATTACTTTTTAAAATCAGTCCTTTGTTCGAAAACATATTTTTTTAACTGTTGCAAGGGGGCAATTTAAGTTTCAGTTCTAAGGGACGAACTTTGTCTACATAGTGAGCAAACCAAGAACGTTTAAGGAAATTAAAGGCAGCTGCCTTAGTCATCTCAACATTAACAAAAAAATTTTTAATTAACGAAACCGAAATAATGCAAATAAGCAGTGCTGTCACATAAGGGTTTTTGAGTCTACGGTGACAAAGGCAACGTAGACTCCATGTTATCAAGGCAAACGTTGTTGTAGTAACTCGTTTGGGAAAACGGCTGAATGCCAATTTCCGAGGTGTTGTTATGACCCAAAATTCACTCCATGCACCCATCACTCAATGACTCCTTTTTTTCTACTTCTTCTCCTGTTAACTTTTTGGTAAGTCCGCTAGCGTATAGGCTTTCGTGTGTTCAGTTCCAAAACCTGCATGTGGCTCAACTGATTTCTGGTAGCTTTTTCCCGGTTTTAAGTAGCAGTTTTCGACGAATTGGTAACATGTCATGGCAGCACCACTAGTTTTATGAGTTGCATCACCCTCAATTGCTTCCATCCACATCACCTTTAGCTCTGCAAAATGAATCCTCTACGGGTTTGCCTTGTATTTATTGGACCTTTTTAACTAAAAGTGGCGCCTAAGAAAGTCCACCTTAAAAGAGTACTGAGCCATGTAAAAGTATATTTAAAGACCCAGTATAAAAACAAAGAGCATCGTAGACTCGTGTACCTATTGGGTGCCTATTTTTCTCAATTTTCTAAAATGTACGGTATCTCTTATTCTTTGGAAAAAATGAAGTATATGGCAGGGTTTATGAAGGGAACATAACTTATGTCCTCTTGGGTATACACGTCAAAATCAAATTCATTAAAAACTGCACAGAAATGGAAATGATAATGAAACGTGCGAATTAAATACTGCAGAAGATGATCGTACAAATTTTGGTTCGAGTAGGCTCATGTTACCATGGTTACCAGCACATTTGCTGAAGATTCCGACTTCAACAAATACAAAACGGCTTCTAGTCTCTGTATCGTTGTGAGACAATTCTGGGGCTTGATATCTGTACTGAAATATCTCACTCTTCAAGCGGACATGTAACTTCTATCGAAAGTATATCTTTGAAAGTTTAAATAGGCAATTTCGATTACCTTAGGAGCTATTTGCTTTATTTATCGCTGCATATGTGGAGAAGAATCCTGATATATCGTTTCATTTATCGATTTAGTATGGACTGCACTTTCCCCTCACTCTCAAAATTCGCACCTCTCGTTATCATATATTCAAAACGACCAGCCTCCGAGAATCTTCACCTTTTTCCTTTTTTTTCTTTTCTCTCCAGTAATAATATGAATGATAGAGTGTTTTGCAGGGTTTTAGAGCCACCCCAAATCATTGATTCGAATCAGATGATAGTGGGACCTTCCAAGCGCCCTTTTAAGATCTGACGGGACACACGCAAAGCTTGGGAAAATATTTCGCTCTCGTCACCATTGCTACGCTCGGTCCATACGTCATGACCTCGAGTGCGCCTTTCCACTCAGTCTATAAGTATATTGTCTGTTGGAAAAAATATATAATTATTTACAAGATCTCCACGTTGTACAGCAAACAAGTCATTAGCTTGATTATTCCATGAGTAATTTACTTGATGGTGACTTCATTTCGATGATGCGCCATCTCCACGACAACGGAAACTAAATGACAGCGATCTTAAAAGGATAATTTAGTGAGATATAAGCGATCCTCGCAGCTATTAACACTAATGAACTTGTAGTCGAAGTCGGACCTGAAAAAATTCAGGCCCGTACGGTCTCATTTCAGCTACTAGTTCAGTAGTGTTCATAGCTGCGAGGATCGCTTATATCTCATTTCTTCACCGCAGTGCACTTATATGATTTTCATATATTTCCCGTCATCGGGGTAATTTAGTATTATCAACTGAGTTGATAGCGTAAATTGGCCACCGTAAAGAGTTTCAAGGCTGACGTTTCGAGCGTTAGCCCTTCGTCTTTCGCTACTTGACGGCTGTGATTAATTTAGATTTAAATAACCTTTACTTTACTCTGACTGTTTAGATATAAATTTGCTGCTTCACTGTCTCACACCAAAATTTAGCAAAAGCATCCTAGTCATAGCTTTTTGTTGTTGTCATGACGCCAAATACAAATGAACTCTAGTAAAGAAACCCTAACTTTAGTCAGTTCACTCTAGACCTCTTCATCATGACTGATACAATATCTTTATGTTTCCTTTCCATTTAAATATAAAGATCATTTTTAATTCATAATTTATTAATATATGGATTGTATTAATTTGAAAATTTTTCGCCAGAATATCAACAAACAAGACGATTCTTTTTAGCTACGGTGCATGCTTGTCCATACTTTAGTCTAAAGATAAATAGGTCAACGATCATCAGGGAGTTGGCATTTATTCATTAGAGGTAATAATGATAATCCATCTATTTTCTATACTTAAAAATACATACTCGTTCTGTGACTTATTATGGCTTACCGTTATATTGGAAGTGTTTCCGTTAATTTGAAAATTCGTCAAAAGAAGCAATTCATTAAAATATTATGTTCTAGAAGATATATTCCACTTTGACTTCCCGCACAGTTAATATTGGAACAGGTGCTCAAAAGTTCGCGCATATGGCTTGGGAACTAATAATAAATACACGAGGCTACCTTTCACCTGCTAATTATTATTTACAGAGTTTTCCACGCCCTTTTTGATAATGTCTTGCAAGGGTTATGTAACACTTAACGGAACCTTTCGTCTTGCTCAGTCCTTTGCTTGCTTTTACAGATAATTACACTGTAAAGTAGAAACTAATATCGCCCAAGGACACAAATTTTAAACCTAAATTAAGCACTGAAGAGAAAGAAACCTTGTTCTTTTTTTCTCTTCATAAACCCTTTGAGTTTCGGAGAAGTAATTTCCTCTTATTAAGCAGGAAAGTGATGAAAACATTGGAAAATATCAACCGGAAGACAGCTTTTCTTGATTTGAAACCAACCATTACTTGCAATCTAATCAATATATGCTAGGCAGGGGAATCATGTTGCGATCGTGGGGGTGAAATGATTTTTTTCACCTCCTCTCTGAGTTCCTTGATTCTCCAGCAGTAAAGAATAGGATTCAAAAGTGAGTTTAGGTAGACAAATGAAGGGGCAGCTCCAAAAGAAACGATCAAGGCTGAAAATGGAATCGAGGGCACAGATCTAAATACAAGAACTATTGCAGTAGGAGAGTAACATGTTATTAAAGTGAAGTTTATCCATAGAGCTGTCGAGACTGATCTTCTGTATTGCTTTAAGTTTATCGAAGAACGTGTAACTGATGATCTATTTTTGTTGCTATCCTTGGTCTCGATTACCGCATATCTTTTTCTGATGACCTCGGAGAATGACGAAAATTTTCGCGTAACAAAACGTTGATGTTCCCAACCAAAGAGCGATGCAAATGGCGCTGATGACAGAGTATATGCGAACACTGAAGTTCAACAGGAGTGTTATGCTCGTAGATAAACAGAAAATCCAAACGAACAGCAGCGAAATACGAACCCGTGTTAGAGTAACCACTTGTCGATATCTCGTACCCATCAGCAAAGCGAGAAGCCTGTCCACGCTTATAGTACACACAGTCATAAGAGACACGCCGCATAATAAATACGTGGTGATATGACTTAATTTTTGTGTTAAAGGGCAAATGTCCCAGCGTTCGTAAGCGATAACCATATTATGTAGAATGTAGGAGGGCTGAGTGATTAGTGCAACACAGAGATCTGTAAACGCCAAGTTCCGAAAAAGAAGCTTTGATGGCGGATGAAGAGAAGTGTCCCTGTTAAGGGCCAAAAGGATGACAGAGTTTCCGGACAAGATGAAAATCCATAGGGGCAGATTCAGAGCAGAAATGATGAAGGCTGTGTTGAGGCGTATCTTATCACTGAGATCATTTTGAATGCGTTGGCAAAAGGCCTCTGGTTCGATCATGTGGCGAAGACTACTAGAATTTTCAACTGTTAGATTCATCATTTTCTTTGAATGGCTCAGATAACAGATAAAATTCGGGTTCTTATAAGAAATTTCTCGTGTTCCCTTGGTTCGAGGAAAGCCGTCAAAAATTTGTTTGTCGTAGCGAAACTAATAAAGTGAAAGGTTAAACAAGTTGATCCAATATACACATCCGAAAGCCTGCTGAGCTGTCCATAAACAAATAGTAGAAATTTCATAAAATAGTAAATTACCATTGCTAGCAGTTTATTTGTACTTTGCCGGATACTCTGAGAAATCTTATTAGCACTTGGAAAAATTTCATGCAACATTATAGGTTGGGATCGGACTATGACTTACTCGAAGAAGACACCTGCATTCGAAAAAGTTGCATCTTACGATTACACGTGCCCATCTTATCACGCAATAGCAAATTTTCAAAGAGAGATAAAAAAAAAATGCTAAATGGAAAATTTAACATAACTAGGCTTGAATAAGATTGTCTTCCGAGAGGTTCACGATAATATCGATTGGTGCAAAAACGGGTTTTTTGCTCGGAAATCATCTTTACTGACTGATATTACGACGGAAGCGCGGACATAATTTTGAAAGTCAAGGTGATGCCTCAGAACACTTAAACAAAAGAAGTGACTTCCTGTTGGATAAATATAGATTTCCATCAGGAAGGATGTTATGTAAATGCGTGTAGGGAGAGTGTGTGTGTGAAGAAAAGTGAAAAAAAAAATCAAAACTTCCTCTTTTTGATTAAATTGAAAGAAGTATGACTGACTTAAAGGTGTATTATTCATCCTTAATTCACTGGCGTTGCTTTTGATATTTGAGCTAGAATTGATATCTGTCCAGAATTGACCACAAGTAACACACAAATGCCACAAGTGACTTGGAATCACGAAAATCCTGGTGCAAATTGATAATTGGGGTTATGTTGTACGATTAAGAAACCTTTTTGCCAAGCAATGTTTTAATATATATGAGGAGAAGGATTAAAACTGAAAAAATAATCAAGCCCCTTAAAACTTTTTCAAATAATTGAGAAATGAAGCAAGCCGTACGACACTTCCACTTTAGCTTTCATTGCGTATTCATAGCAGATAACAATTGTTTGCCACGAAGCACTGATCGCTCTCCGCTAACCTCTGAAAAACTGATCAAATCTTCCTCATCCATTTGGAGAATCATGAATCATGTACTGTCCTTAGTGATCGTAAGACATAGTACTATATTTTTTAAAACAGTTTTCTCGCAATTTCTGTTCTTTTGGCTTGTAATAAACATACGAAAACGTGGATATCAGTTTTCGCGACCAGTTTGTGGAAGCAAATAAACAATAAGATAACTTGATTAGACAAGAAATCGACGAGCATCCAAAAATAGCATCAGGTAACTGGTGGAACACTATTATTCTGAAATTCACTGCACCCTTTCTGATAGTCATCGGTGAACACATATATCTACGTATCCGTTTGCAAACATGTGCGGTTGCTTGCTTTCTTTCTCTATTAGTTTTCGTAATTTTAATTATAATGTAGCTCTCCACAAGTATTTGGACTCAGATCTCAGAGTTGGTAGTAAAATAAATAAAGAAACGTAAAAAATTGTTGTTGCTGCGTCAAAAATCTGGAGGAAAAGGAAATAAGATTTAATATTTGATGTCAGCCAGCTGGAGGATTTGCCAGGATATCGGCCACCGTTAGGTGTTTATTCATTTTTTTTTGATGAGTTACCAGCCCTCCACTTTCACACATGGTTGTCTCTAAATCAATTCAAACTTTCAAACAACCGAAGAACAAACATAAACAAGGGAGCCAGAGAGCGAATTAAATAGACAGGCACCTTTGAGGACTCATTTACACCTGGAATGTTATTCAGAAACCCTGTTATCCAGCTAGGTTATTTTGACAAACATTACGTGATTGGCAAGGATCGATAAGTATTTCCACAGTATTTCGAGTGCTTGAAAAAGCAAGCGAAAGCTTACTGAAACAATAACACGACGGATATATAGATAGACAGATAGATATTTTTAAGTTTTTCATTAAATCACTTTGTTTTAAAAAAATTGTTATTCAGGGTATCTCATTCAGCGGCAAAGTCGGTATCCATTGGGGCCCCGATTTTAAAACTAACAATACTGTTGTAGAAATTACTAATTACATATCTACGGAGTAAGAAAGAGATTTTACTATCAGGAGAGTTTTCTGGCCCAATATATTTCTGAATTAGATACTAAAAGAGCGATAGTCTCATCCACAAAAGATGTTTAACAATACCATCAATCTCAGTCTATTTATGTATAACAACACTTCTTTATTCTTACAGCCACCTCGAATCTAAAGGTGTTACTACAATAATAATGAGAACATTACGTTACCTTTATTTGGTTTAAAAACATAACAAAACAGCAGCAAAAAAAGCCAAGATATAATCAGAACATGAAGGAATGGCTTTTTTCCTGTAATTTCCTGTAAACGATTGATATTATTACAAATTCCATAGCAGAGCAAGTTTTAGGGCTCATTTTTGTTTTTGGAAAATTTGTTTAGCTTGTTACGTTCTCAAGTATTTGTTAGTTTGTAGGTTATTTGCTAATATTAATTCCAGTATCGAGATATCAAGATGTTTAAACTAACATCATTTCCTATGCTTCCTTAGGCGGTGGCAGAGGTTTAAAAGTTTCAGACAGGAAGTCTTTAAAAATAATATGTTCCCGGTTGCCAAGTTCATCTCTATTGCGTTATGAAGATTAAACAACTGGGCGGAGCTTAACAATTTCAACATTTATCCCCAAATTTTCATTTTTAATACACATGGTTATAGTGAAATGAATCGATAAAAAATAGTCTTTGGTGTTCATTCCACGGAATTAAACTTACTGAAAGCTACTTTTGCAGCTCAAGAAGAGCAAATCATAAGTAAATCATATCCCATTGACATAAGCAAAACATATCTAATGAAACCATGTCTAACTGAATGAAAATCGGAAACAGAGAACAAAAAAACCGCTGGAATTTTTCATATGGTTCAAGAAGTCTAAGTTTGAAGTCGACAAACATTGGTTTAAGCAGCCTCAACGAGGAAAACAAAGCTAAACCATGTAAATAGGATAAGAAAGATTGTAAGTTTTTTTCAAAGCTAAGCCATGTTTGACGAAACAGCTGTAAACGCACGTTTTAGTTTTGGTCGGAATGGTGTATTAGTTCCCAAGATTTAGCCTACGATTTCGCATTTCCTTCATCATAGCGTTCGTCTCCTCTTTCACTGCCCTAAACCAGTCTTTGGGAGTTTATAACTTTATTCAGTGTTGTGAACAGAATCTTTGGAATATCTGCTTCACCTCATGCCTGATCTCTTTAATTTTCCAGCAATAGAAAAGTGGATTTAAAGTCGAGTTGAGGTAAACCACAGAAGACGAAACGGCTTCTGCCACCAAAAGCCTTCTACCAGCTATAGCTACCATGATACGCACCATTGTATAAGGCAGAAAGCATAAAATGAGAACAAGATGGAAAACTAAGACGCTGGAAACAGTCTTCATATACCCTGTACCACTTTGGAGACCAATGGAAGCTGTTTCGATCTGTTGCCCTGCTAACTGATACTGTGAATCATGTACCCGTTGTGTTCTTTGGCGGCGAAGTGTGCAATACATTTTCAAGTAACAACATGTCGAGGCCACTAGGCTAAGTAATGTCAACGAGCAACTCAAACTAAAGTACACAAGCCTGTTTTTAAAAACCAACATACTTACGGCGAAACTCAGTAACCAGAGGGCGGCGACTACTGCGCGAACTCGTCGAATTGTCACAGCCTGTCTGTATCTCATCTTTAATTGCAAAGCGAGAAGTCGATCCACACTTATTACAGTTAGTGTTGCCAGTGAAACGTTGCACAGAAACGTGCCAGTAACATACGAGACCATTGCAGCGGCGGTGCAAATATGGAAACGCTCAGCGACCAAGGATATCTGGTAGATGACAAACATAGGCTGTGTTACTACTCCAACGCATAGATCGGTTGCGGCAAGACATCGAAACAGCAGTTTCGAAGGCGGATGAAAAGAAGATTCCTTATTTAAAGCAAGAAAAATGACTATGTTGCCAAACGTGGCTGTGAGTGAAAAAAATATATTGAAAACTAAAATAATAATCAACACGTGTAAAGTTTCGTAAGGCGTCGCTCTCGTGGCAGGAAAGCAGAGGGACTGAGCAAGACTCGGAGATTTTTCTTTCCACGTAAAATTAGTCATGGTGAATGATACAACCGGCTAAAATAGATGTTGTTAACCGTCTTAAATGGTTAAACGGCTTTATGCAAGGTCAACATAAAATCAAGAGGTCATTCACTGGGTTGTCAAAGACTTGAAAACCAGTTTAAATCTTACTCGTGACAATTACGTTTCTTTGTAAATTAAAGTTTGTTTTGTGAAAGGACACTACACACACTTTGAAAGAGGATCATTACATGATTGTCATTTGAATCAATACCCTTCATTCGACAAATCGGAAACACAATGCCAATTTGGGATAGCCATTGTACTTAGTATTACAGTGATTGTGTTTATTCACCGGTGTGTTGAGACAATTGCTCAATAGGGAAGAACATCTTAAGAGTTGTTGGATTTAAATACTTAAATTATAATTCAAGACTTGGGGTGGAGTGAATTGAAGGATTCATATCAGGCGTGTTTTCGGAAGTGGCAGAGTTTGCCCGAGCGCGAAGAAGGGACGAATGACTGAGGACGCCAAACTAAGAGCTGAGCAACCGCCCTCAATAAATGAATGCGATCAGACGGAGGCCAGAAAAAACCTGCCCGAAAAACCTCAAAGAGTAAAAAAGGCAGAAAAGCTGAGTAGGAACCAAGGCTCATACTTAAAATGACCCCTACTACGAAACTTGGCAAGATTCAAATGGAAAAATAATTTGATAACTAAGTGAACAAATCACTGGATAAATGAACCAACCGCCCATCTTAACTGCTTAAGATCAAATAAAAGCTATGTAAAACTGCTAACTGTCCGTAAGGCTGAAAAACATGCTCGTAATACACCCAGGCACAAACTTCCAGTAAGACTACTGAGCAAGTGCAAATGCAAATCATAATATGTAAATTGTCAATAGTGAGTACAATGGCACAAATCTGTGAGTCACTCGCGTCGAAATACGGGAGAGCAACCCATGTTACAACAGCCTGTGTCAGAAGCTCACATTAAAAAAAAAAATGTTCCCTTTATTTCCATTAAATTGGGAGTTACTTTCATGATGCTGGATACTTCTTCCGTTACATTCAGTACTTTCTCCTTTTATTTGTCTGTTTACTTCGTGATATTCTATGATTATATATTCAAGGCGGAAGCCATCGTATGTAGGATTTCAATCACTGTTAACTTCGTTCAGTACCTACTCCATTTTATCAGGTGCTATCTTTATTAAATGCACCTATTGCTTCATTCCCTTCTGTGCTTTTTAACGTGTGAATTTTGTGAGGAATAAGCGATTTCTGGCACTTAGTGAGAAGAAATTACGGTCGATCAGTTCCTGTAACATCCGGGCACGGCCGAGTAGAATAAGGAAATGTTACATCACAGGTATGCGGTCAATAACGCGGGTTCAAGCGCACGAGGTTTAAAATTCAGCGAAAGTTGCGTAGAAAAAGGGGGATGGTATTAAAAACCGAAGCATTTTGTTGTCGTTGACGACAATTTTTCTATTTCCAGTGTTTTCAAGGAGAAAATTAATTTTTGAAAATATTGAGTGGGTGTGCAGAGTTTTTGGAGGTTGTTCTGAAAAAGAAAAGCGGCAAGGCAAACAACGCCTCAAAAAGTTTGTCCGCTAGAGCCCTGCCGCAGAAAAAAGTTTATCTCGAGGAGCTTATAAACGGTATCCGAGGTTTACGTGCTCTGTTCCACAAATAGATTCTATGTTGCCGTCCTTCTGTTCAGTAACAGATCACAGATTACTTCAAAATGAAAATTCATTCATGAATCATACTCGCCTTTCTGTCAAATTCACGTGTCATATATAAATTTTGGCCCTATCATATGTCATGTATAAACCCTATGCCGCCGCCCCTCCCCTTCCTCCTACCTCAGTATGGACAGAGCGGATCAATACCAGTATCTGGGCAACTGCCCACCTACCCCTCTCCTAACCCAGCATTAACCCTAAGTTGTTATCAATTGACTTTTGTTGAGTTAGGGGAGGGGTGGGTGGGCAGTTGCCCAGATACTGATATTGATCCGACAGAGCCTCCATTTCCAACTGTGCTACCTTGAGATTTCATTATCAATCCAATGCATTTGACTAAAAAAATCTTAAGGCTAACTCTACCCAGCACACACCCCTAGTCAAAGTAGTAGTCAATAGAAAAATTGCCCTTCTTCCCTCGGCCAAAAAATAAGAGATATTTTCTGGGATTGCTCAATGTTCTCGCCTTCCCTTCGAGCAAATGTTTACCACTTTTTAAATAAGTTCCTGTTTTATACCCCCACATCATGACGTAAATAGCAGAAATCGAGATCATGCTTGTCAAACCAAAGCCTGAAAAAATATATATTTAGTGATACCTAAATCTCCACTAATATGGGTAACTCTCTCAGCTGCAGCGTTATGGGAATCCTGTAAGTTTATGTTAGAACTATGTCTAATAATTGTACCTCTTGCAAATGTTTTATCTTCGTTACTGAATTTTTTTATTCTTTCCATGCACAATTGTATACAATATCCAAGAAAAGCGAATTAAGAAGATTATTTCTTGCCTACTCAACGTCTTATAGTGACTAGAATATCTAAATGCCTATTAATAAGGTGTTCCATCCCGCTGGTTTGAGATTCTCAATGTATTAAGTCCTCGCAAAGTGCACACAAAAAAATAATCGTCCTGTTCGTATCGTTTAAGACATCACAACGACCGCGTACCTAAATTTTGTTTACGAGCAAGGATCAGAGTGAGATGGTTCAGGAAAGAGTTTCGTCTGATTTATGTCCACCTGTGAAGGATTTAAATCTGAAAGGTACCACTGATGACATCATCCCTCGCAAAAATATTGAAAGCTGATCCCAAGTCAGAAACAACTAATATATAGATTTAGCCAAGCCTAAAAGCGGAGCTCGCACTTTTTTTCACCGCACGTCTCAAGGGCACAACGCTTTGCCCCGGTCAGTACTAGAACCCGGGTCGTCCGACTCGGAGCCCAGTGCACTGACCACTGGAATCGATCGTACGGTCATAAGTCCAATTTTTTTCGGCTTGATGGGTTACTACTACCATTTTGTATAATTATGGGGCTACGCTCTGCGAGCTCCGCAATTATTGAAAGGTAAGTTAGTTACGAGGAAAAGTGGTTTCATCCCTTTACGACTTCGACTTATAAAAAGTAACCTCCGGAGATGAAATACAAAGAACAAATGATGCCTTCAGATTACAGTGTAAGCTATAAACCCTTTACTCAGTGTTTACACCCTAACATCAGTGTGTATATTCTCCATACCGTTCTCTATACATTTTCTAAGATACTGACAAGGAGAAATTGTGTGTCAATCAAGAACTTCTTCAGTTGGTGTTCATTTCCTTAATCCTCGCCACCTAAAGTTTGATTCAGGGGTGATATTGTAAGGAGAAAGTAGATGCTAGTCACTATTAGAGGTCAAAGTGTTAACCAGCCATTTATTTATTTATCCGCTTTCACCATGATCAAAATGCTAAAATAAGACTAGGAAGAAGAAATAAATTTGAAGAGGTCATAAAAACGAGACACGAAGGTGCAGTACACACAACATAGTGGGGCTCCACATTTTTCCTTAAGAAAAATACACAAATACTAACTATGTAAACATCATAAGTGTAAAAATCCTATTTATGGAAAACCACAAGAGCAAATTGCTTCTGCAGCCAATAAAAAGACTCAGTACTTTGACCCTTTCACTCCCATGAGTGACCAAGACAGAATTTCTCCTCACAATATCAATACAATATCAACCAGATAAGTGATGAGAATAAAGAAAAATATCAATTTGGGAATGATTAGTTGATCCAATACTAAATTTGCTGAACTAACATTATAAGAATTGTATGGTTGACAGTAAGGAGAATGACAAATTTGATCTGGAGTTAAAGGGTTAAAGTGGATGAAAGCTGCTGATAAAGAAATATATAAATAACTTCCATAAACTTCATCTAGTCAGAATGAGTTTGTATCTAGAATGCTGTAAATAAGAATATTGACATGCTTAAATAGCTTGTGAAGGAATTACTCTTGACAAGATTTTTGCAGGAAGAACAAGCCAAATGACTAAAAGAATATAAAGCAGTGACTTTGCAAAATCTTAGCCAGTTCAGTTTATTAAAGTAACATTGAGGAGCAAATTTGTCTTGAATCTTCCAAATTAACCTCAAAAGCCTTGCTGAACAAGGTTTTCTTATAGGGAACCTGTCAATTGTTTAGGATAGAGTGAGCCAAACTTAATTTATCAGATACAATCACACAAAATATGTTTGGTAATTACTGGTACTATAGTTCAAAACTGAATTTTGCTCTAGGAGGTTACAAGTATTACGAATAAAGTGAATTTTGAAAAAACATTTTCCTTCTATGTTCCATTTCAGTTTCAAAGTACAAAGGAAAACTTCATATGGCTTAAAAAAATTCCATTTAGCACAAATTAACTATCAGAATGTGATACACATTTACAACAGATATCAATATATTGGTTTACGGTTAAAGAACTATGAAAAAATTGAACACCAGTAGAGTGAACACGACAAGGTGATATGAGCTATAAAAGGTATCACTTTGGTAATGTTCAAGAGCAGTTGTTGTCTTGTTACAATTTCTCTCTGCATTGTTTAAGTTCTAGATTTCAACAAACATTGAGCAAATGAAGGCAATTAGATAAATAACGAACAAGAAAAGAGAGATCTGCTCTGTTAAAGGGTTGTTGTTATGTTGTAACAATTTCTCCCATCATTATTTAGATTCTAGCTTTCACCATATTGAGCAGATGAAGACAATAAGATAAATGAGGAGCGAGAAAAGGGAGATCTGATTTTTAAAGAGCTCAATATAAGTCAACTTAATATTTGGAAGGTAAGAGGGAAATGAAAGAAAGGCAGGTTCCATGTACATATTTTTAATGCATGAACCTGGATGAAGCACATGTACATTTTGCCCTGGTAATTTGAATAGCTAAAGGGGACACTGCAGGTAGATGCATGATGTTAGAGAAATACTTATTCACACCTAAATGCATATGATAACGATATTATAAATTTGAGTGTGACTCAATCTGATGAGGGTGAAGCTGCCAGAATTCTTTTAATCTTCCTCACCACCACCACTAACCATAGTTAAAATCCAGACAGCTATAATTTTGAATCAATAAAAGCCAATGTTCTATTCTTTTACAACACCCACAAGAGCTGGTCTAAGTGTCCTTCCATGCAGTTTATATCCAACTTTTTCCACAACAGCAACAGTGCCTTTCTCTTTATCTGGTAAAGGAATCTGAAACAATGCTTCATGACTATGTGGATCAAATTTTTCATCTAGTGGATACACTTTCTCCAAACCATTCTTTTTGAAAACCTTCTGTAACTGGGCTTCAGTCATTAGAAGCCCATCATACAAGTTCTTCAGGTGAGTATTCTTATCTATCTCCTCCTTGGGAACTGTTTCTGTTGCTTTTCCTAATATGTCAGCAACTTCAAGCAGGTCTTTGGAGAAGGCCTGAATACCAAACAGCCTGGCTTCATCTACTTGCTTCCTGCTGCGGGACAGTATGTTCTCATTATCTGCTAGGGAGCGTTTGTACCTGTCCTGAGATAGAAAAGTTGTCAGTTAATTTTTTTTTTCGTTCCATATGTAGGATACAAAGTGTTTGAAAATCTTAGTTCATAATAGTAGCGTTTCTGACCCAGTAAAATTAAAATCTGATCGTCTAAACTGAGTCAGAAGAACCAGAACAGTTTCATCTCCTTCCTATTCTGCTCATGACTTCCAAACTTAGGATCCAGTGAAAACTACCTTGTTAAAGTCACAAGCAGAAAAACCAACCAATCACTAGGCCAGTTTCACCAATCTCAGGCCATCTCATGACTTAAACAGTCCAGTTTTCATGTAGTGGTAAGTGGTGTTAATATTTTTCTTCCTTTGGTTTCATTTCACTCGATCATATAACTCTGACATCATCTTATTGAAAACCAGCCTTGCTTGATTCATTGCCTGATTAGGCAATGGATTGACAGATTACATCATATGATAGAGTCACTCACAAGGGACTCATTCACAGCGCTCATGCCTAGAAATGAAACCCTGTAAACAACCAATCGTAACTAACCAACCTCGCAAAAACTCTTCCTTTGACTAATTTAAATGCTATCTCTACGAACATTATGCAACTGAATACGAACATACGTTATACAATAATTGGTGCCAATAATTTATCCTTCTCTTTTGAATCAATCTATAAATATTGCTGACATGAAAGACGTTGCAATGTAAGACCTTTTCCTAACTGTCTGCGCTGACGTAACTTACTTACCAAATAACTCGAGATCTAGAGCACTATCACAAAGGCATCACCTCTGTGAATTTTACCGTTCCTCAACATCTTCTGTACAAAATTTCCCGGCATCGAATATGTCTTACAATAAAGATAACAAATAAATTGATCTTTTGAATTCCAATCTTCGTAATCTCCTTTCGAGTGCTACTACAGTGTCCTCCTCCTATTAAAGTCATCCTCAATTATGACAGAGCCCTTCGCCTACCTGAAGATCTTTTAGCAAACTTTCTTTTTCTTTTAAAAGACGATCGTTTTCGGTTTCTTTAACTTCTTGGGCAGGTTCTGCTGCTTTCATTTCGGGCTGCGAAGATTTCTGATCTGAATCAACGCTTTCTTTCGACGCAGCTGCTTTCATGTTAGGACTCGACTGGGCTGTGCAATATTTCAACTTTGTCCCCAATAAACGCGACAGCTGAACGTAGTTTAGCAGTTTGGAATGCTCAGGCTGTAGAACAGCACTTCTTACGGCTATTAAGGTAGATCTCAACATCGCTTTCTTTGAATTTGAAATAGAAAATTGGAAATATCTCTACTACTTTGGTAGAATTAATCTAAGTTACATCACATTCACGTGGGTTTTTTTCTTCTAAGAGCTGCGTAACCAAACCGTTCTCTGACAAATCAGACCGCCAAGCTCGCCGGGTATTATTCGCCTCCGTTCCAGTCTTTCTATTTCAGGGCGAGACGATGAGTTCCACTTACACTTGTCAATCGCTCCATAGAAATGAAGTTATTGTGAATATAAATTGCTGTCTCTAGATTATCGATGCTGAAGGTAATTTATCGGTCGCCTGAGTGATAGACTGAATAATCAAGCCTTTTTTTTTTCTATTTTTCTCAGGGTTGAGAAAAGTTACTTTTCGGAAAACGAAAAAATCGACGGAATGTTTCTAGGTTCCAACGTGTCGCAGGAGCCCTCTGATTCCTTAAAAAATACATTGTACACCCCTGATCTTGAGCGCTCCTTTATATACTTCGAACTACCCTCTGAGAAAAGCTTAAGCAAGGTAACAACAACAAGCAATCTTTATAGTCACAAATTTCATTTCACATCTCTTTTTCCGTAACGGGTATTTATCCCATTTCCTGTCAAAGGGAACCTTCAATTTAAGTCATTGACCTCTATGCCACCCTACGTACCACACGACATAATGGGCATGAGTGAGTGAGTGATTGACCTCTATTTTCGGTGGGAGAAATTCTGCAAAGGCGGGAGAATTACGGTACATTTATCTTTATGGAGAATATATAAACCAACAGATAAATTGCAGGACTCTTTGCTATGAATTTTAAGCATGGTTTGTATGTCATAAGATATCATTAAGAAATCTTTGAGACATCTGTGCACGATAAGTTTAGCGAACATTCCTTTCGAGGGGAAAGGGATTGTGATTCCCCCAGTTTTCCAACTTATTCACTCCACTTCTGTTTTCCTCAGCCTATCTTATCTTATCTTGGAAGTCACTTCACTTTCGCCATTTTAACCTCCACTGAGGTAAATTTCAATTATTCACGACCCTTTTCTTCTGATGTTTTATTCAATCTGTAAACAGATAAACGCTTATTACGAATACGCACCCAAACGCCATACACAGAAATTATCCGCGGAAGACGCTTATAATCACGCTTTCTTTACCAAGTTATTTTCGATCAGCCCCAGAGTCTCTATATTTTCGGAATACGTATTTATCTAATGGCGAATCCCTACCCACCCTCCCCGATACCCCTCAAGACACCCTTACCCCTGAACCAGAAAAGAGCGCCAAAACAGCTTATATCTTGTCAGCGGACACTCCCAAGTAGACAAGAAGAACGCGGGCATCTCCGAACTCAGAGAAAGTTCGGAAACTTGGAATGAGCTTAGAGAATTAGTCGTGTATTCTATCATGTCTAATCTAAGTGTAACTCCAAATAAGATCCGGAAGGTCGACCCCGTTGACGGAGCACAAAATTCGCATTCCGATCAGCAAGAAACTATTGAAGAAATCAATGCTGTGCAAAATCAAATCGACGCGCTAAATGAGCAAGCGTCCGAGGAGATTTTAAAAGTTGAGCAGAAGTACAACCGACTTCGAAAACCACACTTTGAGCAGAGAACAGACCTCACGAAAAAGATACCAAACTTCTGGATGACGGTTGTATCCTTTTGTTACTTTTGCTTTGTCTTAAAATTTATCTACACATCTTTCGTTTTGTACACTGGGTGAAGGTCTGTGACCTGTTGCCTGGAACATTTTAGCGTTTGTCGAAGAAGGAAATCACAAGTTAAGCTTAATTCCCGTAATCTTCTTTTACTAAGCGAAATTAAATATAATTGTTAAATTTACATTTCACTGTACATAAGATGATCGGTTGCGAAGGAAGCTTTTTTTTATTCGTGAACAATATTAATAAATGCACGAATAGATCTCTTGTTTGTCATATGTAGTCTTCGAGTAACGCAACGATATGACATTTGCATCCTAAATATCACCTCGATGTCGTTCATTTACCTAAAACATGTTATCCGTACCGCTTTTAATTTGGTAAATCCCTTAAAGAATAGATGTCTTGCTCGTGTAGACCTTCCTAAGCAACCCTTACCGACCATAATTTTCATTTTAGAAGCAATAAGAGGAACTGACCCACTTTACTCCCTAATCGAATTCACCAAGAACCACTTATGATGCTTTACGCTGCCAACACTACATTTTTTTATGGCTATCTTTTCGCAGTATGCGAAATATTTAAGTCTTTGATGTTGAAGAGTGATAGATGCGAGAAAATCAGTGAATATTTGACCAAGTTGAGTGAGAGCCACAAATCAAGATGGAGGAAGAACAGGACATCTGCATTCTAGTCACCAGACCCCAGTGAAATTCCTTGGGAAGTGAAACAGAAGACGATGTGGGACTGGAAATTTTAAATAGGTCATTTTTCATAGGACTGTGAAACAGAAAGTGGCTAGACATCAATAAATATATATTAGCCAGTAAATTAAATGCTGAAAATAATTAGTTTGAGCTACATGTATTTCAGAGAGATTAACTGATCTATAGCTGGATTATAAAGTTTTTAAGGTTGGGTGGCATCTAATTCAATCCTTTGGAATTAAATGCCTTGTTTTATTTTCTACTAAAATAATTTATTATTATTATTTACATTGATATTCAAGAAACCTGGCATTTTAAAATGCACGAACTTGAGTACAGCAAGGTGTCCAATTGAGATGAAAGAATTCTCTGGTTGATATTGTAAAATTCTCCTACTGAATTTTGACGGTCTGTGCTGTCCTCTGTCAGTACATAGGGCCATTGTGAAATGTTTTCTCCTGTTGATTTAAAGTATTCTCTTCTCCTATATTTCTTGACATCACTCTGGTCTATAATGTTTTAACAATTTACACACATGACTTAATCTCAGAAATACAATGCATTTTCTGAGTTCATATCACATAGGCAAGCCTTGTAATTTTTATTATAGCATGTTGAATTTTTCATCTGTGATATGGTAGTTTCTCAAATCAGTTTTGAAACTCATAAGTTGGAAATTGATCACTGTACGCTATCTGTGGTAGAAAAAGCTCGGGTAAAAATTCCTTGACATTTGTTGCACAGTTCATAAATCATCCACAGATGCAGTTGTATATAGATGAGGAAGACGAGGAAGCTTTGCAGTACATGACATCCTTAGAAGTTGAAGAGTTTGAAGATATTAAGTCTGGTTACAGAATAAAATTTGTAAGTCCTCTCTTAGCTTTGATTTACTCTTTCTTTGTGAAGCTTTTGTGGCATAACTGGTATTGAGTGCTAATGAAATTTTGACATTATAAGGAGTTGTATAGGGATTACTTGAGAAAGTGCGAAGGTTTTGAAGATCATTCATATTAACCTTGTGGTCCTATTTCAGGGGTTTGCAGAGAATCCATATTTTACAAATGAAGTGCTCTTTAAGGAAGTTATTGTCAATGAACATGGCCATCAGTTAGCTAGGGCGACTCCTATAAAGTGGAAAGGAGGAATGGTAGGTTATATTGTTGTATTTTTATTAGATACTGCTGAGGTGTCATGTGCTTATACCATAAATTAAGGGTTATTTTGGACCGCATAGTATCATCTCTCAATACATGTAGTTAATCCTTTAACTCCCAAGATCTGATCATTAATTCTCTCCTGTAGCTTCTACGCATTTCCTTGTAAATTATGAGAACTTGGTGCTAGATCAAGATAGCAGCTTCTACCTGATAAATTTGACTATTCTCATTATCTGATTGCTGAAGAATATATGGATATTGTAGGGAGAAGTTTTATGTTAATCACTTCTGGGAGTTAAATGGTTAATAAGATGTAATAGTTATGATACTCAATGGGTTTGTAAGTTTGTATACCAATCATATTGAATGTGCTGACCAATACATACCCTGTCATTAATTTGTATAGGTGATAACATGAGTTTGAGTGCAATTTGGTGTAAGTTAGTACAAGTGAGTTTTTTAAAGACAACAAGATTGCAAAAACCCAAAGGGAGAGTGCAATTTGTAGTCTGAAAAATTTACAAGTGCCTATATACACCAAATTACATGAGAAATAATGTTATTAGTTATGTGTAATTTGCATGAAAAAATCATTATAGAAAGTTAAAACAGAGGAAATTTTGGGAGTGCAAATTATTTGTAATTTGCACTGGTGTTACAACTTTACACTCCTTTTACATGTAAAATGCACTAGTTTTCAGCCAATCAGAAGCATATAATTTTTTCAGGTACATTATTAATGTATTCATCATGTGATCTCTCAACAGGACCTTACTGAGCGATACAGAAGACAGAGAAGAACTAAACTAGAAATAATGAAAGGGGAAGAACCACAAACCTTTTTTAAATGGTTCACAAATCAAGAGTCTGGAGATGAGTTAGGAGACACAATTAAAGATGACATATGGCCAAACCCATTGCAGTATTTCTTGGTATGTTATGTTTTGTTACAGTGTTATAATGGACTGTCTGTAAACCATCCACTGTAGTTCTCAAAATGAGTCTTGGTGCTGGTTGTTTTGTATATAAAAAAAGTGTGTCATTCTTGTGAAAAGCAAATCATTTTTGTGGGGAGACATGCGGAAGGTGTCACTTTTTTTGTTTTTAACTTGGTGAAATATTGGAGGGAGGGGTGAGGGTTAACTCTTAAGGAGAAGTTGCTTCAGGAGTACCCTACGTGGGAAAGAAACCAAAATATGTTACAATAACTTTTCAAGCCAGTCTTGTCTATGCAAGCCTCTGTACTTTACATGTGTAATGTAAATGAACACACATCCTCTTGTCGTTAAAGAGTAAAGTAGATATAGTTTTGCTGCAGCTTAATATTTTTTTCAATTTATATGTAGGGTTCCACAAGTGGAATTCAGGAAGAGGATGAGGAAGATGATGATGATGTTGAGGATGATGAATCAGAAGATCAGGTCATATCTCTTTCATTTATAGTCTACCAAATTGTTGTTGAGGTAGTTTTTATATGGACAACTTGTAATCAAGTAATGTCTCCTCAGTTCTTTACAAAAAAAATTTACCAAAAAATCCCCAATTTGCCTGGTAAATTAACTGATTATTTGGAATTTAGTGAGGAGGTGGGTGATCTAGAGACTGACTGACTGACTGGCTGAGTGGCTGAATTACTGGCTGGCTGGCAGTCGGTAGACTAACTGAGCAACTGACTAATACTGTAATTTAGTATTATCAACAGACTTGATGACGTAAATTGGCCACTGTAAAGACTGACTGACTGGCTGATGGACTGATTGAAATTGTTGATTAGTACATTACAGTGCATTTATCAGGAATATGACTGAATGTCCATGGGGAACTTTGGACCTTGCAAAGCTCTCATGAATCACGTTCATGTTGTTGCATCTCAACTAAATCCTCTTGTCTGCTTTTATGCACAGGATGATGTAGTAGTAGTGGAGGAAGAAGATGAAGATGATTTGGGTGATGAGGGGGAAGGAGAAGACGAAGAAGAAGAAGAGGATGATGATGATGAAGATGAAGAAGAGGAAGAAGTGGTTGTTGAAGAGGGAGAAGAAGAAGAATTGGCAGAAGGAGAGGAGGGGGAGACACCTGTTGTGTATGAGCTGGAGGAAGAGGATGAAGATGGTGATGAAGAAGCAGAGCAGGGGGTAAGACATAGAGGAACAGTTGTTGATAGGGTCAATTTTGAAGAGGAGGGGAGGGGTGGGGAAATGAGGTTATAAAGGTTACATCTATATTAAGTTTGGGCAAAGAGGGGAGAGGTAGTTGTGGAAAAAAGGCACATGGGGTTTTTTATTTGGGGAAGATTTGCTTGCATATAATGCTTGTGTCAATTGGGAATGCATATACATCAGGCACTGACTGGATCATTGTGTTGTATACTTGGACAGAATTAAAAAACGCCTGAGCAATTGCACGAAACCGATTATACACCTTCTGCGAAAAATTTTTAAAGTGTGTTACATATTAGCGTTGAATATGAGCAGAAAAACTGGACCACACTACCATCTTATCTGGGGTGGGGAGTTGGGGGGGATAGAAGTCGTACACCTTATCCCTTCCTGCCAAAGAAACTCAAGCTTTAGCAACCATGCAAGTCAGTCTCGGACGCAGATTTTGTTTAGAGCAGGCTGGAAGTGGAAGTTAACAGTATTATATACTTTTTAAGGAGGAAGCCATTCTCGAAGGAGAGGAAGACGATGAGGAGGATGAGGAAGAAGATGAAGGAGTTGAACAAGAGGATGATGACGAGGCAGACGAAGGAGAAGACGATGACGCCGAAGAAGATGATGAGAGCAAGACAGAGGAATAACAGAGTTCCATTTTTATCTTTGTGTAATTAAGATATCGTGTTCAAGTCATCTACTAAATTGTGGATATTTCTCCTTGACGCTCAACTGCTGAAACATTCAAGTTTCTCCCCTATTGAACTTACACCGTGAGTTTGCTTTCCAGACAACAATCAACGACTTATTGTTTTACAAAATTCCTATTTTTATATGCGCTTTATCAATTCAGTGGTTTCCATTCACAGGTTTGCGTGACTCATTGCTCGATGCCCAGTATCACATATGCGTGTCTCGCAATCCTTTAGTAGGTGTGTCGGATGGCGGACAGTCGCCCCACTTCTATTTCTAAAATTCATTGTTCCAATGACGAAAAGTTATCCTTGTTTGAGAACAGTCTGTTACATTCTTCGAGCAATGGATCGCTGATTTCTGATTGTTCATCCAGAGTAAATAACCTCTTGTAGATAGAAGTTGATTATCGAAGATATGTGTGTAATCCAAGAGAAGGGGGTTAGTTTCTAAAGAAACTGTTGTGCTGCGTCGGAGGGCGAGTATAACAGGATAATTGGATATTGTCAACTGAGTTGATAACGTAAATTGGCCTCCGTAAAGAGTTTCAAAGCTAATGCTTGAAACGTCAACTTTGAAACTCTTTAGGGTGGCCAATTTACATTATCAACTCAGCTGATAATGCCAAATTACCCTGTTAATCAAAAGGAAATATACGTTTCTCTTAGCAGTTGTATGTTCTCCCAGGGCTATGCATGTATTTCTAAAGTTCTTAACGTTATCCTATAAGAAACATGTGGACATGCGTAGTCCTAAATTTGTGACTTAATGTGCTTACAACACTTAGGTAATTTGGAAGTTCCGTCAGAGGAAGGCGTTTTTAAGTTAGTAGGTGCTATCGTGTCATTATTTACCCAAACGTTCAGCCTGAGCGACAGTCATTTGATATAGTGTTGCTGTAACGGTTCTTGTAAAATTGTATCTACTTCAAGTCATTAAGTTCTCTCACGCACAAATAAACTCGAAAGCCACTCTGAGGTAGAGCAAATGTAGGAAAACGCTCGAATAAATGGCGAGAACAGATTGACAGAGGGACGCCGAAAAAATCGGGGAAATGCAACTGGCAAGCACTAGAAAATTGTTAGGCTGAACCCACTCGGTGGTCATTGTGAACATTGTAACGACTCAGTGACGTACCCTCAGGTTGTAAGAACCAAGTTGTCTTGCACGAGTTACAAACAACCGTATAACTGAGCCATTAAGTCTGGGTGTTTTAAAAGCGTTTAACTTTTTTGTTGAAGCCCAAAACCGAATGGTAATGAACACAATACTTATACTTGAAAAGCTTTGTGTTTGAAAAGTCTCGAGGTTTCCTTTTCCCTACTTTTGTTTCTTTTGAAAGATTTTAAGAAGCGAAAGCAGTTGTTTCTTATGTTTTCCTTTGAAGTTTTACGCATGAAATCGGTGCGCGGCTGGCGAGAAGTGATCCCTTCACGCATGCCTGACGTTTGACCGCTGTGTTAGCTTAATCTTGCTTTAAATTAGTCCGTAAATTATCTGATTTGTTAGAGACCACTTGGTTTCTGCTATCAATGTTCGTAGTCACTCCGGGCATTCGAAGTTCGTTTGCCAGCCGTAAAATTTGTCAGACTCGATTTATAATTAGCACCTCCCCCTTAAAAAGCTTCATAAAAAGGGATGAGTTTTACATTTGCCAATTTTCAGAAATTAGTTTGAGATGTACGATAAAAAATATTCCTTTGTTCTTTCAAAGGTATTGCTACCTGACCTTTCGTCTGAAGCCTTTGCGATAAACCGTGTAGGTGCTAAAGGTGCTGTTACGAACATTAAAGTTCGTAATAGAAATCTCAGTCTTCCAATCAGACTTTAGCACCTGCATCATGTGATTGCCATAATTTATAGCAAACTGTATATCATTTGATTGAAATAAAGGGTTTTAAATAATACTGTTTGTCCCACTTAGCCGCAACTCCAAGAAGTTTACTGTTACCATCCGTACTTCACTGCCATTGGACATACTAAACTGTCACTGAACGTATTTAACAGAAACTGTACGTATTAGACTGTCGCTGGAGGTCTTACACCGTCACTGGACGTGTTTGACCGTTATTACTGGACGTATTGACCATCACTGGACGCATTTGACCGTCTCTGGACGTTATTTGACCGTCACGAGACGTATACGACCGTCACTGGACGTATTAGACTATCATCAGATGTATATATCCAGACGTCACTGGATGCATTTCACCGTCATTGGAACTTATTGACCGTCACTGGACACATTTGATCACTGATGGACGTTTAGGACCGTATTAGATTGTCACTGAACGTATTAGTCCGGCACTGGACGTATTATACCGTCACGTCACGCATTTGACCGTTATTAAATGTACCTAAGAGAAAATAAGGGGTCCAATTATTTTCTCTAGATGTATTTCACCCTAACAAGATGATTTTGACCTTCACTGAAAGTACTCGATTGCCACTGGACGTCAGTACCTCTTCGATAGACATTTTTCACCATTACGAGACTTGCTCATCAATCACGACGTAAGTAACTGTCTTTAAATGAACTTGACCATAACTAAGGGTACTTCACCGTCACTGCATGTATTTGATCGTCACTTCAAGAATTTGATCGTGAAGGAACGAACTTTACCGACCCTCGACGTATTTAACCATCACTAAGAAAATTTACGGTCATCAGACGTTCTCGACCATCACTGGAAAAATTGACCTTCAGTAGATGTATTCCGCTTCTCTGAACGCATTTGACTTAATTTCGTAACCGTCTTCAATCGTACTTGATTAACACTACATGTGCTTTAACGTCACTGGACGTATCTGATTGTCGTTTCACGTTCTTGACCGTTACTGGACGTACTTATCAGTCACTAGACGTACTTCGTAACCGTCTTCAACCGTTCTTGATTAACACTGTGTGTGCTTTAACGTCACAGGACATATCTGATCGTCATTTCACTTTCTTGACCGTTACCAGACGTTTTTATCAGTCACTGGACGTACTTCGCAACCGTCTTCAATCGTACCTGATTAACACTATGTGTGCTTTAACGTCACTGGACGTATCTGATCGTCCTTTCACGTTCTTGACTGTTACTGATTGTACTTATCAGTCACTGGACGTACTTCGTAACCGTCTTCAATCGTACTTGATTAACACTACGTGTGCTTTAACGTCACTGGACGTATCTGATCGTTATTTCACGTTATTGACTGTTACTGAACGTACTTGTCAGTCTTTAAACGCGTGACCACAACTAAGTGTAATTCGCCATCACTACATTTATTTTATTTCCTATACCTTCATTTACTGAACCTTTCAACAGTTATCTTTCCTTTTATTTAATTTAACACTTTTCTAACTTTTTCAATATAAAAAGCGCAAAGAAAGATTGTCGTCACTGTTCATGCACAGTACCGGCTTGAATGAAACAATTTGCATCTCCATAAACAACCCCCCCCCCCTATTATTTTATCTAGAAATTTCAACCACAAGTATCCCCTCAATTTATCGGCGGCTCTCCGCCAGCCAATTATAACTTGAAAATATAAATATGTAAGCCCACGAAGGCTATTGATTCCATTCACGGAACATTCTATGGATACAATTATGAAAAGATGCAATTTTGTCTTCAGCACCAGTTACAAATAAACGTATTTTTCAAAATGAAAACTTTTCGGTTGAAAGAGGTACCCGGATAGGGACATTACCAAATTGACATTTTTTTCACACCATTACTAGTATTAAATATAGTCACAGGATTCTAATTTAATATATTAAATTTACCACGTATTAAAAACTTCTGAACTCTAGACCCCTTTGCTGTTACTCAACCGTCATATTCAACACCAACACTTCCGTTATTTACGCTACACTTGACGAAATGACATGCCCCTCTCGTGGCGAAGATGCCATGCATATCTTTACACACGGCATCCTGACTTTTGAGAAGTTTATCATTAAATCTCCAAGTTTTGATGAATAACGAAAATTTCTTAAGACATCACAATCTTTTACACGCGCACCATCATTTGTGTCCATGTTTTGAACTTCCTTTTCTCGACCTGTGAAGTTAGGAGAGTCAGTCACTTAACACTAGACATACCTCATTTACACGAAAACCGGTATGGACCACGCGCGTGTGTCCGGATTTACGTTATATCAGTTACGAAGGACGCACACCCACAAAACTACTGCTCCCTGAGGTTTCCTCGATGTACGAAAGGATTTCAAAATTGCCCCGATTTTTTCTACGGACCCGAGTTCCTCTTAGTACCAGTGGAAACCCTACTTTAGGGCGATTCAATGAGCAGATTACTACGGACTTGATATAGAGACAAGACCCATATTTTGGGTCTTAAGTTGATTAATGGAAGGGGGGGGGGCGGCATAAATAAACCCTTCTCTGTATCCACAAGGGGTGGGGGAAGCACAAGACCGTCTAGGCCCACCCCACACAGAAGTATGTGAACAGGCAGCTCTTTTCTCCAAAGCTCCTTAAGTAGAACTGTGCGCAAACGAACAGACCCCTTTGTGAGTTCTTGAAATTTATGGTAAATGCGATTCAGAAATACACGGTGAGATACCTCAAACTGCCAACTAACAGAGGATCGAGCGCATACAGCCAGTCATAAGCATCTTCCTCTTTCTCCGTTGTATTACGTACAAGAAATCTGCAGTGTCTTGTACGGATTGAGAATACACTTAATGACTGAAAAAGATTGAAAATAAAGTTCCAGTTACAAGATTTACAAGATTGGCTTCGTTTTATTCCTATGAGAAAACAGAGGACTGCGATCATGCCACAAACACGGGCTTTAACATCAAAACTTCTTGTTATTAGTTCAGTACAATTGTTGCCTTTGAGCCGGTTTCAATTCACTGTCATAAAAATAAAACGTAATTACAAATACCTACCATAACATAAATTTGCACCATCATAAGCTAATGAGGAGTCAAAGTAAAAAACAGGTAAACCACCAAATGCGCGGGAAAACACGGGCAAAAAAGTTACGTTTAGTTTTCGTTTGGCGTCTGAATGGTTTAGAGCATGGCGCGAGTTTTTAGACCAATCACAAACCAAAGAAAGAGAACCAAAGAAATCCCGGATTACTTTGACACTCAATTCGCAATTGGTTGGGAAGTTTACTACTTTAAAACCTAGAGTCTCACGTTGCTACAGTATACCCCCTCCCCCCCCAAAAAAAAAACAAAAAACAAAAGACAAAAAAACACTAATTCTCACCACAAAGTATTCTGGGCACTCCACTTTAGAATGTTTCAAATTGATCAGAAACTGTTCAACCTGTAATCAATCAAAATCAAGGATAACTGAGGGGAACTAAGGTTTTCAATTTCAAGTCACTTAAATTATATTTCTGGAAGAGTTCACTCACCGGGTCACCTTCCTGGCGATATAGAAGCACGTAAGGTTTCCGAACAACCTGAAATGAAATAAAATAAATAAATAAAACATTACACCGTTCTAGGAGACACTGGTTCAGTGGAGACGGTACCAATAAAATATGGAGCCTCTGCACGCGAACGCAGAAATACGCCACGATCCAAAATGGTTTGCGTAGGTTTCGTCCCTTTAACTTCACCCACAATAAGTTCACTTCCACCCAAATGAGTATAATGCTTCGCTGTCAATTCTGTCCACGCGGCTACACCGCCACGGCGATTTATCTACCATTACCAACCGAGGGTTGATAAATAAAATAGTCGCTCCCCTTGTCCACCGACAAGGCACAACAGTTTCTTAAGAAGCAAATAACCTCGAACTAGTGGAGGCAAAACCACAATCTGACATGTGCACAAACTGTTTAGAAAAGAAGACATTCAAGACGTGGTACTTTTTTGAGGGCTTTTGCTACACGTGAACAGGGTATAGATGGTGTTTTAGTTAGCCCTTTAACTCCTATGAGTGATCAGAAGAGAATTTCTCCTTACAATATCAATACAACATCAACCAGATAAGTGACGAGAATAAAGAAAAATATCAATTTAGGGGATAATAAGTTGATCCAATACTAAATTCTCTCAACTGGCATTATGAGAATTGTATGGTTGACAGTGAGGAGGATTACAAATTTGATCTGGGAGTTAAAGGGTAAACGGATGCTCGATAGAATATCAAGCAGACTCCTTCAAAGATTCTCTCTCAGTCGAAGACATACCTATTTCTTACTGGAAGCAAAACCATACAAGATGTAACACAGTGCAAGGGTTGAAATGAGATTTTCTACTCACTACATAACATTTGCTCCATCTACTGCTGCAGTCGTCCATGATGTGTAGGTACCCACGCTTGCTTGTCACTGGGCTGTAGATAACAGATTCAAGGTCAAATCACGAGTTTTTGTTTTTAATTCATCAATATCGTTCTTTCATCATGAGACAGACTTAAGTAACGCGATTTTCTTGTAGTTCGCCGTTCAACGTGGTAACAATGCTTACGAGGTTTTCGAGGGGAACTATCTAAATTGAATAGCTACTGAAAAAAGACTTGTAATGGAAGGCCCGTAAAAAGTTACAATCGAGGAATGTAACAGAGACGATAATCAATTGGTGTGTTCTCGAATGTATTCATACATTTTCTTTTCGTGATCCCCCTTAATTAATTATCTACTCCTCCTTCAACCCAACAATATCTAACATGTCATTAATTGTCTGTTGTTGGGTGAGGGGAGTGGTAGGTGCGTAGTTGTTCAGATACTTACATTGATCCATTTTATAATTTGGCCAATTATTGTACTTAATTACTTTATAATATTTTTTAACCAGCAAATCTTTGACGTCACTTTCTCTCTTGATACAGCCATCTTAATAAAAACCGTCTAGAACACAATCCGTTAATGGGGAACCGCTCAAATGCAGAAATCGAGGTAAAAGAAAAAAACAAAATAGAACCACAGAACAACAATAAAAGAGACTTCTCGTCGAAATGGAAGTACAATATTTGGCCAAATGATAAAATGGATCAATGTAAGTATCTGAACAACTACGCACCTACCCCTCCCCTCACCCAACAACAGACAATTAATTACATGTTAGATAATGTTGGGTTGGGGGAGGAGTAGGTGCGCAATTGCACAGATACATTTTTCTTCCTGAAGGACACTTTTAACGCTCTCAGAGCAACACTCCTGCTATCGCTAAACGAAAAACATCGGGGCCAGTAGCAGCAGCAGCAGCAGCAGCAGCAATAATAGTAATAATAATAATAATAATAATAATAATAAAAAAAAAATCATGGTGAAAAATTACTTACTTTTTCCTGACAAGCGACACCTCTGGTACGTAATACTCCACTTTAGATTCATCTTCTTGTTCTTTTTCTTGTGTTCCTAACGCACTTGCACTGCCCTCTGACGAAGGAGCTCGACTCTACGGACAGGAGAAACTCAAGACATGTATTACAAAATACGAGAAAGAGAAATGGCTTTCTGTAGGAGTCTTGATATAGGGGAAACCCTTTAATTCCTTGTAAATAAGTTACGAGAATATGGTGTTAGACCAAGATTACAACTTCTACCTGAAACCTTTGAGTAATCTCTTCTCCTGTTTGATATATAACGTATGGATATTAAAGGGAAAAGTTAAGTGTTAATCACCTCTGGGAGTTTAGTCTAACTATTAAGCGACACGCTGCAACTGTAACCCTAAGTACTGTCACAATTACATTAGCACCACCTTAATTTATCTCTTAGTAAAGAAAATACAGCGCGCCAAAGGTGATTATGCATAACTCACTCACCAAAGCTTTAGCTTCACACAAGTCCTTTCTCCACATTAGGAGACGAAGACACTGCAAACCAACACGGAAGAAAAGTCAAATCATGTTAAAAAGATGACTTCTATCGTAACACTTTAGTTTATCTTTTCACTAACAGCCTTCGCTACAAAGAATTTCCAGGAAGACGTCTTGGTAACCTCAGATAGAATCGTAGGTTCATTAACTATTTGCGCAATTTATCTCTCCTTTTAATTCTTTTTCATTTTTTTCATTAACAAAAAAGAAAAATAGCCATCCGTTACCTTTTTTATCAAGGTTTCTTTGACTTGCTCTGGGTTGACATCTCTTGTAAAACGCAGTGGCTTCCCAGCCGGAAGTGACGCAACTGATAGAAACGAGGAAGATAACGAAATAGAACCCAGGCTACTCCGGCTTGAATATGTACTACCGGCTGAGAAAATTCCCGGATCAACCAACACGTTGTCGGGACGGTCTGAGGCCATGAGTGTCTCACCAAGGCACAGGATGTGACGAGCTTTACCAACCTGGGAAGAGCACGAAAGTATTTACCACAAGATCAGTTCACAAACTGGTCGTTGAAAGGTTGGACAAAGCCCACTGAAGCCGAAATGAATGGCTATCCAGGGTGCTCGTGTCAGAAACAAATGGAACCATCCGAACGAAGAGACTGAAATCAAACGGGAAAGAGTTCCAAAGTACAGATTGCGATAAGAGAGGTAACGTCACGGCTATCACTTCAAAAGAGTTTGATATAAAGCTACCTTCGCTCTAGGAATTTTGAAAACTTGTTTTCGATTTGCGTTAGCTCCCAGTCATTTCCTACAAGCCGCCTTACAAATGTAATTTCATTCTGCCTCAGGTCTTAAGCAACGATTCCTTCTGTCAGACCTTAGTCCGACTTAGTCTCTGCTGGACCCCGCGCTGCCTTTTAAACGTCGCTGAGCGAAGCGCATGCACGAAACCTGAGTAGGAGGCTGTGGCTAACAGCTCTTACCTCCTGAATTCTCTCCAGTTTGTCTAAATGTGACTGATGTTCATCAAGGAGTGATATCCCTCTCGGTTTCCATTCTCCAAGGTTTTCTTCTCCTCTCACGTAAATACTCGAAGTGTCGATCACAGCTCTCTTCTTCGTCTTCATTACTACGCAAACAGGAACATACTTCGATCACATTAACAGCCTCCAAGCAAGGATACGGGAAGAGACAACATGGTTTGTTGGTGTTGGGGAACGAGACTCACTCTGATATATCAGAATTGAAAAAGCGAATCGGTGGATAGAGCATTGCTTTACTTTCTGTCAGTAATTCAAAAGCAAAATAATCACTACAGCCAACGGAGACAAAAAGCAAGTTTGGAGGGAATCAAAAAGAACTCAGAGAAAATACATGTAAACTGCCTGAAATGCTGTAAAACATGACAGAACAAGTCAAAATTGCTTCCAGTCTCGCATCTGATGATTGAGAGGAAGTGCAAAATTTCTGAAAACTTCTAGCTCGGTAAGGAAAAATTTAAAGCAATGCAATTGTTGAATGGTTTCGAACCTTAATTGAAAATTCCCTAACAAAGTTACTTACATTGGCCGTGCTCATCAGCGGGATGGAAAACCAGCTCAAAAATATCGCTGAGTTTATCACTGCAAAAAAGGACAAGAACAATCGATTACATAAGTTAACACTAAACATAAAAGTATTACTAAGATTACAGAAATTTAAAAAAATTAAAGCAGTTTCCTACACTGCAAACGCTGATACAGAGACTTACTTTTCAGGACGTCGCGAAGAACCGAACAAACTCCAAACAGACCTGCAATTCAACAAAATAAAACTCTCGATAAGACTTAAAATGAAGTCCTGAATGCTGAAGAAACAGACAAAATTACAATTATGTAGTTTACTTACCTTGAGGAGGTTTTTGAATCCCTTCCAAACACGCAAACAGGAATATCCTTTGTGAGACATGAAGTCTGGCAACAGTTTTCGAGCTGCCGGTGAAAGGAATTCATGAGTAAAAAATTGCAAGAATCTTCGCAACTCGTGGGATGACATCTCAACGAGCACCAAGTAACGATTTCCGTTTATTTGCCAAAGAAGTAAAACTAAAGTTAGTCACTGTACTCCAAGTTAACTACACAAATTCCAATTTTTAAGAAGAAAAACAAAACCAACCTCAAGGTACGCAGATATGGTAACGAACACAAGCTCTCCAGGCGGAGTCACCCTGCAAGGTGGCATACATGAATTAGGTAAGGTTAATGAGTCTCAAGACCAACTTACACACAATTCCAGCGGTTTACCTGTTCAGTAAAATGGAGTTATGAAGTGACGAGTCCCAGGCTGCTTCAAATCTAAATACGCATCTGTTTTCATCCGGGTGGGACTGGACTTGGGGTGACAGCACGTTCAGTGAAACGGTGTGAGTTGAACTTTCCCCAGCAGGGGGAGGGGTGAGAGCTGTACGTACACGACCTGTAAGGCAACCAATAAACTCAGGGTAAGTTTCTCACGCGATCTTTAATCTTATATCAATCATCGTTGAACAAAGTAGGAAGTCCGTTGAGGCAGCAGTGAGGATGATCACAAAAGGAAAACTCAAGCTAGTACTTAATCTCTTGTACTATTTGGTAAACTGTTTATAGTTTTTCAAATACCGAGTTTTACGCAATTTGTTGGGAAAAATATGACTTATGAGTAAGAAGTTCTTTATCCACCTTACATTCCTTGCTCAGCCTAAGCCACTTACTAAGGCCTGTTGTCCAGAAATCGCATACCGAGAAAGTACCGGGCAGCTTTTCGATTGAATGTCGAAAGTCATCAGTGATTGCTTTAGTTTTCCTAAACTTCGTTATGTTATTGGTTTAGGAAACTCTCACCACTATTACGACCAAAAGCTATACGACTTGGTCACTTGAGTTTTCCGGCCAGTTCCAAGTATTTACGTTGAGTTATTAGTTGTTCGTTGAGATATTTCCATTTGCTCTCTTTGGCCGCGGTCTTTGTTTAGGTTTTTGCTTAAAAGCACTAAATCGAAAGGGCGTCATATCGCATGAATAAACAGCTCGCTTACCCACAGCAAGTTCTGTGACTTTTCTGATTCTGATGTCCATAGAGTTCTCGTGAATTATTGTAACAACAAGACGCCTTTGAATTCCCTGGAAATGAAGACAAAAAAATCCTCAGTCAAAGCCTGTTCATCAACACCATCGCTCTGTGAGAAAATTTGCACTGAATAATCTCATTATAAACAAGGCTACTAACAAATTTACTAACAATGGTTATTATCTTGAATTCCCATACCTTCCTCGGGTCTGCAAACGATGTCGAAGTTGTTAAGTGAGAGGCATAAATCACGAGAAAATTTGTTACGCTTAAGTATTAAAAAACGATACCTGATGAAGAAGGAACACTCCACCACAAGGAGTGTCATTTTTACGCCTCACAACACAAGGAAAATAGCTGAAAACAAGAAAATTATGGTGGGTTATGAATGTACCTTAGGAAAAAAAGAACTCTTGAAAACAGAAATATCTATTTAGTTAGACCTAGATTGGATTTCAAAACTTACTCTCCAGACGGTGACATTTCGAAGACCTCAACCCAGACCAACAAATCAAACTTAAGAGTTCCTTCTTCGTCACTATAAAAGAAAGAAAAAAAGGTCATACACCACACTTCATTTGGTGTATTCAGAAAACAGGTTCAACGCCATTTGAAGAACCATAAAAAGGAAACAATTAGTACAATGCACTTCGCTAAACAATTGAGTCCAGAAAAATTGTAATGAACTGTTTCTACAACGCAAAGACAAGCGACAGTTTTAGAACGGTGTGCGTCAACTAATACTAAGGTATTCACATTTCCTTACCAGAGTTGATATGGCAAAGGTAAGGCAGGAGAAGATTCTAAAATAGGAAAAAAAACACAACGATCTTACATAAGTAATCGATATTCCACTGGCAGAAGCTTGTTGAGCAATGTACCACAGTTTTAATCAAAGAACAAATATTATACTCATGAAAAAAAAACGGAAGAAAAGGAAAAGGCACGGAGTCATTTGTTACCTTTCAGATATTTAGAACTAAATTCTCCTTCCTTCACTATGGCCCTGACAGAACAAAAATAACATACAACAATGAAAGAACACCTTCTTAGTTATGAATCTCCACTTCACTAAAGAAGAAGCTACTCGCGCCCATTCCCTTATCTATCTACAATATACTAAGCAGTTAAATTAGTTCAAGAGAGTTTCAGTTATAAAAGTCTTTGTTGTTTTAAAAGATAGGGCACTTTCCACATTTGGTGGGTTTTGGCTGTTTGCGGGGCGCTTGTCACATATCAATTCAGCAATGATCCAACTCGTCACAGAGTTCCCAAAAGCTCAATGGTAGAGCATCAGAGTATGAAATTTCATTATCTGTGGGTCGAGTGCTCGTGGGCGACTAGGATTTCTTTTTTTCCCACGCTCGTGACAAAAAGTACAGCAGCTTTTTTTACTAAATTTACTCTTTTCTTCTCACGGATTGCCGACGCTCTACTGCCACACGTGCCCTCAAATGGACATACCATCTGGGAAGCATTTCTAGCCCAGAAAACATAGTATTTAACCCATAAACAACAGAAAAGGTTAAAATATAAGACTCTGTATTCTCATTACTTGAACTGAAGTACTAAGGGTAATTTGCCCTTGACCAAACCTTGGAAGTTGCGCAGTTGACTGATGCTGTGGGTGATGCTGATAGTGGCCGAACACTTCAACCTGCAGGGGCCTGGTGCTGATGTAGTCTATGAACTCTCTTGTTACAACAACGCCAATCTTATAAGGAATCAAAGAACAGGAGTTGAAACTGATGTTATAAAAAGGAGAAAACGTCTGTGAAACCTGCTCTATTTTCCTGAAATTTTCCGTCAGGAACAGCTATACTATCAAGGTTGCCAGGTTTTTGAAAGCAACAGGAGCTAACGAAAGATGAATTTGTAATGTATAGGGCTGCTGTTTGTCTTACGATGTGATCAATTCCGATGTGCATCGCGAAGTTTCGATTGCATACGGCTCATCTTCTTCAGGCAATATGGTCGAACTGTACACGACAAAAAAAATACTTCCATTCTAAAAAATAGTAATACTAGACATAAGCTTTTCCCCAGTTATACACGGATGTCCAACTATGTCGTTAAGTTTTCATTGAAAGAAACATTTATCGGACTACGAGCAGTCCCTCCCTTTCGGCGAAGTTCACCGCGCGAGTCCAAAAAAATCAGCGAAAAAAAGGGCCCCGCGTGGAACTCTGCCGGAGAGCGAGGCGCTTTTCTACCAGAGTTTCCCGGGACGCACAAGCCACCACTTTTTTTCGTTGACTTTTTTGGCCTCGCGCGATGGACTTCGCCGATAAGGAGGGACTGTGCACAGTCTAGACATTTACAGAAGAGTCAAGCCAACATCGACGAAGTAAACACATAGTCGTCAAACTATCATGCAATTCTAATACCTTTTGATTATAGTAGAAACCCAGAGGACCGCCATTTTGTTTGTTGGTAACGGGCTCCGTGGAAAATCCTTCATCTTCTTCACTGCACAAAAACCTACAAATAACCAAACCTCGTCACCAAAGCCAGCAGGCTATTTTTTTAATTTTTGGAAATACCTAAACGCATGTTTGCAAATATTTTTTACTCGAGACACAAATCTTACAGTTCACCTTATTTGACAGAATACATCCGTGTATTGAGTTGGAATCCCTTGAGCCTGCTTTACAGTGATGCTAATCACATAAGGCTGGCCGACATGAAGTGTCCCCTTGGAAAATGGAGGTTCCTGCACCTCGTCTGCTTCAACCGCTTCTTCTACTTCCCGCTGAAGAATTCAGATACATCATGGTTTGCAAATCGTGTTTATCAGTCTTCTCCACCCCAAACCATGTTCATTCTTTTGTGCTTCTTTTCTGACCTCTTTGAGAAGTAGTAGAGGCTCCGATGGGCTCTTAACCCTTTAACTCCCATGAGTGACCAAGACAGAATTTCTCCTTACAATATCAATACAATATCAACCAGATAAGTGATGAGAATAAAGAAAAATATCAATTTAAGGATAATTAGTGGATCCAATACTAAATTCTCTGAACCAACATTATAAGAATTGTACGATTGACAGTAAGAAGAACTACAAATTTGATCTGGGAGTTAAAAGGGTTAACCGAGCAGATGGAACAACGGAAATGTGTAATGGACAAAACAGATTTCTGTATTAATCCAAAATGGCGTAAGTGATAACGATATTACCTCATGCTGCTCTCTGATTGGTTAAGGACCTAGGGGAGCCCCTGTAAATAGTTCTTTGTTGTTAGTTTACCCCGTTCGCAGGAAACTTTCATTTCAAGATTTTAATCTATTCAAAGGCCATTCGCTAAGAAGCAACAGCGGCTCTAAAGATGGCTCAGAAAATTTAGAAGTATTCACTCAAACGTATGATTTTGAACAAAGCGTGACATAGGAGTAAAGGTTGGCCGAGCCATCCTCGTACTTTCTCAATGATGATAAATGAAAGAAGGCAAGCGTAACATCCGAGTCGGTTCGACAAGACTCTGTACTTTACTGACTCAGAGAGTGACATGATACACAGAGTTCACTTCGTGGAGTACAACTGCAAACACGTAAAGTCTCGTTATTCAGTTACACTTACTAGAAACAAAAAGTTAGGAGTCTAATTAAAAATATTTATTGCAGACCATATTTCACCTCGTTCTCACTCTTCTGTTCGTGATCATCAGAAGGAAATTCTAACCACAGTACCCAAGAGCGACTCGTTTCGTCTACCTGCCAAGTGTCACGATCTGCGAAAGAAACAAGGTAGGCATTAAGAACCGTTCTGAGGTCAAAAGGCTCAGTCTCCTTATATCTAACCATTGGTAAAGCCGGATCAATATCAGTATCTGGGTAACTGACCACCTACCCCTCCCCTAACTCAACAACAGTCAATTGATAACAAGTTAGGGTTGATGTTGGGTTAGGGGAGGGGTAAGTGGGCAGTTGCCCAGATACTGATATTGATCCGTAAAGCCTCCCCGGGTTTCCGTAACATGAAGCTCCTGCTCTCCCTTCCGTGCGAGCAGATTTTCATAAGCGCTGCAGCACGACCGACGGAGCCTCGAGAGACAAGTAGGCTGGAAAAATCGAGCCAAATCTAAGTGGGGGGGGAAAGAATGGGGGTTACAGGGGAGGGGGAAGGGCTCTCATTTCGTGCCGACCTGCTTCGCTCGCCAGCTCATATCTAATGGCTTCGCTGCTGGCGTGGAAGCCTTTTTGAGAGAGCCTGGGCATTGTGTGAGTAAAGTGCGATGTCCAAGAACAAGACATGATGACCGTTATCCCTTGAAACTTAAGGTTTAAATCTAGGAGGACTAAAGAAGGTCAACCTAAAACAACTGCTTTTTATAAGTATGATTCCGTACCAGTGCACTGCTGAATGTTGATGGATAGATTTCCTTGTATGTCCCCCAGTTCACTCACAATCGGCACCGTTTGCTCCAGTGGAACACCAAACACTAAGTTACTCAGGTATACAAACGATCTGTTGCCAAAAATGATGCAGACAAAAAGCTTTCTGAAGGTACTCGACTCTTAAATTGATGTCTACTATTGTATACACTGCAGTGTCTTACAAGGTTTACAGCCTTAAGAAAAAGCGGTAACTGCACACGTGTAAAGTTATGCTAATATTTTATGCGTTTGTTTGATATGCAAACACTCGCCTTTCGCGCCACTCTGTCAGGTTGATGAATGAATGGCAAAGCGTTCATCATTCTCAATCCAAGGCCCTACGGTGTTTATATAATACACAAAATAATATATGGTTGCTTGTGGATATAGAATGTCTCTTCTCGTGTTCAACTCGAAGTCTTACTCATTCGTTGCACTCACTCGTGAGCTACCGGGTTGAACATTAGAAGAGAACTAGAATCCCATATCCACGCGCACCCATGTTTTGTTCTCTAAGGTGGAAGTTTTTCCCTAAAATAGTTGATTTTAATGATTTTATTTTCTCTTTCATTTTTTTCTATGGCGAAAAAAATTATTTAACAATTTTTTAAAAACTCTTAGCTGCAGGAATAACTTAAATCAAAAGCTAGAGCTAAAATACCTCCCAATCAGTCTAAACCATGGCAGTGAATCGTAGAAAGGATCAACAGAGTCAAAGGAGATTTTACTATTGGTTTCTGCGGCGGTGTCATACAAAAAGCGCATGTCTTCCAGTCGGTCCCTAGGAGTCGAAATGAAAACAGCTGAGAGGTAATACCTATTACTACTTAGGTTTAGAAACTACAAAGACTTTCTTACATAGGAAGATTCTACATTTCATCAAAAACAAGGTTTGACATAGACAATCAAGTGACATTTGATGAGAACCTTCCTCTTACCAGAGGCAACGAATTATAACAAGCCCCTTGCAAAACTTTGCAGAATAGGAAAGAAAATTTGAGTCTATCAAAGTACCAAAATACACTCTACCAAAAGGAACCCCTCTTTAAGAGAGAGAGACGTATAAATTCTCTTGTAACGCTAGGACGAAAAAACAGATTTTCGTGAAAGGCTAACATGATTCCTGTTAGAAAGAGAGTCAACTTCCCAGAGAATTTGTGTCCAGGAACTGGTCCAAGAAACAACTGTATAAGTTGTGTTATTTGTGGCATTTGTTAAACAAAAATTTTGATTGTGTTTTGACCTAGTCCTCACCGTAGCTTTCCAAGCGACCAGAAGTGTGAGGCGCCATGTTTCATGTCTTTGACCTCCACAGCCAATACGGTGGGGTTATCCTTGTGCTTGACATCACTCAAAAGAAACGATGGAAGGGGAGTATATAGTGTGTCTGTTAATAATGTGAATTGGAATTCCACCTGAAATGATAGATAAAGTTTAAGTCTTCACTGAGGACCTTGTGGAGTTGAAATCAGCTTTGAAAACGTTTTTCCTATTTAAGATAGAGTGCAACGACCGAGGAAAACCCTGTTCCAGTGATTGGAAATCTTAGTCCTTTCAAAATAAACATCGCCGTAAAATACAAAATAAAAAGAAAAAAATCCTACTGTCGTTTGCTAAGGGCTATGGCGAAAAAGATAAACCAATGATAAAAACTCAGAATAAGGTCGCTATTTCACCCTTTCACCCTTGAATTACACATTAAGGTCAGGAGAACAAACGAAATGATCACCAAATAAAGAAACTCTTGATTGTTAAACAAATTCTCCTTGTCAGAACCTTAGGAAATGTATGGAGAACAGTATGGAGAATATGTTTACCGATATTAGGATGCACAGGTTTATGATTCAAGGTTTTACCTTCTTCCTCAACTCTACGCTGATGGCGTTTGCTTCTTTCAACAGTACTGCATGACTCAACAAGTCATCCTGAAATTCAAACAATGATTACAAAGCTCAAATTAAGGTATACAGCAGTAATGAATGGCCTCTTATTATTAATCTTTCAAGCATTTTATGCAAGAGAGAAGGAAAGGCAAGCTAACTTGTTATTCTCTATCAGTCAGAGAAACTGGCCTAAACTTAAACTTTGTATAATTTTCTTCTCTTATTCCATTTACATGTAAATAAAGATTGCAAGCAGCTATTACATATTCAAACCAACCCTGAGTGATGTGCATACGTAACATCTCCACTTGTCAATCACCACTTCCGCTAAGTTGAGTTCGCGTTCGGTCAGCGGGCTCTCGCCTGTAAGAAATTAAATTTCTTGTTAGTTACGTTAGCTCTCTTAAGAGGTTGCCATCGCAACAGATTCTAATGTTACTCACATTTAGTAAGTGAACTTTATTTAAAACAGGGTGGCCCATTCAGCTACAAGGCTATTGTCCAGAGGGGCCCTGTATACGCCTAAAATCATTACAATATTATAATCAATTACAACAAACACTTGTAGTCTAAAAATTTGTGGACTAAGAAAAACTAAAAAAGAACAAAAACAAAAACAAAAACAAAAATACAATATTTATAGTCGGATTCTAGTAAACACTTGTAGGCTGAACAGCAAATTTTTTGTGGTTCTAAAAACAGTTCGAGTGTTGACAACAGAAAAGTGTTGTGAGCCACATCACAAAATTTTTTGCCCAAATCTACTTGCAAATATTTTAACTCTGCTGCAGGAAACTCGCAGACACCCACAGGACTTTTTCCTTCTTCTTCTTCAATCTAGGTGACAATCTAAGAATTGATATAGGGACATTTTGGTCTCAAGTTTTCAACACGAACGTGTTCTTGTCCTTGTTTCACTCAATTTCGCCAATCTTCCTCGTCCTAGGAGGGGCACAGGCCTCAACCCTAACATGTTAACATGTGTTACAAAAACTGAAGGAAGGTAGTGAGAAAGTATAAGAAAACGATTCTCACTGTCAAAACTGTCGACATCTATGTCACTGTCCACTGATTCACTGGATGGTACTGACGACTGATCCATCTGTGTGACAAAAAATTCTCAAAGGTTTCTCTTAAGAAATTTATAAAGAAGTCTCCTACTCAAGAACTCAGAAATATATAAAGCAAGAAAAAAACATATCAATTCACCAGCGGTTTGTTCCCATACACTAGAAAATCCTTCACAAGTCTCAGAGTGAATATGGAGTTATTCCAAAACTACTCAGAGATACTGAGCCAACAACAACCCAAGTAGATGGCCTTTGAGATCTCTACCAACATAACTTTGTGTTTACATCACGCAACAAATAAACAGAGAGAAGTCAGGTACTACAGTGTACACGTAAAAAATAACTCTGGAAACAAATGTTACGTTTACAATCTCGTTTACCATCGACTTTTTTACAGTTATTCACTCAATTTACTAATTTTTTGTGGTTACGTCCGCAACACTTGGCAATATTCAAATATGTCTTTTATTGTAGATGAGGACATTAAGTGTTTTGAGAAAACACAGGTTATAACGGCTGTTTCCTTCTAAACGTGCCGTGACAAAACATAACTCTTTAAACCCCAAGATTGGTAATATCTGCTTTCTTGTTACAATATCGACACAAATTCCTACAAAATTACCTCATCACGCTTTGTACCTGCTAAAATTTAACTTGGTTCGCGACAGCTATCTGCTTTTATAACTGCAACATGGCCACAGTTTTCGACGTTTTTTTTTTAACGAAATTTACTCGAGTTCCTAAGGGTATCTTTTCAGTTTAAGCTTGCAAGTTTAGATTAAAGCAACGAGAGGGGCGTGATTGTGCTGCAAGACAGACGAGATGAAAAAACAACATAGCTCTAGCTGCTCTCCCGTCTGCCTTTTCTCGCGTTTATGTCAGAACAATTAAACGAAAGAGTAATAACATTAAAACGATCATAGAAAGCAGTCAAAGTACTGATTGGGCAACTTGGGACCTGGCACTCACAGAGATGTGTGGAAGAAAAAATTACCTATTAACAACTACAGAATGACTGAAGTGTAAGGAAGATGGAAACAAGCAGTAGAGTCCAGTAATATATATAATAAACTCAGAGTTAAGACTTTTAAAGTCCAGCTTGTGTCCGGCAGTCTGTAAAAAAAAAAAAGAGATCTTGTCGATTTATTACCAGATTTCCTCCAACCGAAGCATTAAGTACCTTGGCAAAGCCTTCAGTAGTTGATGCCCGTCCGTGACGAACACGGCGAGTATCCTTCGAAGAAAAGAGAAATTGTGCTGTTTTTGATTGTGGAAAGATCCACATGAGTTTTTTCTTTTTACGTGAAGAACCGTGCAGAGAAACCTTCTAAAAGATGAAAGAGAGAAAGAGAGAAGGAGAATAAGAAAATACAGAGCAAAGATATCTATTTGTTTCACCGGGCAGTGCACAAGTATCCTGCAGCCTAGTAACCAGGCGATCTCTTCTCGTTCTCTTGAATGATGATCTCAGGTCCCACTTTCACGAAGATGAGCTCTTTCGCGATTGGACGAGATCGCCTAGGAACGAGACTGGCAGGCACCACAATGTCTTAAAGTAATTTATCATACTTAGGAACAATGCTTAATCTATCTTTACTACATTTATCGTTAGTATTATCAAATTTAGTAGTTTACTATTTTAGACAAAATGTGATAAGGTTATGGTTTTAATTAAGATCGAGACTCTGGAAAAATTGGCTACTTCACTTCCGACGACGACCAGTCAGACCTTATTTATTCTTAACTTAAAAATCAATGTTTTAAGTTGACCACTGCATGAAGTTATGCCATTTCTTTTTCCTAAATTATCAACCCTTCCTTCTCATACTATACTATGAATACCTAAGTTTAGAAAGAAAATTCAAGTCTGTTTAGAACCAAAAGCATTTTAGACATTGGATTACCAGTCTGTTCGATGTTGAAAGATAGCAAAGGACAAAAACTTGTCAAATCATGATTGTTTATTGTACTTAAAGGGACGAGTTAGTTTGATTACCTGCCGCTGAAGTTCCTGCAGTCGTGTTTCATAGGTCTAGGTGAAGAAAAAAGTACAAAGATATAGTTGGAAGTTTCAATGTTGGTCTAACCCAAAAATTATTGCTGATTCTGGTCAATAGCTTAAGTTGTGTTTGTGCGTCCCTCAATTCATCAAATTCAACACCTCAGTAAGTCCTTCAAATTAGTTAGTTGGCCTGTCGGGTTATTTTAACCCGATAGGTAGTCCATACGTCAATTAATGAACCAGCTAGTTGACTGTGTAGGCAGTCTTTCATTCAATCCTTTATAAATGTCTGACTTTGGACAATAGTGTCAGATTTTGACACACGAGTGTCCAATTTTTGACGCTAGAGTCCGACTTACACACTAGCGTCCGATGTTAGACACTAGTGTCCGATTTCAGACACTAGCGTCCGATTTTATACATTAGTGGCCGATTTCAGACACTAGTGTTCAATGTTAGACACTTAAGTCCGATTTTAGACACGAGTGTCCGATTTTAGACGGTGGTGTCCGAATTTAATCACTTGTCTTTCTAATCGACTACATTTATTAGGTAATAGTAGCAAGAAAACGTAAAAAACTTAATTAGACGTGTCAGAAATTGTATATATATCTGTAATTTAGTAATTGTGTCTCACCGGTAAATCAAGTGAAAATCAATGACTTGTACAAACAAAAACTATTCAGAAACGTGAGTTTTCGAAACACGTGTCTTACACAACCATATAAACAGTTCAAAACGCCCGGCCAGACAGACGGATGGACAGATAAACAGTCAGTGAATAAGTCCTAGAATTTATCAGTCACTCAGGGAGATGCACATCGCTTAAGTGGTTCAGTCAATCACAGCATTTACGATTAACATAAATTATTCGATTGCCATACCAGTCTCTGCTGCTCTAAAAGTAAATCCGCTTGATCTTTTTCTCTCTTGATTTGCTCCTCTAACTCAACCACCCTTGTTAAGGAAAAAAAAACGCTGAGTTCCAAGTAACATATAGCGATTATTCAAAAGCTAAAATAAAATAAAAGCTATACCTTTCATTCATCTCTTTAACATCCCAACCCTGTTCTCTTAGCAGTTCCAATACTGCAAATGACCAGTCCACGGGTTCCTCTACCTTACCCTCACTTTTTCCTGTTCATTAGTAGAAAAATAACTTAATTGAGCAGATTTTTGAGATAATTTTTAAATACATGTAATCTACTAATGGGTTCATCTCCTTAAAGTCTTCAGTTTTCGCTGGGAATCAAGGTGAAGGAGCTTGTAAAACGGCGAAGAGTTCTAGCCGGACTTTCAATAATTCAGTGGCTGCTCTCCAGAGAAATTTTACATTGATTGTTTAGAGTAATCCTGGATTTCATTGGTTTTGCTCTATTTCTCTCTGTGATTGGTCTAAAAAATTACACACCATCCTCTCAACCTATCAGGGTGCAAAACAACAACAAATCGCAAGAGTGTCTCTCGCGTCTTTACTTATATTCTTTATAAGTTTTTACCGGCGCCCTAATGATATTTTGCGTGACAAGCATTGAAAACGAAGGAGTCTAAGTTCTGAGTCACTCTATTTGCAGTCGCTTAAATGTTACCAAAAGCTGTAACCTACCATTTATGTCCTCGAGAAGATTCCCTCGAGACTGACGAATTCGCTCCTCACGGGCTAAATGACAGTGAAGAGAGGAAACAACCAGCAATTTAGTAATCTTGGAAAACATACAAACAACGCCAAGACAGCTAGTCAATAAAACAACGAAATCATAAAACACTCGAAGTACGAATGTTTTCAGTCCGAGACAAAGGCATAAACAAAAAATTCAAACTTATTTCCTTTCGATTGGTCATCAGAATAAACGTCTCCAACTATTTTAACATCATTTTATCCCGCCTGGTTGGGATGCCAGGGCATCGCATGGTCCCCCCCCCCTTAGCATTCCATCAGACTTCCCTGGGAATTTACCAGTACCCATTAACCCTTTACACCCTAACATCAGTATCCATATTCTCCATACTCTTCTCTATACATTTCCTTTAGTGTTGACGAGGAGAATTTGTTTAACAATCAAAGTTTCTTTAGTTGGCGATCATTTCCTTTATTCTCATGATCTTGATGAATGATTCAGCCCTATTACTGTGAGGAGAAATTAGATGCTGGTCACCCTCAGGGTTTAAAGAGTGAATACTTAAAGAGTGAAAGTAAACGGTTTTACTCAAGAACACAACACAATGCCCCGGCCAGGTCTCGAACCCAGACCTTTCTCCACCTGGAGTCCAGTATACTAACTACTGAGCCGCCGCGTCGCCCTATAGGTTATAACGAACACTAATTGTAGCTTAGAAAGTTAAAAAATACCCATCACATCCTACCTTGATCGGGAAAATTAAATCTAAATACATGATTATTTCCGAGAATGATACGAGCCCCTGAAAAATACAATTGTAAAGAACAACTGAGTATGAGGAACACAAAGTGAATACTGTCCAAACGAAAATTACAAGAAAACAATTATACAGTGAAGTTTATTTCTTCATTGCAAAATTTACCTGATCTCAACACTGTAGATTCTGTTATCAGTTTTCCATTGACGAATGTACGGCTGTTCTCGCAAGGAATTATCTTCACCACACCTGCAATAAACAGGGCAAGAGCACAAATGTTAATCATAGCAGTATCTTCATCGTCCTTTTTCCTTAACTGCTCTTGACGTTGCCAACAATGCTACCGTCATTAGAACACCAAAAGCTACTATGGTGTTTGTTACGAAACGTATGAACTCTCTCCTCTAATCTCAAGGGTAATCGAATTTCAACTTACTTAATTACAGCAATAGTTTTTCAACTTGCGACGAAATCTCGCAAATTTCGTACAACGAGAAGATCTTAATAAAACGAAAACGTTCACGAATTGAAGCGAGAATCATTCCTGGCCAGCGTGCTTGAAGAAGTATCAACCTTTATAACATGAAATCTTCAGAGTCCACTCACCTTGGGTGTGTTCTAAGACGCAGTGCTCATCAAGAATATTCTCCCCGCTAAGCTGAATATCTTGATGACTCTTTGCCATGGCTTGGCCAACTCTAAGGCAGTAAAATAACAGTTTTAACAAGTTTATTGCGTTCGAGCAGGTCCTTATTATTCGCGGGGTAAGTTAGTATTATCAACTGTGTTGATAACGTAAATTAGCCTCTGCAAAGAGTTTAAAAGCCCTTCCTAGCCCTTCGTCAGAGTGAATGGAGGAATTGTCTGCTCTGACGAAGAGCTAACGCTCGAAACATCAGCCTTCAAACATTTTATGATGGCCAATTAACGTTGATAATACTTAATTACCCTGGTATACTCTCCCTCCGACACAGCATCACAGTTTCTTTAGAAACTTTCCCCCTCTATTCATTTGCCTTATCATTAGCACTAATGGTAAGTGCAAGACCCCTTACAGACCTCTTGGGTTTTGGGTTAGGTTTCTAGTTGGTGTTTTTCAAGGCTCCCGTACTTTCCTGCGCGTGAAGAAACGATCGTGCCGAAGCGCCAAGAATGAGCGCGTGCACACAGGCTACAAGTTTATGTGTGCTTCCGATCGAGACTTAACAAGTTCATGAATGTTTAAGTAATCCTCTCTGTATTCGAAAGAATCAACTAAGTGTCGCAAAAAAAATTGCGCTACTTGCAATACACACCTTATAAGGTACAATACTTGTACATATACTTCTAATATCATGAACTGCTTGTAATCATTAGGTTTGATATGCTACTGCTGTTATTTCATCGAAATTGCCACTCACATAAAAAAAAAAACAGTTACAGGCATCACTTATCATCAGTGAGGTTATAACTTGTATGCTCAAATATGTGGTTTAATCACCTTGTAATTCCGTCCTTAATGTAGTACAGAAGGCACTCGGACATCAAAGGATCCTCATTCAAATTGACTAAATGAGGTCTCTGAAAAGAAAAAAAAACAGCAACAGGACTATTGCACTAACTTCATTACAGAAGTATTGATTTACTTTGTTACAAAACACTATTGAATGATTTAGTTTGTTACGAAACGCCACCGTTAAGGGTAAAAAGCTGACGTTTCGAGCGTTAATTGACGAAACTTTTTTACCCTTTACGGTGACTTTAAAAATGGTTGTTGACAAAATTACCTGAGATACCGACGCAGCGCCAATTTCATTAGAAATGCAAATAATTTGAATAAAAAAAAAATTTTTATAGTGATAAGAAATTACTTTTAAATATTCGACGTATACTGACCATGTACAACCAATTACAGTCATTAAATTACTCACCCTTCTTGGCTGAAACAGTCCAACTGTATGACCATCAGTGTGGATGGCCACACCCATTTCTGCTAACATTGCCTCTCTGTTGACCGATTGAGAAAACAAAGTTACTTTATCTGCAATTTACAATGAATATGCAAAAGAATCTAAAACAAGAAAGAAACTTAGCCTAAGTTCTTCATATAATAATCCAATCATTGGTAGTTAAATATTTAACATCCATTGAAAACAACTTTTCAATGGATAGCTATTGTTTAGCTGATACCAACAAAAGAACTTATTAGTCACTTAGAAGAAAACATTACCCACCAATTTTGACCCCCCCCCCCCCCCCCTACAAACATGACATTTCTAAGAGTCAAACAAAAAACTAAATTTCAAATACCCTTATCTACATTTCAAAATTTCAAACTCACCTCTCTTGCTTAATGGCTTCTGTTTTCCTAAGCTTCTCTTCCCAAGTTTCATTTAGTTCAGCTATCAGTTTCTCAGATGCCTGACGAGTTTAACACAAAGTAATAAAAGAAAATTATCACACTGGCAAAAAAAATATTTGCAAACTTGATCATAGAGGGCGCAAATTAATATGGTTTGTTTCTTCTGTTGCCCCTTTTTTATTGTCTCAATTAAACTTTTCACTCCCAAGATCTCATTATTAATTCTCCTTACTGTCTGCCATACAATTCTTATAGTTTAGGAGAATTTGGTATTGGATCAACTATTAGTCCCCTTACTGATTATTTTTCTTTGTTCTCATCACCTGTGTGCTTGATATCTTATTGATATTGTAAGGAGAAATTCTATTTTGGTAACCAATAGGAGTTAACCCCTTAGCTTCCAGGAGTGATTAACATGTAATTTCTCCCAAAAATATCCATTCAGTATCCAGCAAACATGTAATGAGAAAATTCAAACTTACAAGATAGAAGACATTACTTTGGTTTAACACCATATTTTTGTTACTGATTTACAAGGAAATGTTTAGCAGCAAGATAGGGAAAATGATCAATCAGATCTTAGAATTTAAAGGGTTAAGCAATGTGTCCAGCAACTGGTAGAGGAAGAATCTAACCTTGAGTCTCTCTAGGGTTCCATCATGGAATTCTTGACTGTATCTCCTTGGTAAGTGTGTAGACCCTTGCCTTAACACAGCTGTGTATTTGGAAATAAATCATAAGAAAAAGTTTCACAAATATTAAAAAAAAAAATTAGAAATAAAAAAGACTGTAATGGAAAATGAACATTATTAAAATAAAAAAAATAGAAAGTACAGCAACATAATATGAATATAATCATGAGTTATTATTAATAATGATGGTGGTATTACTATGGAAAATGAAAAAAAAAATCTGACTCCCTAATAAAAAGAAAGATTTAAACAGAAGAAAAGGAAACAATGATTCATCTTACTACTTCCCTTTCATTTTCTACATAAAAAAGCACACAAAGAGCATTGTGTACTAGACTAAAAAAAAAAAATGCAAGAAAAAAATATACATGTTCAACTGATAAACAAATCTGAGAAACACATCTCTAGTAAGAAATACTAAGCTTACATTGCAAATCATCAGGATTGTAGCCTTCATTGACCAGAAGCTCCTTTAGTTTGGACACTTCTTCCTTTAGTTCACGAATTATCTATATTGGGTAAAAACACATTCTATCAAATTCTCATATTTGTGATATTCATGACAGGATTTAGTCACACTACAGTAGTAATAGTAGTAGGTTCCAGTAAGTACTATTTGACTGCATGTCAGTAATAATTTTTTCTTAGATTAGCTTGCTTATTTGTAGGCCAGTCCAATGTAACAATGTGCACAGTGCAAAACAATTAATAATGATAATAATAATAAAAATTACTACTTTAACAAGATCGACTGTTCAATTAATAACTAGACAAATCTAAATTTGTGAAGTATTTTCTAGAACTATGCATTGCCAAGCTGTACTGTTACATGTTTTAATATGGCTTTTCACATGCCTTCCACAAGGAAAATTTCACATGCATGTGAAATATTCATCTGAAATAATTTTTAAAATCATGAGAAGACTCTGAAAATTGCCACACTTTCCACAATATAATGTTCTTGTGCCTTTGGTAGTGCAACTTCACAACAGAAAGTAAAAAGTTTGAAAGCCTTTGGGATACAGGCTTTAGAGGAATTATTAAACAGTACTGCTATCTAAGCTCTGCCTCAGTTGTAAGTTGCATTTTGTCAATGACAATATTTTGAGTTGTATATATGCACAAAATTCAATTACTTGTTAAATAAAAAGCATCATTAACACAGGAATTTCAAACTTCCTTAAAAAAAGTCTAAAAGCATGGCTAATTTTCTCAGTTACCTTGGCATTGGGATCTTCATTGACTATAGCTTTGCATAAAATTTGTTTTGCACGATCAGCATACCTACCAAAAAAACAAAGCACCACAGTGAACTATTAAAATAAAGCATGGGCAATTCAACTTAAAACTTTTTTGACCAAACACTAAATTCTTAGAACCAACATTTAAGAAATGAATGGATGACAGTAAGGAGAATTACAACTGTGATCTTGGGAGTTTTTCCCTAGAGTTCTAATAAATCTTTTCTTGGCCATTTAACCTTGAGGTTGAAACAAAATGTTCAATTGCTATCTGACACCAGCCCAAAAAATTAAAGTTTATTTCAGACCTCGAGACAAATACTTTGTAAAACAGACACATTTGTTCAGTGCTTCTACATCTATGCAGTAAACATGTTTAAGTACCTCAGGGTACTCAATGTTTCCTCAAAATTGATGTCTGCTGGGCTAATTGCAGCAATCATAGCTGTCTTTGAGTTTCCACCTGTTTTAAAAAAAAGGAAGATTTACTACCACAATGTTTACATATTTTTAAACTTTAAGGTAAACAAACTAGTGGGCTCAGGATTATATGCAATTTGTAGTAGCAGGTACTAAAGAGTCACCATAAATCTCTTACACCAGAATTTACTAAGAAATACTTCCTCCTTACAATATAAATTACTTACCAAGTTGATGGTTCATGAGAATAAAGAAAAACATCAGCTATGGAATGCTGTTTGATTCAACACTAAATTTATAGTACTAACTTGAATTCATAAAATTGTTTGGAAGACAACAAAGAAAATCATTACTGGTGAGATCTTGAGAGTGAAAGTATTAAACAAGAAAATTATACTAAGTCTAATGTTATCAATGCTTTATCCTACAAGGTGGTAAAAACACATCTATCTATCTTTCAGCTTTCTAGTGTCTTTGATAAAGAATGTGTAGTAAACTTGTCCACCATGTCTCCTTCACTCTGACAAAGGGCTAATGAGTGAGTCATGAGCTCTAGAAACTCTTCATGGTGGCCAATTTACATTATCAACACAACTGATAACCAAATTGTTTTTGCAATTTCCCCCACCGACACAGCAATACAAGTTTCTTTAGACACTTTGCCCTTTTATTTGCCATGTCTCACTGCTTGATAAAATAATTTTAAATGCACATTCAACACAATTAGAAAATAATTCAGACTGTACCTAGATTTTCTCTCAGGAGCCATGTCAGAACCGAATCTCTGAATGGAATAAAATCTGATTTTCTTTTCTTCTTCTGAGATGACTGCAAAGCAAAAAGGGTGGTGACAAGGAGGTTACTATGGACTGGCCCTTCATTTGATTTACAAATTGAAATCTTTCCAAAAAAAAAGTGTGATAACTTTAAATTTATTCCCCTTTCAAAGATTGAACACCACTGTCAATTACTCACCTGTTCTGCAAGAGCAGATATCACCTTTCCAAGAGTTGTCAATGATTTGTTGATGTTTGCACCTTCCTGAAATATTCAAACAGACACGAATTCAATTTGAAGATAGTCCTGGGTAAAACACACTTTACAATAATGGAAGTCGTAATGATTATTGTTGCCTACCCCCTGATATTTTTTTTAAAATGCACCAGGAGTATTACTTTGTAAATGGAACAGATAATCGCCAGTAAGAATATGTGTAAGAGAAGAAATCTTGGCTAGTAGGAGTTAATTGAAAGTCACACAGACAACTAAAACATTCTTTTGAACTTTATGAGCCAGGGTGTTTTTGTGAACAAGTTTTTCTTTAGAGAAACAAAAATCATTTTTTGCCTTATCACTGACAATACTTGTGTCCAAGATGGTATTAATTGATTATTCATAACCATTACAATTTCCTCAATGTGATTGGTACATTTGCTGCTTAATTTTCCACTAATCATCCTGTACAGTTATAATTGGACAGTGTAATCTGACAGTTGGCTGCAATTGGACACCTGTAATTGGACAGTTGAAGCAGCCAATCACAAATCAGCTAAATCCACCATTCGCAGAATTAATCACAATAACCATGATAGCAACAACTAATCCAGAAAAAAAGGGAAATTTCCAAAATGACAGAAGATGTCTGTCCTAAATTTATTAGTTTTTTTCAGAAATTGTAACAATTATGATTAATTGGTAACAGCCAATTCTGTCTGCAATCGTACTTGTGATAGACAAATCAAACTCCCACTTTGCAGTTGTCTAATTTTGTAAATCACTCTGTCACTTATGATTACAGGCCAAACTGGACTCCACTTGGTCCTATTACCATGATTATAAATGTAGTACTACCAGCACACATTCACACACCTTAAGTCTCTCCCCTTTGGCCCCTGTTGCATCTGCTCTCTCACTCCCAGCAAGATCTACCAAACTCAGTTTGCTGACCTTCAATTAAGAAACAATATATTTAAGCTGAAACACAGCAAGAAATAGACTGAGGTCAAAAAGGAAAGAGTTCACACAAGTAAGATAATTGCATAATGACTTTTAATAATTTGGTATTTAGTGACCATGGTAGCATTACAAACCTTAGCTGTTGATAGGTCTGTTAAGGAGTCATGCCTCCTCTGTGTAAACACAATGCTAAAGATTGCATGGGATCTACTGCTGGTTTCGTTCATGTTTGTTGCAGCAACTGTCCTGTAAACATTGAAGAGTGCCATCAAATTTACACTACACAAATGTTGTAGATGTACAGTCATGTACCTTCAAATTACCTCACAAATCACAACAACTCTTTGGAAGACTCCTTAATGCTACCAATAATATCAAGCTGAATACACAACACAGACAAAGATCTTCAATCAAAAATACACCACATCTTTGACTTGAAATTTTTTTGTTGACTATAGTATAATGAATAACTGTTTTATACCATGACCTTCTCAAAAAAATTCAAGAGAAACCAAATTTTACTTACCTAGCTTTGTTGCCTTCATCAATAAGGTCATTTATATCCTCAAATGAAGTGACAGCAAGTTTAGTCAAGTCTTCTACATATGGTCCCAACATTGGATGTTCCCTAAAGAAATGATCATTCCAATTAATTTTTATAACAATTAAATGTAAAAAGAGCTTAATAAGTGGCAAGAAGCTCTGACTCTCTCACAGGTCCTCAAGTGACCCAGCAAGGGAATAACCAACATTAAATGTAGATTGAAATTATGGCTGAGGGCTGGTTTGAGTTGAATTACAATTTAAAACATGGCATTTAAACTTATTGCATGCTTTCCTTGACAAACAATATTTTGGTAATGCAGGAATCAAAAAAAGTTTCAAGAGTAGAGTTTTCATGACAAGTGTTGGCTAAAGGGTCATCTGCAAAAAGTTCAAACATTACATGTTTTGTCCTTGACAGATTTTTCATTATTAAGTTTCTTGTACAAAACAAATGTCAGATTTTGGACAACTTAGAGACCTTGTCAGCCTCACCTCACTCTTAAGTTGTTCTTAGCTTTTGGACTCAGCAAATCTCTCACTCTTTCACAATAGATCTCAAGATAGCTGACCTGATGAAAGATTAAAACATGCACTGTACAAAAGAATTTTACAAGTTGTCGATAACTCAGACTGCATTATTAGGCAACTTAAGTATAACTAAAAGATAGACTGCAAAGGCCCCTTGACTGAAATAGTAAAGTTTAAAACAAAAAATTGTTCATGTCTAAATAGATGTTTTGAAAAAGAGGTTGGAGGACCTTGCAAGTGGTCTCTGTACATGCAAGTAAGGTTGATGAAAGGTTTGCATTGAGTCTTGTGTCTTTCCCTTTATGCTTTAAGATCAGAGTTTCATACCTCAGCAGATAACATCAACTCATCGCTGCTCTCACTGTCAATCTTTTGGAACAACTCTTCACAAAGCTAAATAAAAATAAAGGAGTATATAAGGGGCAAGGTAACTTTATCAGAATGAAACTTTAAACTCCAGAAGTTTTTAAAAGGTAACCACTATTTTCTCTCCACAATTTTAATAATACAATAATAGATAAATAAATAAATGGGATTTAATAGTGGACATTCCATGAAGTGACTATTCTTGCCCACTATTGAATTGGTCAAATTGGAATTTAGAACATTGGTTTTATATAAATTCTTCACTTTCATACATTCTTCACCCAACAAACAAGTGATCACAACAGACAGACTTATTAACAAATGAATGTCACCTTCACATTGATGTAAGACCAAATGCTCCTCATAAACAATTTTATTCCCAATGCTATACAATAATTTTATTCTCTATGCTATACATTTCTTAATTATAACAAAAGTTCTAAGAATTTTGTGTTGAATCAAAAAGTACTCCCTTGATCATATTTTTCTTTATTCTCATCATCTTTCTGTGAAATATTATATCGCCACTAGAAAGAGAAATCACATCTTGATCCCTTTTGATTTTGAAAGGATTAATCTAGGTAAACTATATTAACCTATAAGGAATATTTAGCAGCTGAAAGGTAGAATTTTCAAAACAAATACAGTTAAATTTCATCTTCACTGGTAATTAGGGTTAAAAACAATGTGTCATTAACAAAGTCTTGTCTGCTAAAAGTTAGCTCCTCCTGAAATTCATAACATTTTCAAAAAATAAAAAAAAAAGAAAATCAGTTTAATTTGTTCCAAAATTTAATTGAACAGCAACACAACTATTTCAATTATCCATCAATTTAGATAACTGCTTCTTCCATGTAGCTCCATTATATCTCACTTGTGGTATGATTCCTTTCTGGTCAGCCTCTTGTTTGCCCATCATTGTATAAGACTTTCCAGAGCCTGTCTGGCCATATGCAAATATGCAGATGTTGTATCTGAAGGGAAAATAGCAATTTACATTTTTATTCATATCTAGGCTTCACCATTGTGCTTATTAAGAATTTTCATGAGATGTCCATCAAACTTGAAAATTAACAATGGAATTCATGACTGATAGAGCAGAGAAAGTTGTAGTTACAGTTTAATACCAGTTATTTCCTTTCTCTCATGGCTCACCCTAATTATCAATTATTTAAGTCAAGAAAGATAGGAAATAAGAAATCAACCCAGGTAAACAACATTTCAACCTTGTATAAATTAAATTTCAAATGTGTCAACACAGGATTCCCTATGAGCAACAACTGTTTAAACAGAATAAAAGGTATTAAATCCCTTCACTCCCAGGATCCCATTTATTTAGTAATTCCCCTTACTGTATGTCATACAATTCTTATGATGTTAGTTTGGAGAATCAAGTATTAGATCAACCACATGTATTAATTCATCACTTGTCTGCTTGATATTCTACTGTTGTTGTAAAGAGAAATTCTTTCTTGGTCACTCATGGGAGTAAAAGAGTCAAAAGCTAGCATCTACTCTTTTTTCCAATCACAGGTTAGTGATCAATTACCAAGTTCATTTGGTATTGACATTTCTAGATAATTAAATAATGAAAATCTTGACTCCTGCACTTTCCCTAGCATGTATATTTACCCCTCAAATGCATGTGCCAACATCTCTTTACCAATGTCCGCATACACTTGCTTTTGGGATGCAAAGTGGGCATCATTCTGCAAGAACCAAATTAAGAAATAAAATTAATGAAAAATGTTACGACAAGTACTAAGACGTGAATGAAAGTGATCCTCACAGTAATGTGCACTACTTAGGCAGTAGTGAAAATAAGGCCTGAAAAAAATCAGCTCCCAGTTGGCTTGTTAGCTCAGTTGGTAGAGCGCTGCACCAGTATCGCAAAGGTCATGGGTTCAAATCCCATACAGGCCTGAATTTTTTTCAGGCCTTATTTTCACTACTGCCTAAGTAGTGCACATTACTGTGAGGATCACTTTCATTCACGTCTTTATCCGCAGTTCAAATATATGACTTTCATATATTCTTAACTAACAAGAACTAAGAGTTAATCAATTAACTCTGAGACAAGATAATTTGGTTTTCATCAACTGAGTTGATAATGTACTGGCTACCCTTAAGAGTTTCTAGGCTGATGTTTCTGGCATTAGCCCTTTGTCATTTGCTCTGACAAAAGGCTAAAGCTCAAAACGCCAGCTTAGAAACTCTTTAGGGTGGCCAGTTTACATTCAGTTGATGAAAACCAAATCATCTTTTCATACTCCCCCCATGATGCAGCACCACAATCTCTTTTAATAGAAACTTGTCACCTTAACTCTGAGACAATTATCTCATCAGAAGTTTTATTTAGTACTTTTTAATTAAAATGGGTTCATAAGTCATCTTGCTGAGTTTGTAAAAAGCCAGACATGGTTTGATGCTACTCTGGTTTACAGATTTAATTAATGTAACTGAAGAAGTTACAATTCATAGACCCAAAGTTTTGTAACTTCTTTGGTTACATTCATTAAATCTGTAAACCAGAGTAGCATCAAACCATATCTGATTGTCCACCTGGTTGCCATGTGAACTTTAATATATCTTGTAAAAAGCCATTAGATGAATTAATTGTAAGTGATTTTCACTACTCAACACTGCACATGAAGTAAGAGTTGTTTGTATCCCAACTTCTACCGTGAATTCAGCGACAGGAACAGTTCAAACAGTTGTAAGATTAAATGTACAGCCCAGGGTGCAAACCCACATGAGGAGATTTATGTACCAGATAGATTATTATCAAACCTTACTTCATCATGAGACCAGTATGAGTAATCAAAGTTAAAACTCTTGGGCTTTTCACTCAAGTTTCTAGGATTTAGGATAGCTGAAAAAAAAAACAGAGTTGTGAAGGCAAAGACTAAGACAACAGAATTTGGCACAAGAAATAGCTTCACCCTATTTGACAGTTAAACACTTCTAAAATATACCCAGATATTATACAAGGTGCATAGTATTTTTTCTGGCCCCCAGGTGGTGAGGAAAAATACCAGTAATCAGCAAAATGTCCACTTGTATCATATATCAAACCATTGCCTAAAATTTAAAGAGGGTTAAGGACATGATTTGAAAGGAAAAATCTAGAGATTTCAGTCTTCCAAAGGTTAGCATCTCTTTTCGTCAAGCACAAGACTCAAATACTCTCAATATGACATTCAACCCCAATCTTGTGCCCCAGGTGGTGTGTCCTTCTATATCCATTTTTGTGACCAAATAATCAAAGATTTTACTCTAAAACTTCTAGAATTTAATTTCTGAACCTCATGACTCCTGGGCAAGATTGCATGTTCAAAAGGAACAGGAGTTAATCCTATTCCAGGATTAAAAATTTTATTTGCAAGGTTTTGATCTCTCTTCTAAGGAAACATATACTCTACACTTAATTCATAATATGCATCTACAATTCATAACAGTTTTATCTTAATGCCAGCAAATCTGCACTTGGTAAAACATAAAAGTGAACACTCTCTACAGGGATAAAAAAGCTAATGAGAAACTTATTCTAACCCTAAGTTAAAATGAAGCTCAATCGTTTTTAAAACAATGCCCTTTGTCTTCTATTGAAAAAAAAATAAATTGGGGGGGTTAATTTGTATGGCTAATTAATTTCAAACCATGCATTTTAAAATAGTATTGATCACTACATCAGTCAAAGGCTTATAAAGTAATCTGATACAGCAATACAAGACATAAACAAGACTAAGTCAGAACTTGTAAATCTGACACACATTCAGTTAATGTTGTGGTTTGAAGCTACTTAAAAACAATCTAAAATAGCAACTTGAAAGTAATTTCAATGAAATAAACCCTATGACAGGGCAAATAATTTTTATTTCAATTCTTAGGGTAGCTGAACCATTCATTCCTCAAGATAACGATTCTTTAAAAATATCTGTATGCCCACAGCTGTGTTTGAGTAAGTATGAATATATATGCAAATCTCAGCAAATCATTATAATATCATCTTACTTGAATCAAACCACATTCTAAATCATACATTATTAACTGATCCCCATCTCAAGAGAATGAAGTGTAGGAAATTTTATATTGAACGCTGAGTTTTGAAATTTCATATCTTCCAATATCATATTGTATCCTTGTTAATATCAGAATGTAAACAAAAAAAAAGAATAAAATTTCCTTTAATCTACCTATGGAAACTTTCAACTTCTTTGATGCGGGATGAAAAATCAACTGATGCTCAGTTATCAAAACCAAAAAATTAGCATATTTCACTTTTTTTGTTAATTTATTTCTAGAATTTCGTCAAAAGAAATCTTTCAGGGATTTGGATTAAAAATATCCCGCTAAAGGCTTTTCGTGACTATACGATACCAGACGTGAATAAAAAATCTTTTGTTCTGGAAATCTAGAAATTACACTCATGGACTTCAGACAGTGCACTAGCTGAACGTAGGTGAACGCAAAAATAATAAGAAATTTAGCAGTCAACACGTCCATCGTGTCAACTAAATTTCATATTTACCCACTGGTATTTTGAAAATTGGGAAATCACATTCCCATAAAAATAAATTAGGAAAAAATGAAATTACAACTGAAACATTTCCCTTCAGCTGTTCAATCGCTAATCAAAATATCGAGTGGCTCATAAGCTTTCAGTCAAATTAACATATCATTACAAGTGCAGACAACAACTCACTTGTGGTAGGTCCGTGCATCCCAATTATACATTTGCAGCTTCGATTGTTTTCTCGGCTCGCAAACGGCCGAACTCGAACAGCCACTTTCACAGAAGACATTTCCTAAGCAGCATGAAAACCGAAAACCATTCTGAATATCTTGGAGAAAAGTCTAGGTAACTTTTGACTCCATTGCATTACATCATTGCCCTAGGACCGTCTAAAGCCGTCATCTTCGTAAAATAAAACACGCGCAGTTCTCCCCCACACATCAGCTGTAAGGCATTCTCATAGCCCAATGGCAAAATAGAATGGTAAAAGTGATAATTCCACGGACTGTTTCCAACGCTTAAGGATGAATTCCGCGGAAATTTAAGCACTGATGCTTACAGGTCACGAAATACTTTTGATCACGAGTTTAGCATTGGGGTAAGTCCGCTGACCACAAGATGGGCTCATGCATTTCCGAATGCATGCTGTTCTATTGTTTAAGGGAGGGGGAGGGAGGGAGGACGAGGACCATGATGGGGGGAAAGAGGAAGAAAATAAATTCAGAGCCTATTGCATAAAGAATTATTTAAAATACAAATGTGTAAAAAGCTATGAAGTGACAGTTATGGATTTTGGAAAGTAAAAGCAGAAACCGATTAACCAATGCATCTTTTTCAACAGAACACAGTCAGTAATTTTGAGATTGCAGAAACGTCTGATGCAGATATCTCTAGTGAACTTACGACGACTCCAATGTCATGTTCTTATCAGGTGAATGGGAATGGTGACTACGGTTAGTAGGGTTGCCCGTAACTCCTTCTGGAGCTTGGGCCATCGACGATATCTCTCCTCGACCTTGTCCTGTTCTGGGCTAGGCTTTCGAGTGTAGTCCAGCTGTTGCCGCAGTTCCTCATCTCGACGCCGGGTGTTTTTTCGGGCGTCTTCTTTTCCGTTTGCCCTGAAGATACTATTTCCTGGTTTTCTAATTAACACTGTCTGGATGTTTCTTTAAGGTGTGGCCGATTCATCTCCGCCTCCTCCAACTGCTTTAAATTTGAATGAGTTCCTAAACCTGATCTTTCTCATACATCATCGATTGTTTCTCTGTCTGTTCTATCTATTTTTAGAATTCTTCTAACAAAACATTGAAAGACGTTTATGTTTTCGAAAGACGAGAAAAAGATACAATGACGAAGAATGGTGCCTTCTATGATTTTTAAAGATAAACTCCAGAATTCTTTTTAAAACACATTAAAAGACTTTTATGCTTTCGAAAGACGAATGAATGATAAATTTTTAGAATTCTTCTTAAGAAAGCCTTGAAAGATGCTTATGTTTACGAATGACGGGAAATGAGATGTAATAACTGAGAATGGAGCTTTCTATGATTTTTAGTGACGATAAATGATGTCTGGTTCATTTTTTTGTTCGAACTAGTTATGAAATTTTAGAATACTGAGTAGCAATCAACATTTAAATAGCGTGCAAGATATCCTTCTATCTGGTCGAGTACATCACCTGACATATCATTTAACTAAATGACGTCACAGTATCGACATCGCAGAAAAAGGCTTTATTGTGTTCTGTATCCACCGATTTGAAAAAATTGGAATTGACTCATCCATACCAACCGGAAATGAACAGAGCCATGTTTTTTTTTAACTCGGCTGCACGCCAAATTTGATCAATTTCGGCGAAAATATATATGAAACGTTCCGTTTCACACCAGACTTAGCGCAAGCTCTTCACCAAACAATACAACAGAGGTCAATTAAACAATACCCACTTTATTCTAGTAACACAAGAGCACGAATAATCCGTGCTCTCATTACAATTATTGAAAAGAAAACAGGATTTTCTCGAGGGGATCTGTTCTTTCCTCTCTTGTTTTGATTTATTTTTTTGGACGTAAGATAGCTCAGAGAAGAAACTCGTTGCCGATGAGGAGAAAATGACGAGCGCTCTCTGAATAATATAATCCTTTTTTCCTATATGCACTTGTGTTCAGTTAGTATCTTACCTAGCTAGGGTAGGTTCAAGGTCTTTGAACTCAAGCTTAAGGTAAGGGTGTGCTAAAAGTGATGTCTTCCATACCGGAGAAGGAAATCTGCTAACTTGATTCTTCTTCTCTCCATCTCTTTCCGCCGGTAACGAATTTGATTGTGTTCGTCTGAGATTATAAAACTGGTCTCTAAGCAATTATGTGGATGTTTTTCTCCCACCCTTCCCTGAAGACAAGACTACCAATCCTGCCTTGTCGCAACAAAATTGGATTGAAAGGCAATCAGAATACTTTTAAATTTTTTAAGATTCCTATTCCACTTAAATTTCTTCCACCACATGCGGAAATACTGGGAAACTTTAATATCAACCAATGAAAGCCCTCGTTTCACCTCATATAACAGCCTCTATGATTGGCTAGGTTTCAGTTACAAGCCGAAGATGCAGTCATGGCGGATGATGAGAGCATAGAAAGGAACAGCTTGTGGCATCTTCAAGAACGTTTGAAACAAGAGAGACTGTTCGTTAACAAAGAGAAATCTGAAATATCAAGTCTTAACATAGAGATACAATCAACTTGCGAAAGACTTTACCATTTGTCGTGGATAACTCGGCAACAATGGAAGGTGGTTCAGCGAGTGAGGGCTTCACCTGAAGAATGCAGCCATGTCGTAAACAGGCTGGATTCTGCCCGCTTTGTGGACGCATCAAGACATCTTGGCTACTTAGAATCAAAATACTGGGAATTTTTTAAGGGACTGAGAGAGAATCCCTCGCTTGTCGCATCCACTTTGGCTTATGCGGACAAAATTAATTTAGACACCTCTCAGCTGATTCGGTTGTTGTTGAACTCTCTTTATGGAAATTGCCTTCTTCCGCAAGATGAAAATTATGTGTTGATGCTAATGAAACACCTGATCGAGTTGAAAATCACAGGAGATGAGAGCCCTGAGAAATTCCTTCAGCATAAAAGGAATTCATTTACGTCGCTGTTTGGGATTCTAGTCGAAAGCTTGTTCTCCGCAAAGTTGTATTTGACAGCGGCCCTTCATGCACCTATTATGCAAGTTCTCTCGGAAGATTCACTTTTACAGAAGCGCTTACCCCTCAAGTGCACTAAATTCGTGGAAAACCTTAAAGCGAAACTCTATTGTTTTCCTCAAAGCTTGCGATGGTTAATGTGTCAGTTTGCAAATATTCTTTCATCCCACGGTATGAATGATAAGGAAGTGAGGTCAATGGTCTTAAATCTGTTATTTGATTGCATTGTTTGTCCGGCGATAATACGACCTGAGCAGTTTGGCATCACTTCTGATGTTCAAATTAGTGAAGTAGCCTCACAGAACTTGCAAAATATAGCTTCCTGTTTGCAGTGCTTGCACTCTCTCTATTCCTCTGAAGATGAGAATGCAAGAAATTTGGACATGTTTTCAAGGATAGATCCAGTAAGTATGTTTTGCATAGACTACTCTATCTGAGAGGGAATTTCCTTTACATCCTAAGACAGATTATTTCTCAGAAAAATCACACTTATCTTTGTTCCTGAACAACTGGAGTTTATCACATGAAGCAAGATGAAATTTCCTTGGTATTACACTCCTTTTCCTGTTACCCTGAAATTAGCATACATGTCTGATTGTCATAGAAGACTGACTGATGAGAGAGAAATGGCGGTTTCTTTCACATACCATTTGAAAGCTGGCTCACCCATTTATACATCATATGGGTGTAATCATTCTTTAGGCAGATTTCCAGTGTTTGCATAAGCTAAAACAATTACTTCTCTACAATAGTCATAAAAAATTTTCTGTTTTGGGTATATGAAGGTCTTACTTGCTTTCAATGTTTTTGCTGAGATTTTAAGCTAGTATTCATTTCTTTTCAGGTCTGTGTGACTTCATTTTTAGATGCCATATTAGAGAACCAAAAAGACATTCAAGATTTTCCAAACCATAAGTCCCTTTCTGGCCTTTGTCGCAATTCAGTTCTCATAACAGAAAATGAGCTACATGCCTTGGTGAGTTTCATGCATGTGATGCCTGATCTAAAAGAGAAAGTTACGTTTGTTGTCATGAAGATGAGAGTTTTTCGTCATTGTATTTTCAAAGAGGAGGAGGATGCAAATGAATGACTGGCTGCTATAGAAATCCCTTGTCTGTGCACTTTTTATTTCTAACTAGAGAGATGGTAGTCTAGTGGTTACTGTACAGGGTTCTGATCTGGGTTACATAACAGTATTGTGATCTTCAGCAAGACACTTGACCATTAGTCACAGTTCCTATTTCCACCCAGTTGTAACCCTTTACAGCCAAACATTTATAGGTATATTCTCCATACTATCATCTAAACATTTCATATGGTACTAACAGGAAGAATTTCTTTGATCAGTGATAGTTAGATTCATCCAGAGGAAGCCATTTTACATATAGTTGATTCATATCCAGAAATTAGGAGAAGGTTTGACAGTACTTTGAAGCCAGGAGGCTCTTATGAATTACACTTTTCCTCATTATGTAGTTGTTTTTGTACATTGAAGTAAGCTGCCTTTCAGGACAGTTCTTGTGTTCTAGCAGTTTTCCCAACAACCCTCAAAATCCATAAAATCAATTAGAGAACCCCTCTCAATACCGAAGGAACAATACAAGTCCAGTTCGTGCAACAAATGATATTACAACATTAAAATTCAAATAATTTAAATAAGCCAATGAGCGAGCTACTGAAATTGAACAATAAAAACAAAACAAAGTCTGTAATTACATGCACGTGCTAACTGATTTATTTCAAAGTTTTTAATTAATTCCATAAATGCAGAAAAAAGTTGCAACATCTTGTGTACATAAATTTCTTTTGTTCCCTATCTTAGACAAGCTTTCTTAGAATGATTGAACACAGTGAAGACTACAAAGATATTGTTAACCATAAAGAGCTAGAAGAGTTACTGTATCCTCTGCCACCCCAGCCAGAGATAAGTCCTGTGGAGCCCATTACAGATCTGTTAGCACCCCCAGGTCCAGAGTATTCAATAGAGAGTCCAAAGACACCAAAAAAGAAACGAGCCATCAAAGGAAAGAGGGAAGATAAAACTCGGAAGCAAAGCTTTGGAGAAAGTCAAGCCGCTGAGTTTGAAGGCAAGATAATAAAGCAGTATAACCCTTTGTATGTTGAAAACAAATCAGAAGGGTTAAAGAGAGAGTTTCTCCAGCGAATGGCACTGATGTTGAAGGAAGGTGAAGATGTCCTAGTGATCTCACTTGGCTATTCAGGGATTGAGTGTCCTGGCCTGCTGTCTGAGGAAAAAGTGAGTATCAAGTAGTTGTCATTATTTTGTCTCCATCATGACTTATACCCCATTCACACCAGCAAAACATGTTTTGTTAAACTGGTTTTCATTGAATGAAAATTATAAACAGAGAACTGAAAAACTTGATTTTCCATTGGATTCAAGTACTTGCTAACTTGCATTTCCAATGTGCTACATTCAAGTCAAAAATATTCGGTTAAATAGTTTCTATGAAGAAAAAAAAAATTAAACTGTGTTTAACAAAACAACTTTTAAACATGTTTAAGCTTTGGTGTGAATGGGGCATTAGTGTATGCACTCATCTAGTATGTGTATATCTCTCCCATCAATAGATGCATGGCTGATAAAAACTTTTGTCTACTGAAAAGAAAGAAATTGTCCAACAATAATTCGCTCAAATTTTGTTTGAGGGTTTAGCAAGCAGATGAAGTGTGGATTAGTGTAACAGAAATATTTTTATAGAACAAAGCCCTTGATCCTCTGCTGCATTCCTTGAACCATGGGTATCTACTAATAGGTGTCCATTTTCTCAATTTTTAGGTTCTTGGCATCAAAAAACCGTCCAAGAATGAAGCAGGAACCACTAAAAGCTTCAGACCAAGGAGTAGCTCATCTCAGTTCTCCAAGCATATTTTTTCAGACAAATCTGTTGCAAAGAAAGGGAAAGAAGGCTGCAACAAAGAGGAAAGTGATGACAAGGAAATAACAACCTCACATAATAGTGAGTTTAGCATTAACTACAGTTTTTTTTCTTATTCTTACTGATACAAACATAGAAGGTGGGAAGGCCTTATGGTTAGTGTTCTTCTAATTTTTCTTGGGCAAAACACTCTCCTCTGACGGTGCCACTTTACACTCAGAATATACCTGTACCTGCAAGCTTTCAGGGACACCTGATGAAATGCTCAGGCTGGGGATAATCTTAAGATAGACTGGCATCTCATTCCAAGTGGAGTAGTTATTCTCCTATTTACTTCATAGTAGGGAAACTAAGATAAGTTCCAGCTGGATGGGCTGCTTGATTGGAATATAAACTTTACCTTCTTATACAAACCAAATATGTGCACAAGCTTCAGAAAGATAACATAACAATTTGCAGCCTTTATTAAAAGACTCTCAGTATGAAGCAAATAATGATACATTCAAACACTTTGGTCTAAGCAGGTTATGGCTTATGTTTTTTTAGATGACAAGGAGCATTCATCAGAGGTACCTCAGCAAATCATTGCTGGTTCTGGTAACCAAGACAACAATACTGATTTGCCTAAGTCTGACACAGGAGAGAAAACGAGGACAGATCTTAATGATTTGCTTCTAAGAAACACCAATTCCACAACACATGCTACACCAGATGTTCTAGAAGGAAGTACATCAAATATGCAAGACTCTGCCAGTGTTGATTTGATTGATTTTGGAAGTGAGAGTCCAGAGCCATTATCCCCAGTGTCACCAGAACATTTCACTGAAAACCCACTAGTGGAGAAACAGTTGCCTCTTGCCTTTGAAACTCAAGCTGCAGGTAACAGAGACAGTGCCATCAGTAGTGGTGGTAGCACACGCATTAGTTCCATCAGTACAGCAAGTACACAAAGTAGTGGAGTGGAGTTCACCAAAGAGTGCATATTTGTAGATAGTGGCCATGGCGAAATTTTAGAGGAGAATTCTAATGTGCAGCTCCCCTGTCTAGAACCTGTAGATGCACCAGGCAATGAGTTCCGAAAGCGCAGCAGTGTCATCAGTGATCAGGAGAGAAGAGACAGCAAGGTCAGTAATCGAGAGAGCACAAGTAGTAGCACTCTGACTGGCTACTATGGAGAAGGATCCAACCGAGACAGCCAAGCAAGTTTCTTGAGCTTAGATTCTGAGTTTCCACCTCGAAGTGGATCATCAAGCACAGCTGATGACGAACGTGAGTCACCTGCACCCAGGGAGAAGAAATACTCTCGAGCAGCCTCTTTGAAGCGGCATTTGAGGAATAGGAAAAAGAGCAAAGGAAAAGACTCCTTTGATGGGCCAGATAATGTGGAAAAGCGGAGTGAAAAGAAAGAGAAGGGATTCTTTGGAAAGATAAGAACTGCTCGCTCCAAAGAGAAGACTAAGTCAAGTAATGCAAGAGTGTATGAGGAACTGGTGGAGAAAACCCTTGACCCTTTTGATATCACTTACAGAATGGCACACCCAGAAATGGAAGAGAAAACACCCAAAGGTAACAACTAACATGATTCTTGTGTAGTTTGACTTGATTGATCACTGTATACTCACTGTACACCGTTATAGCATACCTAGCTTAATACTGTATGTCATGTAACTATAGCGCACCTTAAATTTTCTTAAGTTTGTCTTTTCAGTTCATGATCATCTTCAACATCTCTAACCATCTCTATCCCCCCCCCCCCTTTTTTTACAGCCCCTTCAACATTTCTGAACTGTGGAAAATTTTGCTTCAAGGTTCCTTCAGATAAAAAGCAATTTTAAACAACCCCAGATACATGTATTTCCTTGTAGCTCCTTTAACAAGTCCAACATTAGTGGTTATGTTCAACTTGTAGACTGTTTTTGACATATTCTACAGAAGAAACTCATTTTGTTTGATAGGGCAAGCATTTTAGAAAAAAAAATAAAGATACATGTGATAACATTTTGGGTTAATTTACTTTTGATGTTGTCCTTATTGATCAAGAAACAATCTCAGTCTTGTTGATTTCCAGTTTCGAGCTCCACTACATGTGTTTCTTATTATTATAGACCTTAATTCATATTATTATTTTTTTTCCTTAACAGACATTGAGAATGTGATAAAAAAATACACAGATATTGCACGTTCTACTGCAGAAGAGGAAAAGTTGGATGCTGCAGATGGTGATGATGATGATGATGACAAAGATGAGGAAGATGATGACATTGTTGATGAAGAGGAAAAATTTGAAAACTCCAAGAGAAAACTAAGACTGGTTCTTTGCCAAGCTGATTTTCAAAATCTTCCCATGGTTCATTCAGAAAACAGGATACCAGAGAAAAGGTTAGCTTTGAATTCATGTATTTTTCAAATCCTTTCAAAGAACATTTCATGGCTGCAATGTGAGGTGCATTTATAGCAGATTTTCAGACAGATCAAGGATTGTTAACCGGAAGTAGGTGATAAAAGAAATTGTGCAGAACAACCAAAAGGCTCCTTTTTACTTCCTTGCATGGTGTTGAACTGGTATTGATAATAATACAATGATTATCATCACAATAATAAACATTAAAATTCTTAGCACTATTTGTAATGGCCAAAAGTTATGAATCAATGATGCACAAATTTCTTGCAGTATCTTAAGTTGTGGTAAATATTTAAATGCAATATTATTTTCTCAGTATGAGTGGAAAATCACAATGTCAAGAACTTTTGACTTTCCTCCATGTACAACTTGCTGAAGCAATAAATCTTCAAGACAGAGCTTTGTCTGCTCAGTTGCATGAGACAATAAGAAGTGTGAAGGATCTGCCACCACAAAGGTACAGTATATATGTAATGTGCTATCTTATGGCATGTTTGATTCATTATTAAGCTGCTCTGGTTAGTATTGCTGTCACTGGACTTTAACAAGAAATTTCCTTTCCTCAAATTACATTCCAAGTTTAGGGTAGCCTTAACATTTAAGGGCTCTTGCTAGTTTCTAGTTGCTGTTATGAAGTTGTCTTGCAAAGACCCATTTTAATTCTGATTTTTATATTTCTCCAAAAAAGGTTTATTTTTAGTTGCTTTATTTAAACCTTTCCCCCCTTAAAGTGTCTGGCTTCTAATTTTTCCTTACAGTATCACTGTTTCATCAAGTGTGAGGGTCATAATAAAATAAATTGTCCTTATTAGTATTAAAGGAAATGTAAAGAGAACAACATGGAGAATATTAATGCGAATGTAGCAAATGTGTTTTGCTGTAAAAGCAAACTATTTGATTCCAGACAGAAATGCCCATCACTATTTGTGCAGAATGCTAACAACTTGTGGTTGCTGTTCTATAGCTTTGCTAGACTTGTGGAATCATTACAGGAGGATTATAAAGCTCGTGCTCCATACCTAGCATACTTGGTCAATGCACATCAAGGATTATTAGCAACTCATTCACACCTGGAGAGATTAGTAGAAAGAGTGGAAAGGTAACAATACCAAAAATGTTTTTCTTTTTTTTTTAATTAATTCATTCTTAAATAATTTATATCCTCAGATATTAGTTATTGGTTGACTGAGAGAAAGTATGGACATTGTTTCATTAGATCATTCTTGAAAAATGTAAGTCGTGTAGATTACGTTACATGGCTGAGAAAATTATGTGAGATTGCATCTAAGACCCAACTACTATGCAACTATATCATTCTACAACAACTGTTTGTAGCATGTTTTCCACATTCTCAGTAACCAAGATGTTATTGATGTTGCTACATATAACTTTTGATGAGTGGCTCTTTTCTGAACTCGTAGGGACAAGATCATTTGTCGCACTTACTTTACAACCTCTTGTGTGAAGCTATTTCTTGAGTCAAAGGAGAAAGGAGAGATTAGTAGATTTACCCATAATTTTCAATCCTTGCCAACACCGGATGAAAAGGTTTGACAAAATTAAATATTGCACTCTCATTGACCATGTTTCAACCTCAGGTAGTTCTTATACTATTTCACTGATTTTAAACATGTTAGATGCTGTTGTTATTTTGCACAAATAATATCAGTGTTAGTACTCCATGAACTTGACACAAACTTGTAAAGAGTAATTATTTTGTAATGAGTACAAAGTTTCCCCCTCCCTCCCTTGAGCACCCATTGGTTTTCTGGCAAAGAGACATTTTGGGCATGCAGTGACCTAAAATTTTAGTGGAAACTTCTGTGTGATTTGAGTGAGTTTGACTCTTAAACAGCAACAGAGAGACTATTTTCAGTAATGTTAACAAACTGGAGCAGATGTAATTTAACTGTAACACCTTTGATGGCCTACCTAACCTGCTCTATAGATTACACAGCTTCATGTAAATAAAGTTTTAGTCTCTTAGTATATTTTCAAACTCTAGTTTAAGCTGATGTTGCTGGAAAGAAAACCACATCAGAATTGTGCTCTTTGGCCAATTTATATTGGTTTTTGGGCTACATCTTTCGTTGATAGCGACAGCACAAGTAGCCTGGGGAAAACTTCTATCAGAGTGATCAGCAAATCCATTGGCAGGTGGCTCTTGTGTAAAACCCTCCACTTAAAATAATTTTCTTTAAATCTGTTGACAGTGTGCATTGCTTGAAGAATTCCTAGAGACATTAGGGGATGAGATGGAAAAGCACCCAATCTGGTCAGGTACAAGGAATCAGCTCAAAATAAATGTATTCAATGATTTTACACACATTTACATCAAATTATCCAACAAATAATTATTATTTATCATTTGATTGGCAGGTGTCAGTGATGAGCAATTTCAGGATTCCTTGGTGGCAATAGAACGTGCCATTATGAGCAGTATCTACATTTCTGCATTTTACCCTTTTGGTGGAGTTGACCAGCAAATAGATAGGTGAGCTATGCTCAAAACTGGAGGTTGCAGTACTTTTGTTCATAAGCCAGGTTTTGCACTTAGAGATTTCTGACCTTGGTCAATATCAATTCCTAAGAAATGTAACTAAAAATTGCAATTTTTTTACTGATGATCTGTTGAAAATGCAGGGGGCCAAGCGTTAGTACTTTAGACTCTGGTCATAAATTTCAGGTATAGTTGTAGGCTGAGGACATTTTCTTTGTAGGCAAGACAATTTACCAGTACTTGCCCAGAGCCTCTATCCACACAGAGGTGTAAATGAGAATTGGCAAATTGTTAATAAAACCTGACCAAATGCTGTAGGATAACATGTACCCTAAAGTAGGCTAGTATTTAGTCCAGGGGGATAAGCCATACAGTTAAAAGCTACAGCGGGGTTTGTCATTTGATTCACATTCCTTTTCAAGTGTAACCAGTTAAATTTATCACCTGCAGCTCCTTTTATTATTGCCTAAAACTAATTGGAATTTTTTTAAAGTTAAAATGGGATTCAACAGTGGACATTTCATGAGGTGGCTCTTCATGTCCACTTTTACCAGGTCAAATTGGAATTTAGAATATGAGTTTTTGTGAAGGGAAGAAAATTTTAGGACTTGGGGGAAAAATCAACATGTGACACCATGTTCGGGAATCAAACCTGGGTCACAGTGGTGGGAAGTGGGTGCCCTCACCACTGTGCCATCCCTGCTTCCCAAAGTTCTGTACCAGTTCGAAAAATTCCACTTACCTGTCTTCTTTAAATGAGGGAGAACAATTCTTTCAACTGAAGGTTATAAATACCTGCAATTACTAATAGTACTACATGTATGTGTATATATGTTGTAGATAAAATTAATATGCATAAACGCATAGACATATGTTTTCTGTTAAAATATCAGATCAAGAAGCTGCTTCTTGCAGTCTGTGAGTTTGACACTTTTTCACTTCAGCTTTGATTCTGATTCTTTTTGGTTATTGGGTTTATTCTTGAAATCTCACATCAATATCCTCAGTGTCTTTTTTGTTTTTGTACTCTCAGTACGTTTCATGAGCATGTGATCAACCTGCAGAAAGTTATTCATCCTAATCACAAAGCTGTAAGAGTCCCTAAGGTATGTATTAATTCTAAATCTTTAACAAGTTTCGGTATCATTTTATGCACAAGTCTTTTTTGATCTGACTTAATCAAAGAATTTTCACATTGCATTATCACGTAATACTTGTATCTTGTTCTTTTTTGACCAAAAGAAAAATGTGGTCCAGATAGGAAGCTAACATTCTTGTTTTTCAATAGATGTACCGTAAGGAAGCACCATGGGAATCAGCTCAGAAAGAACTGCTGGCAATTAATGCTTACAAGGTAGTTGCATTTATTCTATCTCTTGCTTTACTTCACTTAATGTAGTGTTTTTACCCCAAGGGAGAACAGGGGCACTAACTCCTCCATCAATCTCACCCACCTGATTTATGGCTCTCTGTTAAGGTGAAAAATACATCTTCTGCCTCTCCATTTTTAGAGTCCTCAACATCCTATTTGACTGTGTTGTTTTTCTTTCCATCTGGTGCCAAGGTTAGAGCAGCACACTAATTTTTTCAGTGGACATGCAAAGGGAAGGCACTTGTTTGCCATCTCCATCTCTTGATTTGCTCACTCAAAGTTGTACAACCGATGAATACAAATTGTGCTCACCCATATTAAGTTTTTTCAACCAATGCCCTATAGATTTGCTTCATGAATGTACCAGAAACTGGAGTAATGGGTGGTTTTTTTTTATGAGATTCTTCTCTTGCTTCCCTAGACACCAACAGACAAGCTCAAGTGTGTCAAGCGATGTTGTGTCACCATTATGAATCTGTTGTGTTTAGCAAGTGAAACTAGTGTGCCTGGTGCAGATGAATTTGTCCCAGCCTTAGTGTACGTGGTGATACATGCAAATCCTGAGGGCCTTCTGTCTACCATGCAGTATGTTAATAACTTCTATGACAAGAGGCTCAGTGGAGAGGAAGCTTATTATTGGATGCAGTTTTGTGCAGCTATTGCCTTCATCAAAACATTGCGCTATGGCTCAAGCTAAATCCAAATGAGGTTAACAGATTCATCAGATACAATTTAAGAGGGTAGAACCCAACTTGATTCTGAATGAAGTAAGCAGTTACAAAGGCTAAAGAAAATGAAGGAAGTTCATGTTGTTTTAGTGAGAAAGGGCTAATCCAAGGGTACAACATTGAAGTGATTTGAGAGCCATAAATTCTTGAGTGCATTACACTCCTGATACAATTACAACAGATGAAGTCAACCCAGATTTATTCCTTTAATGAAATGAACTGTGTGAGACTAAACTTGATCACAACTATAACTGTTTGGCTCTTTAATTAAGACATTTTACTACCACTGTTGCCTTATTTGTCATTTTTGGGACACAACCAGTTACCTTTGAATCAAAGGAAGTTGCAAGGTGAAAGACATTGAAGACCCATAGCTCCAAGAGGCAAAAATATATATTTACGGTATTATTAGGGAATATTATGTTGTTCTATGACAAAGAAAGTTGAAAATATTACATTGCATTTTACAGATGTGCCAGTCGTTACAACTTTAGATTAGGGTAATATATTTAATTAATTTGATAAACATGTTCTTGATTATCTGTGCACTTATTGTGTTGCATCAGGCATTTATTTTTATCAGTATGAATCACAGAAAAGCAGGCATGTTTGTATAATTGTTTTTCACATTTCAAATCATTTAACATGAGAAAGCCTTTATGTTCCATGCAAAAAATATGTATTAAGTTTTTAAATCTTGTAGGGGGTTTTAAATTCATGTTGTTTTTAACAGCATATATACTTGAGGAAGGTATCTTGACTTAATGTTGGAAACTATTTGGGATAGTGTGTTAAAAAAAGTGTGTTAACATTAATTTAAGATAATTATTGTTTCAAGGTAGACATTCAAAATTTCAAAATTTTTCTTGCTCATTAGTAAGATATATTAAGCCTTTGCACCCCAACATCAGTTTGCATATTCTCTGTACTGTTTTTTATACATCTACTTAGGTGTTGACAAGGAGAATTTGTTTAACAATCAAGGGCTTTTTGGCTGGTGATCATTTTCTTTATTCTTTTGATCCTAATGTGTGATTTAGGGATATTATAAGGAAAAATCAGATGCTATTCACCCTGGGGTTTCATGGTTAATCACCATGTAGAAGACAGCATGGTGTTACCAAGCAGTTCCACTGTAGGTCGAAGTAAAAAATTTCATTACTTATGTATGCTTCAAGTATGAGGATACTACAGCTGTAAACTTGAAATGGATTTATTTTTTTTACTTAAAATTGATGAAAATACCCAAAGTAGTGCTAGCCCACAAGAATTTCTTCACATGGGAGTAAGTTTAACCCTTTAACTCCCAAGATCTGACTGTTAATTCTCCCCACTAGCTTCTACACATTTTGTTGTAAATTAGTTATGAGAACTTGGTGCCAGATCAAGATAGCAGATTCTACCTGATAAGTTTGAATATTCTCATTACCTGTTTGCTGAATAATGTATGGATATTATTGGGAGAAGTTTCATGTTGATCACTAGTGGGAGCTAAAGGGTTAAGGCCTTGAGAAAAGGGGCTTGAGGGGTCTTTAAGGAATATGACGTTTATTAGAAGTTAACAGTGGCTTGCACACAAGCTCAAGTGTTACAAGATGTGAAGACCCAAATGTAGTATAAACCTAGCATCCATAGGGCTTTTACAAGAGCTTTACAAATAAACCAGTGTATAGCTAATATGATAATTTTCAAATATTTGTGGAGAGTAATTTGGAATTACATTTCATTTTAATTACCAGTAGTAATGCTCTACTGCAAAGTTTGATTGGTTCAGAAAACTCACTCTATCCTTCTAAAACAATAAACGACAATACCAAAACTAATCCCTACTAATGTATCCACTTTTTTAATGTTTGAGGCTCCTATTGCAGTTTTTGGATTGCTCCTTATGATGTTGACCTTTGTTCCAGATGGCTTTGATGGTAATTTTGGTGTTAGTTTCAAGACCCCCTGAATTAAAATATGCACACAATTTGGTTAAAAACACTAACTGAAAGAAGACAAACTAGTAGGCTGTTAACAAAGGTTAGCCAAGAAGGTGAATTAGTGAGAAATGAGAACAAATCCATTATGTTGCAAAGTTTGATAAAAATTCATGACTTTGGCAACCAACTACTTAATACAGGATGACCACTTACAAAGGTGCCATTATCACAGGTTCAATCCTATGCATAATCTCCAAGCTGCTCTCTTTACATTCCCTATGATACTACCACGGAAATTCTGTGAAATTATCAGAGCTCCCTTAGATGGCCATTATTTTCGTCATCTATCTGTTTGATTTAGGGGTTACACTCTACTGAGAAATATGATGCTTGTCACTCTTTAAGGTGAATTAAAAAGAATTGTTTTTTTTACTAAAGATCTTGTCTAGAAAGCCAAGTTTTTAAAAAAAAAATCTGACCGATTGACATGAGTCTCCACAGTGTTGTTGTCACACAATAATTAGTTCGCGTCTGAAACTTTTATATTCATTGGCGATGTTTACCTTGCTTTATTCGCCATGAGATCCTTAAAAACTTTGTTAGAAGAAAACAAAATTGTTTTTTCACTAAATATCTTTTACTTTTCTATATGTCTATCTTCAAATAAGTTGTACTGGATTGAAGACCAACTCGCTGACGTCTCTACTCGATTTTACACGTCGGCGACTTGACCGTAATTCTGCACTGGAGCCAGGAGGCATATCCAGTAGGAGGTTATGCAGGTTTCTGTAGCATTAGGCAACTAAGAGTATCCACCCTGATGGAGTGCCAGTCTATCACAAGGTCACCCCCCAGCATTTTATCAAGCTTCCCTGACAGTTAGCTGGTATCCATTTATAGTCTGGGTGGAGAGAAGCACTGTGAAAGAAGAGCTTTTTGTCCAAGAACACAATACAATGACCAAACTGCAAGGCCTCCCACCTCTCACCTCACAAGTTAAAACTTTGATCAAATAGATAGGATGGAGTTTCTCAACAACAAAATCTATGATCCTCTCAAGTTTAATCACCAGCATTGTCTCATTGTATCAAAACTGAACCATAATTATTCTAAAATAATTAATATTGACAATATCTTTATTCACCTATAATAAAAATTTATGCTATCAGTAACTCATATATATATACACTAACAAAATAAAAACAAAATTACACTTAGGTGTTTTTCCAAAAACAACATGTTCCACATTTCAGTTTATCCATCCTTGTAAAATATTTATTTCCATGATATAACTGATTTCTTTTGTCTGTCCCTATGAAAGTCTGGGAAACAAAGTCTGAGAAATTACACGTACAAAATCAATAAACACATAACAAGTAAGACCTAATTCTGTTTTTTTTTTTTTTTTGTTAAATCTTCCAGTTACCTAGGAAGAATTACCAGCACCTTTAATTAACAAAGTTGTCAACTGATCACAATTCGACCCTAACAAGACAGAATTTCTCCTTACAATACCAATAGTACATCACACAAAAAATTGGTGAGAGTAAAGGAAAATACTGATTAGGGGCTTATTAGTTGATCCAATATCAAATTGTCAAAACTAATGTCATAAGAATTGTATGACAGACAAACAGGAGAATTACTGATGAGATCTTGGGAGTGAAATGGATAATCAGGTTGTCCCACACTATTGACATAATACTTTTCCCCAGTGCAAGAAATTTTCGAGTGACAAATACATCACCGTCTCTATCTTAGTTTCATGAAAGGAGTAAAATAGAAATTGATCACAAAGCACTTACACCAAGAAGCAAGCATCTTTGCCAACATCAACAATAGTCAAGAACAGTACAAGCCGTTTGAATAATACTCTACACAATCCAGTTTTTTTTTCTAAGGCATAAAAGCCATTTTGTAAGTTTTTTTGGAAGCATGATGAGAAAGTAACACTTGCTAATGCTAATACTGATGATACTGATGATTTATACGAACTAATACTTTACAATACCTTTCAATAGAGCTTTCTAAATCACTTGTAATTGTTATAGTCAAGCCTGCGATCATATATTAGAGTAGATACTACCATTTTTATTACATTTTGAATTGGATTTGTTAAAATCACAATCATGTCAGTTAACTCTCATTCCCAAATTTACACTGATGGTACTATAGCCATGTAAATGCAGCCATTCTGTTGTTTGCTGTCACATTGTGAAACGAAAAGAGCTAGCATTTTTCTTGACAAAAGTTATAGCACCAAAACTGTAAACACACTAGCATGCTTTTCATACATCAACACCATGAACTGAGCTGAGAATTAAACGTCATGTCCAATGTGTATCAAGGCGTCTTTAAGTCATTTTTACCTACATGTACTGAGGCACACCTTCCTAAATCAATCTTTCAGCACACAACTTCCTACAATCCTCAAATAATTCACTAGTGTCCATTCCAGTTTTCTTGAACACAAACCACAGCCATCCAGCAAAATCCACCTCATTTCCATCCATCCAGTATTTCTCACATCTTAGTCCTCTTTGATGGGGGTTCATCCCTGGATCGTTCACTTCCGCGTGAATCAAAGTCAGCATTAGTCATTTCAGTCAGCCCCTGTAAACTAGAGAATTCTGGGCCTCCCTGCTCATCTTTGTCCTCTTGAGAGCCTGGTATGGAATCTGAAGGGGTGTTACTGCGACTTCCTAAGACATTAGTGAAAAGTACATTTAGCCAACCAATATTTAAAAATTATTCCATGATTTTGTATTGGATATGATATGATATGATAAATAGCCAATGAGGTGTGAAGAGCCAACTTAGCTACTGCACCATATCCAACATATTGGAATAAAATAACTTATATTAAAATCCATTGAATCCTGAACATTTGGATATTTGGAGCCTTTTTTCAGCTTTGCAACAGTTGGCTCAATGCATTTCCATATAAGGTGACTCAGAATATGAGCTGATAGCCGGAGTTGTGTGAACCAATCAGAACACTAGAGATGCAATAATCTGATTTGAAAATTAAATAATTGTAAATAATCAGGAAGTTCATTATGTAGCAATCAGAGAATTCTCCAGCTACTATCCACTAATTAAGGAGCTGTTTCCTGCCACTTTGCAGATCATTTTCACCATACCTGCTTTGCCATTCTGCCCTCTCTTTCTTTGTTCTCCACTCTGCAATGATAAAAGTCTGATTACACCAAGTTGGGAAGATCTAGAGGCATTGTACTGAAATCTATATGCAAAACTGTACTGGCACCTCATTACTTACATGTAACAATGAAAACTACACGAGATAGTGGAAAAATTAAGCCAAGCATTACAGGCAGGGTTGTTATTAGAAGCTACTGAATCTACTATCAATGTCTAGCAAAAAAAAGTTACTTAAATATGTCCCAGAATGGTTTACTGTTAACTGTATGTTGTAATGTGGCCATACCTTAGCAGATCCTGCCTTTCCAGCCCACACATTTATTGAGTCAAACAGTTCATTGAACCCTCTTGCCTGGTAAACAAGAGAAGATAAATTAAAGACTGTTTAATTAACCTTTTACACTCTAACATCACTAGGCACATTCCTCATACTATTGTTTATATAAATCTTAAGTTGCTAACAAGGAATACTTTTATAACTGTTTATACTTTTCTTACTTGATGATGAAGATGATGAGAATCATGATAGACCTGACTCTGCCCATGAGGTTGCATGTGTCCTGTGGCTGGATCAATACCATAACCTGTGGCAGCCTGGGAAATCACATGTCGCAAACCTGGCACCTTAAGTGATAAAAATAAATATCAGAATGGTTCCTTTATGATCATTCCAACAATCACTATTAGCATAAGCATTATGCAGTAAGAAGCAAACACCCATATGGTATAAAAAACCCAATTAAAGGTTAATTAGGGGCTCATGTCGCAATGCAATAACAGTTGATTACAAGGTTAATCAAAACTTTAACAAAATTCTCAAACGTGATTGAGTATCACCACCCAATTTAAGAACTAATAAGACAATGTACACATCATGTTTGTAATTGGACAGTGTAATAAGACGTTTGCCACATCATGCCTGTGTAAGTGAACAGTGTTCATCATGTGGGCATGCTGGTGTCATGTATTTTGCTAAGTTAACCATTGTTTTTTAATGAAAAGAACACATAATCAATGTATAGTTTCTATCTCAAATTTGGCATAGTTTTGATTCATTGGTAACAGGACTTTGTGTTGTCCAATTCCTTCTGTAATCATACTCATGATCAACAAATTGTACTCCTGCTTTGCGGTCATCCAATTTCGTCAGTCACTCATATGATCACAGACCAAATTGGACTCCACTCAGTTCTATTACCATTATGTATATCTAAATGTAATTTAGAGAGTAGTGTGGTAGTGTGCTTAAATTTTGGAAGAAATTGCATGAATCACTCCGAGGTAAATGAAATCAAGAACTGTAGTTTAAAAATGCACATCACCCTTCCAAGGTAGATTATACACTCATCTCAAATTACATGGGGGTTAAATTTTATACACTTATAAACCATATGGCTCAGCCTCAGGGCTCAACCGACTTTCACTACAACTGACCTGAGACTGGACATTAGCACCAACATTAGATCCAGTCTGATATTCTGCACTCATGCCACTGCCATTCATCTGAACACCATACATGTCTGGCTGAGGCTGACTAGTAACTGGCATTTGATGCTGTGAGGATGGCACCACGCCTGTTGGACTCCCTGCTACAGCACTCCCAGGGTATTGTCCTAAAATTTGTGGGGAAATGTGAGGCCAACATAATTTTTTTTTAAAATTTTTCTCTGCATACACAGACTGAGTTTTCAATGCTGACCAATCCAGTATCCAACAGAAGATTTAATGGTTGAAATTGAAATTTTTATCTTGGGAGTGAGGGGTTCTAAAATGTCATCTGGCACATTCCCTGAACTAAACTCATACAAACTTTAACGCTTTACACCCTCACATCAGCGTCCAAACTTGGTATTCTTCATACTTTTCTCTATTTGTTTTCTTTGGTATTGACAAGGAGAATTTGTTTAACAATCAAAGCTTCTTAGGAAGCAATAATCTCCTCTAATCTCAAGATCCTAATGATTCAGCGGTATTAATGTAAGGAGAAATTAGTTGCTGATCACTCTTAGAGTTAGAGAGTTACCATGAACCCTCTGTCCACCAATGGATAGATGCACACCAGCCTAACAGCATTAACCCTTTCACTCCTAAGATCTCATTGGTAATTCTCCTTACTATCTGCCATACAATTCTTATGATGTTAGTTCAGAGAATTTGGTAATTGTATCAACTACAGTAATAATCCCATAATTGATATTCTTCTCTATTCTCATCACCTACCTGCTTGATATTGTGTTGATATTGTAAGGGGAAATTTTGTCTTGGTCACTTGTGGGAGTGAAAGGGTTAAGGAGCTCTTCAAAAAGCAAAAATTATCAGACAACTAACACAAACCTTGAGCAGAGGGCGGCACCCCAGGTTGTCCTTGGACTTGACCTGCTGGACCACCACCAGAGGCAGCTTTAGCAGCATACATGTTAGCCTCTTCTTGAGCTTTTCCAATGTTTTTCTTATACCTAATTCTTTTATTGCCAAACCAGTTTGATATCTACATGGAACAGAAGTTACAGCAAATTCAATCATTTGGTAATGAAACTTGCCAAATTAACTTTTTACTTGGTTTTTACAAATTCTGATAATCTACTTGCCTTGATAACCTAAGCCTGTACTAATTACCATTAAATGTAGGTCAACATCCACTAGAGTATCACCAGTTCATGTAATACCTTACCTGAGCAACACTAATGCCACACTTTCTGGCTAGTTCTTCCTTTGCTTCCTCACTTGGATATGGATTACTCAAGTGAGAATAAAAGTATTCATTCAAAATTTCTGTGGCCTGCTTACTGAAGTTTCTCCTTTTTCTCCTGAAAAGGCAAAAAAATTGGGGTATTAATTCTGCTGATGGTGTTTAAGAGGTTCTATGTCACCATTAGTGATCAGTAGACAATTAGGATAAAACAGGGCGCGAAATTGCGCCTAATACAGGCGCCAATGCGACTAAATTGTTCACATTGGCGACCAAATCTTGAAAATTAGTTGCCAAATTGGTGATTAGAATGTTTCATCACAACCTTACCAAGAGATATAGTGAATCAAAAAAATTTGCAAAGATAAATCCACGGCAAACTTCCTTGTTAAGTTTGTTTCCAAAATTCAGCACACGCATCTCAATCGATAACTAGATGCCATCTTGGATTTAGGTGAGCTTGAACATTGTATATCATCCAACCTAGTGTCCACTTTGTAGAACGTTAGAGATCTTTTCCCTGAATTAATTTTGGAGGGTCTATCTAGAACGTTGACAGCATAAAAAAAGGGTTTGTTTGTCTTTGAAAATGGCGACCAACTTTTTTTGAATTGGCTACCACTTCGAAGAATTTAGGAGCCAAGTGGCTATCAGAAAAAAAAGTTAATTTCACACCCTGTAAAAGAATGGTTTAGAATCCTTTTCAGCAAAAGTAAATATGAAACTTCACAAAATAATTCTATAGTTCTTTTTCTATACAGGCCAAATGCTGTATCCAAAGCCTAGATAGTATACTGAAACTTTATTGTGAAAAAATGGAAGCCATCACACTTTATGGGAAAAATAGTTTGTGAATAAAATATTTACTGCTCAGGATTACCTTGCATCCAGGAATCTTGACCTCAAAATCATCACAGCTTCACAAGTACTCTGCTTCAGCTGCATCTGAATTGCACTAAACTTACGATGAATGATGTTCACCATACGTTCTATTTCTTTGGGCGAAATGGGTCGCGTTCTTGACTGTTCTCTCAAGAGATTCATAACATGGGTGGTAAATTCATTGCAAGCCTAAAAGAGGAAAAATCAAATTTAGCAAAGGCTATTACCCAAATAAAACATTTGAAATAAATCAAATAAAAGTGCTAATCAGAGAACCAATAGAAATCACGAGGATTTACAATGTAACACTTGTTTTCAAATGTTCTATCCGATAAGAAACTCTGACTGTTATTGTGATTTAGTTTTACCACAATCAATCCAAAGAGTGTCCTTTGTTAAGTGCACTGTACCTGCTCATATTTTTCCAGTTCAGTATGATATATCTGTCTGATCTGGTTTAACTTGGCTCTGTACTCTGTATGCTCAGCTTGATTTTCATGAACCCCTGCTGCTGCTGCTGCGGCTGCAGCTGACCCACCTCCCTTCTCGGGCCCTGCCACACCCTCTGCAAGGAGCATGTTATCAAGTCTCATCAGCTGAGGATCAGGAGGTTCATCTTCTTGAGATCCCCGGATACTCAACACTGTTGAAGAAAAATGTAACAGTAATTGAGACCTTGATGACCTTTCACTCACAAGATCTCATTAGCAATTCTCCTTACTGTCTGTCACAAACCTCTTATGAGTTTAGTACAAAGAATTTGGAATTGTATTGCCTGACAATCCCCTTATTAATATTTTTCTTCATTCGCATTACTTTTCTGCTTGATATTGTATTGATACTGTAAGAAGGAATTCTGTCTTGGTCACCGATGGGAGTTGAAGGATTAAGACCTTCTGAGCTACTTTCATCAATTTTTGTTTCATGTTCTTTTTCTAATGAAGCATGACTGATCCTGGGATCATAATATTATGTGTAACATTATAATGAAGGCAATAATGTAAAATATTCATGCTGTGCAGGAGCAAGGAAGTAATAAAAGATAACTCAACAAAAACACAGAATAGTTTTATTTTATTTTGGTAATTAGAGAATAAATTTATAACACCGGTAATTCCATCTTAAAAAAAATTTAAAGGTGCCAAACCTTAGTTTTTTCAAGACATGCGCACACAAAAGAACAACTCAGATGTAAATTATTCCTCACAAAATAAACAGGTACTCTAATTTTTTTACTTGCACAAGCATTCCATGAGTTTCCATGACCTTTTGGGTAAGTTTTATGTTCCTATCTGTATGCAACTGGAGATTAAATTGTTTGTTTTCAAGGATACAGTAAAGCTTCACGGGTTTTCTTTATGGAAAATGTTGGTATTTGAAGTATTTACACCATAAACTTAATATCAGTGGAGAGGGTATGTAATATTCTTCCTAGGAAAACTTTTTCTTTTACCTTGATCTAATTATAAATTAGCTGGAGCACAAAAAGTTTAAACTGAATATGCTTCATATATACTTATTAATTGGGCATCAAATCTGACCACACAAAAGAAACTTCTTTACCATTTCAATCCTGGGGAAATGGTTATGGAAACCATGAAGGGATTTTATAATATTTCAATTGGCTGCTTTAAGATTTTTCTGTCAAGTCTGCTTATAAAAAGTTTTCCAATGTGCAATACATTGGAGGCCATTGCTCGAGGACAACAATTCACAGTCTCGATTTTTTTATACCAACCAATAAAAAAGATCACCACATGCAACAGAAATCAGGAGACCTCTTCACCATTATAATCAAGAACCAGAATGTTTTGCTGCAATGTTGACATGTTATAATTAGTTATTCACACTTAAGAAGACTGAAGAATTCAGTTCAACATTAGATTTTCGTTAATAACTTACATGTGTTCCAATGTTACAAACTTTTTTTGGAAGCTCTAGTAAAGTAGTAATGCTTAGTTTGACCCATAAAAGTAAAAAAAAGCCCTTGAAGGTCCACTGTATCCTTAAATTAAGATAAAAAACAAGCCTCCATTTACAGAATTTCGTACGCTTTTTTGCTTTCAAGAACATATTTTCTCTCATATTCCATGTCTTTCTCTGACTCATATTGGAATTCTTTGACCTTCTAAATATAGTAAATGGTTTAAAATTTCATGACTTTCCAGGTCTTCTGTGACCTGTAAAACTCTTATGCAAGACCGTAATCCTGTAATTCCAGTTACCAGTGAACGGGACTTTTAACAACATTCAAGGAGTTTACCAAAATGTGAATAATCTTAATCAGGCTAACACAGGTTTACATAAAAAAAAAAGATATTTTTTATGCACGCACACGAAGTAATTCTTAAGTCATACTGAACTGAGTCGTGCTAGGTTGAATTTTGAATCCTAAAATTTGCAGTTTGTTCTCAGAGTCACACTCATGTAGTGAGAAGAAATTATCGGAATTTGTTTTTTAAAAAAGTAGGTATCAAAAACGGACACTGCTCTCTCAGTTGATAACAATTGCAAATTGATTCAGTTTCTTACATAATAGAGCGGTTATAAAGAGATAGTTACAAAATTCTCAAAGTACGATACACAGCAGATACTGGATATTCCATGGTTCTTGAGTGTAACTAAATTATAGAGAAACCATGTAACATTCATATCACTAAAGAGAGACTTTGCCGAATTATCGAATAACAAAACAAAGGTATTTTCTTTGTGTAGTTGGCTACCATTGTTTGCCTAAAAGGGAGACCGTAGACAAACAATAAACATTCGCACCAACAATCCATTATGCTCACACTACAGTATAAACACCCTATGATATCCGAAATCACTACTTTTCACTTTAACCGCAACGAACGAGCAATCAAGCGAAAAACGAAGCCGAAAAAAAAATAGTTGAGAGTAAGGAAATTTATCTTGATAGAGGCCTTTGCTTCGAAATCAAACACATTTAAACGAGTGATTAATATATCAACCTTCCGCTGATAAAAATTTGTTGTCTCACAAACTAACTTACGACTTGTATGCGCTCACGTCGCAGAAGTCTTTGTTGATAAGCTTTAACACAATAACGACCGGGTGAATAATCTTGACGAAAAAAAAAATCTGTCGTTAATAAAAGAAAAATGTGACCGTTTAATGATATCAAATCAGAAGGACGCATCCTTGACTTAAGGCCTGCAACCTGACGATTTAAAGTCAGAGAACGTTTCGAGAGATGATAAATGAATCGTTCTGTCTACGAACTTGACAAAAATTTCGAAGGATTTATTGAATACCACCAGATCTGATTGAGGAAGAAGAATGAGCCGCAAGTCTCATGTTGGTTCAAGCGTTTGAAGAAAATAAACACGTGGTAGGGTTAAAAGCTGTCATTACTAACCTGTTTTTTCCTTGATCTCACAGAGGACGTTGAAAAGGGCGGGCTTCATTCGATGGCAGTTCAGAGCATGTTTCCTAAATGGATATGTGATGGGAAAACAATGCATTATCATATGATAAGCCAAAAGGCATGCAGTCAAAAGATCGACAGTTATTAGTATACATAAGAGGGAACTGAACAAGTGTGCGTCACTGCAAAGTTAAGCGTAGTATCGGAAGAATTTCGAAGAAACGAAATCAACAATGTGTTCGATTTCACTCACCTCGCTTGCGCTTCGTCCAGAGACTGATCTGTGATGTTCATAATTTGCTGCAAAATATCACCGATGTCCTGCTTACGACCGTCCGGGCCTTCTTCAGGAGGTTTCATCTGCTCCAGTGCAGCTTGCTGACCCGATAACATGGGAACTTGGACAGAATTCATCACATTTCCTTCCATCACGCAGTAAAGATCTAGCTCTCGACGAATAAACTAAAAAATCCAAGATGTCCGCGCTAGAGTGACGAATTAGGAATGCTCAACTCTATACTTAACCGACGGTCAAAATAAAGCCCTGCTCGGCCACTTTTCGACCTCGCAGTTTCAAAGCAACAACACTATATGATAGCTGTTATATTTCACAGAGTGTTACGCTCGGTTGGCGGTCGTGTTTCCAATCTGCCACTCAACAAATCTTTTGAATTTGAAGCACAGACGTGTCAATATCTTTCGGTGCGTGAGAAGAACGCGAATGATTGACACCACTGGATTTGCTCAATTAGCATAAAAACCTTCATGTAAAATTCATCAGAGGAAAGTCACACAGCTCTCACTCGGTGGTAAAAACTCACCTTCCTTCACTTAAGTGCTGCCTGCCTGAACTCAGAGCGTCAATGTACAGTTTCCTCGCTGAAAATTTAACGAGAACAAAGGATCATCGAAGGGACGCCCCAAAATTTCCAAAATGGCGGCCAAGTGAGGACAGAATGTCAATATTCATTACTGTTGCTATGGTGCTGCCTGCAGGTGTTGTTTTGGGGCGGAACAAAGAGCAGAAATTCAAAGAAACAACAAAAGGCAAGTGGAAAGACGTCCGGTCACGTTTTTCGTTACTTTTGTTTGCAGTTTACTTTGAGATCGACATTTTAGGCTACTCTTACGTGAAGAAAAATGAAACAGTTTATACCACATTCAGGCAAGACATGGTGTCAGAACGCATCATTAAATATGCAAAATAATTCGTGTCAACATAAATTTTTATCACCAGCATCTTCTTGTTCCATTTTTGCATTTGAAATCAGTTGGGGTGAAAATTGTTCAAACAGCAGAAAAAAGCTAAAGACTTCCCACTTCAATCCACCAAAAAAAAATAATAAAAATCTTGGAACCTCGATGAGCAAGACTTAATTTGACGCCATCAAAGGGGGAAAAAACATCAAAACAGATAACAATGAAGTGGGTTGGACGCGAATATTGCCACATTTAAATTTATGATCCTTCGCTGTACTCACTGAATCCTGAGACAGCTTAATAGTATACTTCCCTCTGCTTGCCAGTCAATTTCTTTGGGTTGAAACAGCTAAGTTCATAATGAAGATAATGTTATTTTATTTCATAATGATCAGAAGCATTTTTAAAACTGCAAACCACGTTGAACGAAAAATTAAAAAATAATTTTAAAAAATAAAAAAGAAGGGAAACTTTTCTCTGACGTTAAACGTGCGTCTATGATGTCCTAAATCACAGGCAACAGCCTATCACGGATCGTGCATTGTTTCTATTCAGATTTTAATTTACAGTGTACAAAGACAGTACGGACCTAAAAGGAAGTTGAGAAATTACGTTTTTCCTATTTCCCATCGGAATCATTCCGTTGACGGGGGCAATTGCGTTAAACTACCTTGGCTTGAACGGTTTTCGATTTGACGTCGCCCAAAAGCCCTCGCAACTAATCTGAAAATCCCTTCGCTAAATAAAATTTTTTTAATATTCTTCGTTTCCAGTCTCCCACCACTTATTTGTTTTCATAATTTTTTCTTGACTTTCTTCTACATGGCCATCTGTCCCATCTCTCCACCCACGGGTATCAACGGAACAAATAAACGAGAATAAAGCGACGGTTCCATAGATTGTTTCAGTGTTGGCAGCAGAATCTCCCACCCCTCGGTAATAATGAGCCTGTGAGACAGTATAACCACGTGCAATTGCTTTTTCCTAGGTGATCTTAGCAACTTGGAAATTAGCCAGACTTTTTGTCTCAATTTGTGGAAAAAGGATTTTCTAGAGAAACAGCCTTTATGAAGCATTTATTTCTGCCCAGCATACAGCAATTATGAAAATCAGTTGTTTATTTTTTACGGTCAACCTTTTCAAAACGATTCTGCCGGCTACACACAAGTAAGCCTCTCAGATACTTATCTACATTACATGGGCAAACTGTTTATGCGCTGAAACACTTAAAGATGTTATTCAAAGTGAAAATTTTCTATTTCTGGGCTAGTTTTTCTTTCAGACATGCTGTCGCCAAGATTAAAGAGATAAACTTTTCAGCAAATGGTACCAGGAACCCATTTGGCAATGTGGTGGCTCCTGCTGGTACAGAAAAAAAAAACTCTTACTGATATCATCATGGTTCTTTGAAACATTTTTTTGAAGTGATTCACTGAAGTCTTTCTAAAGACAGATTTTTCTGAGTGCATCTACCACAGTTGTTTGATGCGTCCATTTACGACAGTTTATACTTCTCAATACAGCGCCCATGTTTTGCTGGACTAGATCTGACCTCAAACTAAAAAGAAAAGTCAGTCTTAGCAATATTTTTTTTTTCGAAGTTTCTTTCGCAACATTTTTCGCTATTTTTCACTTTCGCTATTTTATTGTGTGTGTTTGTCACGTATTTTGTTGAAGGTTTTTATTTATTCGATCAGCCTTTTTCCAAAACTGATATTGTAAGTCTTTCTTAGAGTAAGGTAAACTTAAGCGCACAGGAAGTAAATTAAAATGCGTTAAAAACAAAGAAAAGAAAAGCTGGGCTAATCTGTTGACTATCCATAGCTTTAGACGTCGTGGACAGCGTACACTGTGAACAAACATAGAGAGCATGCGCGAGATCAGGCGTGGAGAGGACCACGAGAGCAAAACTACCACCATACCCAGCGGCTTTCTTAAGTTTACTCATTGGATAATCATATGATCTCGGGGAAAACTAGGGACTGAACGTAGCTCAGAGAGTGCTCAAGCAGCAAGAATCTCTTATTTTCATGGAAGATTTGGTTACATTCAGTTTATTTTCTTCTGGACTTAGCTCCTTGTTCAAATAAGTCATCAGAATATCGTCACTTCACTTTCCCAGGTAGGACAATCGAAGACAAATAAATAATATTTTTAAGTGCATAAAATATTTTTGATCGGTATAAAATTAGACAGAGATATAAAATTTATTTTATTCAGCTCAGCTAACAACAAATACAAATTAGAAATACGCGGAGAAGAATTAAGACAAAGTAAGAATTATAAACTAAATCCCTGGTCGTTGATGAAGAACGATTTTTACATCCCCCAGATAAAAATAGCAAATGATAAAACGATCCAGTGCCATCCGTCTTATAAAGAAGTCTGCAAGCAGATACGCTCTCTAACAGTGATCAACAGCTTCAGTTTTGTCTCAGGTCAGTTCTCTGATAGTTTTTGCCCTACATACATACCCTTCGCAAAGGTGACAATTTCGTTGTAAAGATTTATTGATAAAAAAAATCAAACGTTGTCGGAAAGCTTGTAAAGTTTTTCAGGAGAACTATTTAGCGTGCAACTGGCCTCGTCATGTTTAGTACACATCGGAGAGACTTTCCTAGTCTGCATGTTTTCTCCCTGCTCTGGCGCACACGACCTCGCAGGCCGGAATAAATCTCGAGTTGGCCTTCTTGTCCTGCCCTGTCGATGTCACTGCCGAAATGAAATTGGTAGAAGAAATGCGGTCGGAGGTGTATCATAAGGGAGGGCCTGAAGGTTACTTATTTATGTACATTTATACTTCATATCATCTAGTGGTCGCCTGCTATCGTTTTAATTGATTTACTTAATCAGACTGTATTACCTTTGGTGAAAATTGCTGGCGTAAAAACTTTTTATAGTATTAGGGTTTTAACAAAACTTTCTTATGCAACAAGCACGTCTGCAAACAAACTCTTCACTTGAAAATTTTGATAGAGAAGAGTGTCCTCTTGCGCCTGGTTCCTTCCTTCGGCGTTCTCTCTTACCCGCAGTCGCCTCTTTGGCAAACCAAACTAAGAGTCTGTGTACAACTTACACTGATTTCTTAACCATACGATATTGTTGGGCCCCTCCCAGAGAAGCCAAGTTTACCACTGCGAGCGAGAGAGTATAGTCTTTGTTTAAACGAAAGCTATCGCCCTTTCGATGTCAACTTCTCAAAAACTTAAATCCCTCTATACATGTTTGTTTTGTTCTCTGGCCCTGGGAGTTCCTGATGGCAGCTATGATAAAATTTTAGCGTCACCTGCGCCAGATAAAGATAGTAACAGCAATAAAATAATGAGAAAAAGGAAGCACACGTCAACCGTAGGATAAACCTCCCTTTTTAGAAAAACAATCACAAATGTGTCTTTTCCGTGACAGCCGTTCAGACCTCTATAAATATTCTTGACAAACAAGGTGAAAAAAAATAACTTCAATGATCACAACAAAATCACTAAAATTTTTTTTTTTTAGTCTGACAACAATCGCAAATCTCAAATGGCCCACTCTCTGGGGGTGGGTCAACCAAACCGTTCCTGTTTTGATCTTTGCTGTACTCTGTTAGAGTATTCTAGAGGGACTTCATGCGCGGTTTATTACGAACGTTTTCCAGTGTCGTTTCCGTGATATTATCAACTGAGTTGGTAATGTAAATTGGTCACCGTAAAGAGTTTCAAAGCTGACGTTTCGAGCGTTAGCCCTTCTTCAGAGCAAATGGCGCTCGAAATGTCAGCTTTGAAACTCTTTACGGTGGCAAGTTTATGCTATCAACTCAGTTGATAACACTAAATTTCCATGTTATACTCTCCCACCGACGCAGCACCACAGTTTCTTTAGAAACTTAAATAAATAAATAAAAGAAGTTTAATTCCATCATCATCGCAGTTAATCTGAATTACAATGTGGTTACAAATGTACAACTATAAGAATTACATACTGTTGATCAATAAGGGACTAGGTTACAATAGATTTTATATTAAAATTACAAATACAAGTTAAAATATATATGTAGGTAAATATGGTCTAAAAATCTATTGATTGTTGAAAGCTAAATTAGTACTTTGGAAAAAAACTACGGCGCAATCTTTCAGTCCTGCATTTAGTTAATGTATATATGTTAGTGCATCTCGTTTGATAGTGATGCATGCGCTGTCTCGTCATTGGGAGATGTTTAACGAGAGACTTACCCCCTTTATTACACCCATTTTGAAATCATTGGTGGTCCCTGTAATCTAATTGGTGCGATTTATTCACGAATCGCACCATTATTTGCTTTAAATCGCATCTTTATCCCAGCCAATGAGAAGGTTACACTAAAAACAAAACAACCAATCAGATTTCAAGGCTTGTTTAATGTAACCTATCAAATTTCAGGCAAATGAAAAACAAAGAGTATCATGTGGCAAATTTTGCAACTTTTGTTTCCAAAACTCTTATTTTTTTTCCCACCACAACATGGATGAATTTAATTTCAAACCGGCTTAGTACTGCATCAATAAAATAATTGAACTGACCAAGCCTTTATTTGGGCGATTTCAAAATGGATGTAATAAAGTGGTAATTGAACCTCTTGTCGTGCAATTTTGGGCTGAAATCATACGCGTGATTTCAAATCGAACTCACGCTGCGCGCTCGTTCGATTTTGAAATCACCCGTATGATTTCAGCCCAAATTGCACTCCATTCAGTTCAATTACCATTATTTATTCGTTTTTCAGTGTCGGTCGACGAGGAAATTACCTTTTACCCGATTCTTTTTTTTACGTTTGGAACCTCTAATTTGGTTCCTCAGAAGGGAAAGTTATAGGACCAGTTATTTCAAACAGACTTCAGCTGTTTGTTTAGCAAAACCGCAAACTGTAAACGATCTTTCATTTGGCCAAACTTCTCATTTAGATAGTCATTTTGGTGATCAGTATCAACAGACTTATAGCGAACGCTTATAAAGCATTAAGTCACTTGAGAAAGACTCGTAATATTGAGAAGTCTCTAGAGCCATTGATAGTCTAAAACCGCCGGTAAATGAACAGATCTTAGTTTTTGATCATTTCGTTTTTATTCTTCTGTACACGTGTCGTCTCACTTGCTGACAATACACGCATAAAAATCAGAATGTAGGAGTGTAAAATGAATTCTGCATCGTTTGATTGAAGGAGTGAGTTGGATGAAGAGTAGGTGATTTATAAATAAATGACAAGCTTTCGATGACTAGGTAGGTTCGAGATTCCTATTTCTTATCAAATGACATGACTTTTATCATTACTGCTAGATAGCTGAGGACCCCCATTTAAAAGCCGCATTTAATGATTAATAGTGTTCAGTAAGTTGAGCCAGAATCGATTAAATTTTTTTGCCTTTTGTTATTTTTTCGTTAGCAAAGAGGCCTCATCAGCAGCATCGGAGGATCATCGGGTCTCCTTTTGTTATATTTACGGGGGTAACTTTGCAATTGCTACTCAAGTTGAAAAAGCACTTCTGCTGCAAAAAGATTAAGGAAAGGAGCTTGATCATTTAGCTCACCAGGAACAATAGATATGAAATTAAGTCCGTGAAGCTTTAACTTAGACTTTATTTTGACCGGCAAAGATGCAACCAGGAGAGGCTGTACAGGCTAATCTTATACACAGATTAAAATTAAAACCTAAAAATTGTTTCGTACCGGAGAAGAAAAACTTTCGGAATAGCCGGGAGGACCTTCCAAATGCCCGCGTTGCTTTAATTCTAAATGAAGTTATTCCATAAATCTTAGATTTGCGTGGCAGCTATTGTTATTGTAAGGTCATAGTGAAGAGTGTGACGAGGGCACTGGGGCTACTCTAGCTGCCGCTCCTCCTATCGCTGCCACAGAAGACAATGAATACTTCGTAATCTCCGTGCTAATCGCCTCGCGTGTGTTCTGCTCAGGACTAAAAATAATTACGTACACTTTAGGCCCGAACATGCAACCTAAAAGAGCAAAAGAGCTTACGAGAGTGGTTACTCCCCCGATAACGCCTACATACCATCCCTCCAAGCCAAACACCACAGGATAATAAGCAGCAGAGCACAACAGTACAATGTACATTGCAAAACCAATATATCTCGCCTCGTTAAAATTTTCCGGAATTTTTCTACCTTTGAAAGCATAATAGATGCATGCAAGTGAAAGAATCATGAGAAATGTTACACTAATTATTAAAAGTACATGGCCAGAAACGGATTTAAAAGGTTTACAAACCACAAAAATATATTGAAGAGGACGAACGATGGTTTCTTTGGAGGGCGGGTCCACTAAAATCCAAATCAAATTCAGTATGATCTGTATGGACGATAATAGAAATAAATGAAGTCTCTGTCCTTTGAAACAGAAGTTTTTCCGCCTATTTGTCCTGGAGGCCAAGCTGTCGGGTAACTTACCCTGAGGCCGAAAAGCCTTGACGATTTTTCTTGACTTCAAAAGAAGTATGGAGACGCATAAGGTATAGACAGTGTCGCGCCAGATGCAGACAACTCTACACAAGATGTCTGTGGGAGTTAATAGGTTTAGTAAAGCAAAGACGAAAAATAACACCACTACAAACAGCAAAATAAAGCTAAGTTCCTTGTTCGAAGCCTTTACTATCGGCGTATTCCGATACTTAATGAAAATAGCGAAACAGAGGATGGTCAAACACAGACCAAGCGCTGCTGTGCATGTCACGATAAGGGCTGAGATATCTCTCCATTTCAAGTTGTTCAGTGGAAGATCCATGCATTGTGTCCTCTCGTTATTGGGTTTCTCTCTCTCGGAACATTGGGAACAGTTAGAAGAAATACCGTCGGAACTTATGGTACCGATTGGGCAGTCGACACATTCCCAACAACAAGAGGATCTTGTGACTTTTCTTTCACCCGGTTTACAGTCTTTGGAGCAGATTGACGAGGGGATACCGTCGAATCCATCTTGATTGTTCCAGGTTATCATCGGTAAGTTCAAGTGTAGTTTAGAAATGCTTCTTCTAGCCCACCAACCGATATGAACGCCCTCAAGACCTTTGCCAAACTGGCTCTTGAAGTTTACAATATCGTACGAAGCTTCCAATGGGTCACCGCGTTCGTCAAATTGTACTGTTCCTGTCAATCCTTGGAAACTCACATTCCTCAAGTAAAGGTCAAGACAATCCCCAATCACCTTCAGATCTTGAAGTCGTGGGCATTTTCCACCCTCCAAGAGACCATGTGGCTCCTTGCAGTTGTACATATTGTGTAGGGCGTGTGCGAAGGCGTACACCCCATCAATAGTGTATGAAACGTAAGGATTGCTAATGAATGGATTCTCATTAGAAAAATACTCTTCTAATGAACCAGATAAAGTGTTTTTATTTTTTGGGTTATGCCAGTATTCTTGCCACCACAGATGGGTGCTGCCCGAAAAGTTCCTTTTAGCAAGATTGACCAGATATTTTTGGTATTCCTTACATCGCGAAGCCCTGTGAAAAACACCAAATGATCCATTAAGTAAGCCAGCAAAGCGATCATGTCCGAAAAAGGGATCTGTTGGCGCTGTTCCGTCAGTAAATATCCATGTTTTTCCTCTAACACCTTGTCTTACTGCTTCTTCCATAAAAGATTGCGCGAACTGTCCGTAAAGCCAAAAAAACACCACCTTAACATTTTCCATTTTCTTGAGCTCGAGCACGATTTCCTTAAACTTATCATAAGGATCCACTCGGGGGACAAACTTTTTCAAGGCAATACAAAGGTTGTCTCTCGAGTTTGCTTCTTTTTCTATTCCCCAGATTCCGTATCGGCCGAAGGAGTCGTCAAGCGCTATTGCAGCAACGTAAGTCCAGTTGAAGAACTGCGCTATGTCAGCGAGCAAACTTGCGCGCCAACTGTCAGGCGAAACTGTGCGGTAAAAATGTTTGTAAAGTGTTGAACTCAGTTCCACGCTTGTCGCTAGGGAGCTTATGGACGGAATGTGCGCGATTTCAAACAGACTTGACACCATGATGGCGCTGGCAGAATCCATTGGCCCAATCACGCCTGATATTTCTTTGAAGTGGCCACTGAACGCGTTTTCGCTTGTACAGTTTTGGAGTGAAAATCGATGATCACTTTTCACCACTAATTCGTAAGACGCCTCAACGGCTATTGCTGGCTGGAGACAGTAATCCAAGAGTTCATATCCAAGTGTCACATTTGGCAAGAATGTCCTGTTATCATTTATTTTTTCGATGGCAAATATCATTGCTTGTAAGGAACCCAAGTTTGAGGCGAGGAGATTGCTGCAGCTGTTGTTAATTACTCCCTCGGTATGGTGTAGATCAAACAGACCCCCTAACATGATTGTACCATCTTCATAGGCAGTCCTCCGAGGAAACATTTTGACTTCTGCCTTTACTGTACACGATAAGACCACAGTAAGAGATATAAACTTTAGAAACGACGAAGATACCGCCATGATCATGTTCTGTATGCTACACGTTACGAGAGGAGACAAAACAGAAAAATTATTACAATTATCAATTGTCTCCATGAGAGATAAGTTGTTATTCTTAATTATGTTTTTTCACTGGGCCATCTCACCGGCTTCATTTGAAGTGTGTTAATTACAGAAAGAACGACTTCCTCTATTAAAAGCACGATTTTTGAGTAGAATAGGTGATTCACTCTGTAAACACAGTACCAGTGAAACGTGCTAAAAACTTCGAAAAGGGAAAACGATTTTAAGAGCTGATAATTTTTAACAAAACCCAAGTCATTACCATGTAGGCTAGCCAGTACCATGTGGCTTTTGGACACCTGATAAAATTCCGTAGCGAGCGAAGAAAGTGGATGCTGAATTTGAAACTTAGTCAACACACATTTAACGTGTGCAATTCAGCACGCTCGATTACAAAATCAATGGTTTTATCTGTTCAAATCTATTCACTTTGCCCAGATGAACACAAACGGCTTGTAAAAAATAAAAAAATATATATATATACTTGCGATTAAATTCCCAGAAAAATGGTGCACATCCAAATCGAATTCGTTTTCAGCTCCATTCTCTGGGTGCAAATGATTTTGATTGTCCATGCTAATTTGAATTACAATACTTTTTCGGTAAAGGAAATCCACATGAAAAAGTTCCATTAGCGTCAAATTTGACAATCATCCAAAGAAAGCTAAGCTAATAATAGAACGAAAGCTAATGTCTTCATTATTTGAACAAAAAATATTTTTAAGTCCGGCGGGTGCTAAAAGCAACTAAAACGACCGGGTGCCGTTGCTAATAGCAACTAAAACGACCGAGTAATAAATTGACTCTGTCTGCCGGTTCGTTCAGAAAATGGCGACAACTCAGGGTTTTTAATCAACAAAGAAGTGATTTTTGTCTGATTGGTCATTCGTGGTAACAGAATTCAATATAAAATAGTCATTATGAGTGGAGCTTTCACAACCTGGAAACTAGAGAGGGGCAGTGACAAATTGTGAAGTTGGAGATGACTTAAATTTCTATTGAAAACTAATTTTTGCGAGTTCATGTTTAAGTACTGAAGAACTTCGACGAGGAAAGAAGCGTGAGGAATTTCCTCAAATTAGGATCAAACGGGTCATCTGCACATGAATATGACGAGTTGACTCTTGATTCGCACGCGGATTTTATTTAATTTTTTTTTTTTCAATTTAAGTAAAATTACTAAATTTTTGCGGCGTTTTATCTATCGATTTATTTCTTTGTAGATCGAGCTTTATCGGTCAATATCAAAAACGTCAAATCTATATGCAACACAGTCGAGCCCTGCTGATCCTACCTTTGGTTGAACTTATCAGGATAAACAGGTTTCTGGTCACCTACACTCTTATTGTATTAATATCATCTTCGAAACCGATGAGGAATGTTGTTATTATTACTTGAACTGTAATACACGTTTCGATAATCTTTGTTTCCTCGCCCTCGGTTGGCCGAAGTCGCTTTCGGTTTACTACTTTCGAATTACTACTCTGAATTCAGAGATATGCAGATCTCTTGTGGGGTGGTATAATATAAGAGATATTCATGGGGTGTGACGTTTATGGAAAGCGGCAGACAACAAAGAATAGTTTCTGAGGGCTTCATTTTTCTTGGATACTTCTATCGTAACTTTTAATCACACTCGTCAACAATTCGTAAAAAAATTGTTTTGGTGCTTTACAAAGCAGATGTTTGAATGGAATATTATTAGCTGTAGTGAAGAAATGGCTACAGATAAAAAAATTTTGCGTGGTGGCGCTTACCTCGAAGGTCATTCACAAAGTTTCTTTCGCCACTATGTCGGTATTTGAAGAAAGAGATCGTATTTTCATGTCTTTACTCATCAATGAAGAAACATTTCCTTGCGTAGCAACTTGTCAAAATTTATCATTATGTTGTACAGTTTCCTACCTGTCCTGTGGGTAATTAGCTTGGATAACAAATCATCACTAGCATGTAACTTAACAATTAGATCGAGCACGACCATTCCATCTTCAGAGTGACATCTCCGTTGCGAGCAAAACCATGAAAGACGGATGAATATTCGGACACCTTCATCAAATGCCTGAAGCCAGAATTTGGATCCAACTGATTGTTCCCCTGGAGACAATGTCCCTCCGTAAAAATGAAAATTTCCCCTCAAAGAGTAATTTGCATGTAAATGTGTTTTGTATGACATCCAAGAACCACCGGGATCTTTCAACGACGAATTACAACACAATATAAAAATTAAATAAACGGGACCTCCTGTCATTGTTTATACAAGTTCCAATTTTCAAAGGTAAAATGTCTCAAAACGAAGAAATATTCCCACGATCTTTTAGTTATAAAGTAGTGATAGTGAATTTGAGCGGGATCGGAACAATTGGTTGAAGCACTCGAGACACGCAAAGTTTGGTTCAAACGGATGGGTAGCTTTTCATTGAAGTAAAGAGCGATTACTATTTTGAAAAAGGCTTTAAAACATAAAATGGAATTTGACTTTTTGTTTAAGATACTTGAGTTTTTGTATCTTGAATTTGAGGTTATTGATAATGTCCTAACTGGTTCCATAACGAAGGTAGATTACAATTGTTTCAATCAATTAAGAAAATTTATTCAATATCTTCAAAGATAAGGAAGCTGTGCTCCTAAAAGTTCTAGTACCCGATCTGTCTCAATATGGCCTGACATAGCCAGCGTTCGTCTTTACCGAAGGTACTCCGCTCCCAATAAGCTAACAAGGAGGTTAAAGACATCATGGGTATTGTGTGTCTTCAGGGCAGCTTAAAAAAGGACCCATAATTTGGTCCCAAATCGAGTTGTTTTGTTTTGGTGCTAAGCATGTGTCCATGGTATTCGCTGTCACGGCCAGCATTTTTGGCGATGGTCACCACTTCTTGTGCCAAATTTGAAAAATTTCGCGGATAAATTCTCACAATATATCCTCGGTTTTGAGATCTCTTCTTCAGCGAAACAGTTCATGACGTCGCTAATTTGTGTTGTATAATTTGCATATTAAAAAGAACTTGAATTTCTCTGAAATTAACGATCACATTTCCAAAAGGTAAGGACCACTCTTCTTTAATTGGTAAAATAAGCAGCAGTCATTTCTATGCCATGGACAATTAAACTCAAAACGGTGCCGGTAGATTGAAGAATTCCCGTCTTAAAAGCGTGGAAAGCCGAAGATAACAGATCTGACTAAGTAATTAAATGTCTTGATGATCTTGAAGTGGTCGTAAAAACGCTAAACCACAAATAAAAAAATTATTTTTAACAATTCTTGAGATTTTGTTGCCTTCAACGAGCTTCTCCTGTATTTGTAAAACACCGTCGCTTGTTCTTTTTTTTTTTTTGCTTTGTTTGTTTTTTTTTTGGATGGGAACTGGGGACCCACTGAATAACGAGTATTAGAAATTAAAATGGATGATCTTGAGATGTAACAAGAGAGTTCTCTCTGAAATAAAAAAACAAGCCTAAATTAAGCGGCCATCGGCGTTTGTTCAAAGATGAATAATCTGAATTATCTTATCACAGTGCTATATAATTGGAATCATTTAATTTTCGACAACTAGGCAATAAATATAATATGAATCTAATTTGCCGAACGCTGTTGCACCGCCATTATACATCCAACGAGATTTAAATTGGAAGAAATTTCGAGAAGGGAATTTTCCACAAAAATGAAATGATCGAAAGCTCTCAAATTCAAGGTAGCGGTCATTTATTCGATGCAACCGTGGTAAGCGCAAATTTTTAACGACGTTTAATAGCTTCATGGAGAGTTTTATTGCTTACATTTGGTTACAGTTTCCCCCACAATGACTTGAGAACCTGGATAATTTTCAATTTTGTTTTTTAATCGTAGGTTTGCGCCAACTACCTCAAAAACAGTGGGCTCCTTTATGTCGTTATCCATCACAGAACGAGTAAAAATACTCGTTCTTTAAAGATTCTGGACTGGATTCATAGACTGGCCTATAAGTACATTTTTGGTACATCGACTCTGAAGTAATTAAAATCAGCAATTTCTCTACCCAGCATCAATCGGCAAACAAGTGTTGAGAATCTTTATAGACGAACTTATCGGCTAGAAGGTGTCATCCGTTGTCTTGATCGATTTACTGGGATATGTAGGGTATCCAGAAGGGAGATTGCAAACCAGTCAGCCTGATCTCGCGAGATCGATAGCGAGTTTTTAAATTAACCTGTCCTTTATAGACTGAGCAACTTTTTACGCATGTGTATCGCGATTTGGTTTCACTTGTGCGAGACGATTTCAACTGGAGGTCAATTCCCTGCGAGACCTTTATTAATTTAAAAGGATTTTACATGATCTTAGCATTGAGAGATATTGTGAGATAGGTCGTAAGATAGAATTATTTTCGGTGAAGAGCGAGTAATGTTCATTAACGAGTTGTTCGGAATTATAACGTGGTTTACTCTTTTCATTTGACTTGAAAGCTGTCATGATGTGAGATTTTCAATATCACAATGAAAGAATAAAAACTGATTATAGTAGCTTGAAAAGTGAAAATAAACCATGCTAACCATGAACTTTATTATCAACAAAAAATTCTGTCATCAATTATCGATGAGTTAGGAACCTCTATCTACAAAAAGCGCAGTAGTTGAAGAAATGTTGTGCCAAAATTTTTTACCGTTGATCACACAGTTATCAGAAATCTATTTCTCCGTTGAACACGACAAATCTACTGCGGTACCAAATGAAGCCGTTTCAATGGTTGCAGTAGAATGACACCTGTACCTATGAATGAAAATACTGATGTTTTAGATTCACGTTTCACTGATCACCAAATCGATCACATCACGCGAATCACGCGGGACATACTGTTGTTATGTCTTCACATCTGTTATTTTCATGAAAAACGCAACAAGGATGGAAAGTGAGGAGTATTTTGAAGGATCAGAGCCAATATGTGACTCTCAGCATGTGCATGCTGATCACGGGAAGCAAAATATTAACA